AATACCAGTAAACTCAGTAAATGAAAATCTCTTAAAATGGCACCTGTACGAGACAACTTGCTCTGATATGATTGGTTTCATGCCTAAATGATACAACCTAGTTAATCTCTCAGTAGATAAAACTTCTGTTAAACAAGATATATTTTCTTGGTTTCTTCAGGTTCTGTTTAAGGGGAGACGCGGCCTTTGAAAACCGAAAAATCGCGAAAAAGTCGATTTTTCGGCAAACCACATATTCGGGCAGTATGTGTTATAAACTACCTTTTCTGTAAATATCAACGTCTAATTCGTCGCGAAACCATTTGAAATAAAGGTTAGAACATGCCGCGGCGGCCCTCGAGCGGCGCGCGAGCGCTCAAAATACCCCAACTTGGCGTGATCGCAGTTTCTCGACCGCTCGACGGAGCGCCGCCATTTTGGTGTTGTTTTGTTTGTGAATTCTTGCTCTTTCTTTCCCCGCCACCTGCGTCGCCGGCGACAGCGCAGGAGAGGAGCAAGCCGCTCATGATTGGAGGGCTCGCGAGAGCTTTCAAGTTTCCCGCGGCTGAGGTGCGCAGCTGGGATTGGGCGAAGCGCGCGCTCCCCAAGGACGCGAGGGAGCCCGCGACTGCCATTGGCTGCTGCGCGCGATGACGTAGCGTTCTTGCGCATAATGCGGCCGATGCGGCCGCTCGTCTGCTGCTCCTCCGCCCGGCATCTTTGTGTTCCGCTCGCTTCCGTGTATCGTTGCAGCCGTTCGCATACTCTCCACGTTTCAACTGTCTTCGAAACGATTTTCAACCGTCTTTACGAGACGATTTTCAACCGTCTATACGAGACCGTTGTTGTGTTCGCTCACGATGTGCCCAACGAAAAAGAAGACGCTACAATCGTTCGGTGCAAGGAAGCGAGCTATGAAGCTTGTCTGCGCGGCGAGGCTCTCCGCTCGCACGTGCGCCGACGGTGATCGCGCCGACGGTACCTGTGGGGCAGCTTCTGCTTCATCTACGCAAGAGAGTGGTCGCATCGACGCGCCTAGCAACGGGACTCCTGCTCCGCCGGTGCAAGAATTTGTCATTACAAGTGCGCCTGGTGTCTCGTGCTCATCGACAGTGGCTTCCGCATCTTCTCTTTCATCAGCCTCGAGTGCGATCGCGTCGTCAACTGTGCATTTGCGAACAAGTTTCCTGACGTGCGAGGAGAAAGAGGCGGCGGATCAACAACGCGCTGCTGTGCAAAGAGAACTTGGCGCTATGCCAGCGACGGAGCGGAAATTTCAGGCAATGAAGCGCGATCATGAAGCTGCCACCGCTACAAGTGAAGGCGAAAAATTTTTCCTTGTGCAAATGGATGCCCTAGACGACCTGCTATCTCGGACCCCGTGCCAGCGGTGCACCGCGATTGGGATGAAGGTACGAGGAGGCACCCAACTTGGACTTGCTGCAAAGCTTGAGCTAGTATGCTTGCATTGTGGAGTAGTGTCAAGCTCATGGAGTTCATCTCGTCAGGATGACACAAAGGCCTTTGATGTGAATGTAAGAGCCATTATGGCAACAAAACAAATAGGCAAGGGACAAACAGCTCTCAACGACTTTTGGGCAGCGATGAACGTGTCCCATCGTGGCCTCCATCACAAGACCTTTCAGAAGCACCTGAAGAAATTCAGGGAACCGCAGACACAATGCATAGAAAATTTCTATGCAGAATCTGCTTCTGCTGTAAAAGCCACTTACAAAGAAATGGATCAATATTTCACCAGGGATATAACAGTTTGTTATAATGGAACATGGCACAAGCGTGGGCACACATCCCATATTGGAGTCGGGGCAATTATCGAATACCATACGGGCCTTATCTTGGACGCCGTTGTTCTGTCTAATCAGTGCCTTGGTTGCCAAGTAGGGCCAAAGCCTGGAGACGCAGGCTATGCATGCTGGCTGGAGAATCATGTGTGCCAGAAAAACACCGACTCTAAATCAGGGAGAATAGAGGTTGAGACAGCTATCATCCTCTTTTCACGCTCACTGTCGAAGCACAACCTCCGTTACACAACGCTCGTGTCTGATGGAGATAGTGCCACCTTCTCTGCCCTTGTACAAGAAAATGTTTATGGACTGGTCCCCATTTCAAAAGAGGAATGCCTGAACCACGTTCAGAAGAGGATGGGGACAGCACTTCGCAACCTTGTGCAGAAAAGTGACAAGGCTTTGAGGGAAGGGCAGGCTGACAAAGGCCCTCATCGACAAGTTGACAGATTATTATGGCTGGGCCCCACGGAACAATTCCAATGATGTGGCTGCAATGCGGCGGGCAGTGATGGCATCGTACCACCATGTGACATCGACGGATGAGGAGCCGCACCACGACTTGTGCCCAGAGGGTGCAGACACCTGGTGTCGTCACAATGCCAGCAAGTTTACCAGTGTTCCACCTCCGAAGCATTCGTACAAGCTACCACGCTATGTTGCAGATGCACTTCTACCCATTTATGAGAGGCTCTCACAGGCTTCTCTTCTGCAACGCTGTCTGGGAGCAAAGATGCAGAATGCATCAGAGTCCTTTCACTCTGTGCTGTGGTCCCTCATGCCCAAAGAGCAGCATGCGTCACTGATTGCTGTGGAGACAGCACTGCATGATGCAGTGCTAAGATACAATGCTGGCTGCTACAGGGCCACCCAAGAGCTAGCTTCATCAGTGGGGCTAACACCTGGCCACCTGGCCATTCAACGGGCAGTCGAGAAAGAATCTCTGCGCTTGAAAAAGGCTAAGAAGCGATCCCTAGAGAAGATGGAAAGGCGGCAAAAAAAGAGAGTGCCAAAGGACACCTCCAGTTACGCTGCAGGTTCATTTTAGAACTGCCTATGTGCTCAAAACTTTCAAACGTCGTTTTCTCAAAATGACTTTTTTGGCTAGTGAGGCTGCTTATTCCAGAAATATCTATGGAACCACTCATTGGATTTCCATAAGTCTTTTTTTATTATGTACATGAATAAATTTCTGAGGGGGTGACAAGCCCATTTTTTCAATATATTGAGTGTGTTATTTATTATATTTAATCAAAATTTGATTGATAATATCCTAATCACGAACACAAAGTTTGATGGTCTGCTAAAACTTTTCAGCAAGGAAATTCAAAAAAATGGCTCTGTTACCCCCTGGAGTATCAATCTGGGAATCATCATAGTTAATTTCACAGTTCCAGCACCTTTTGAAAGTTCTCCAGGCCTGGAATAAGAGAACCATGTGCACTACCCTGATATTCTGCTGTAACTTGAAAACCAGTGAACATAACTTGATGAAATTTTGTAGTTCTTCTAATGCTTTTGCTATAAGTCTATCCTGAAAATTTCATTAAGATATCTCAATAAACAAAAAAGTTGGTATCCGATGGTGGCCTCCCCCCTTAAACAAGAGTCTACTGCACATGAAAAAGACACTCCGTAAAGATACAGTATAGACCACTTATTACGTAACTGCTCATAGTGCAAGATTGGTTACAATGCAGTTTTTTTCTACTCCTATTCAGCCTCCCTAGAATCATTTGTATACCACTTAAAATGCAGTCCCCCAAGAAGGAAGACTGGTAATAATGCAGTTGCCAGAAAATCACTGTGACAAATGCGGTAGCGAATGTAGCAAAACCATAGTGAAACAAAGTAGCGGCAACAAAAGGAGACGTGCTGGTTGTGCCACTGGGGAACCAGCGACAAGGTCATTGCAATGAGGAAGGGATGAACAGATTGAATGAACAAAGGGCTGTGGGAGGAAAAATAAAAATAGACCGTGGCACGCTGCGTGCACTCGCCGAGTAAGTGAAAACGGCAATTGCCCAGGAAGCCTTTGTGCCGGCACCGATGCAGCTACGGTGTTCTAGCGCCGCTAGCGTGGCTCCAGCCACTGGCTGCCGGCTCCACGCGGCTCAATGTATGCATGTGCAATCCCTTCCTTATCAACTGCGCTTAAGAGTTCCCTGTTAGGAAAAGCGTCGTCATTATGGAGCTCGCTACAGATATCGCATTGGCTACCTGGTCCGTAAATAAATATGAGTTTTCACGGCTTTATCACGCGAGCTTTCATCTTTGCTGCCAGCCAGTGTGCCGGCCCACATAAGCTTGGCAAGTTTTCTTCGTCGCTCTTCCGGCCGCGAACGCAAACTCGATTCACGCACGCTCTTCTTGGTTCAGTACTTGAGTACGATCGTTTCGACGCCTGATCTTTATGTCTTGGACAAGCTTCCTGCAACAGCACACGAAACGGCAGGCTAGGCCTAGTAAGTGTAGGTTGCATTCGCATGCTACCTTGGCGGTTTGGCTCAGAATCAACGAAACTCTTTACGGTGGCTGCACTTGAAGGGAAGGGATACATATCTTTAACAAAAATCAGGGTGGCACGTGCACCACTCACATGATGGTTTGCAATTCGATTGTAATGTCTTAACATAGGGTGCACGCCCGTGAAATTAAATGATTGGCGTCTTTCAGCACGTGATATTTCTGGCATAATTCAACACAGTTTCTGTGTAATGCATATAATCGAGGCAGTCAGAGAAATAGTCGCCAAATTGATTGATTGATATGCGGGGTTTAACGTCCCATAACCACCAATAGCCGCCAAATTTCCGCGATGTTGCTTTCTTAACTTTGATACACCTCCCCCCCCCCCCCCCCCCCCCCTTTTCGCGGTCATTTCGTTGGCAAGTAATTCTTTGGGAATTTGAACGGTTGTAAACACCACGCATCGCAATCTTCTATTTCCGCACACACGAGGCTGCATGCTCAGCACATTTTGCCATTTTACACAACTGCGGCCCTTGAAAAAGGTTGCTTTGGTTATAGTGCGGTACCGCTTATAGTGCAGGTATTCGCAAAACCCACGGTTAACGTTACAAGCGGTCTATACTGTACTATAGATGTAACAACAACAAAAAATAGAAAAGGTGAACTAAAGAGCAAGTAAATGCACATCAATGGCGTTCTGTACAAATGAATTTATACTAGTTACATAGCGTTCAAGCAAAGTACCTTTCTGGGGCTCTCAATGAACGGGAAGTCCTCATAGCGGAGTGTGCCACGGGGCTGATCTCGCAAACGCCGTGGTGCATTGGGGTCGCAATGCCTCTCCTTGTCCTCATCAGAGTTCTTGTTGCATCCGCTACACTGCCTGCACAGACACCAAAAATCAGAGTTCTGGTGACAGTGAACACACCTGCAAAATGCTCTGAGCTCGATTAAAGCAGCACATAATAAGTTAATGAAATAATAGTTGGAATTCTGCATTTCAAAATCAGAATATTATGAAAGACAAACTAGTGAGCAGCTTTGGAAATTTCGACCACCTGGGGTTCCGTAATGTGCCCCTAAATCTAAATACACAGACCTCCGGCCTTTCGCCTCCATTGAAATGCAGCTGCCATGGCCGGGATTCGATCCCAAGACCTTCGGGTCTATGGTGAAGTACCGCAACCACTAGACCAATGCAGCGATGCCCAACATTTTCTACAGCATGGCAATGAGTAATGTTATCAAAATTTGCAATTTGGTGACAGTGGTAGACGTGTGCATACAGTAAATTTTCGGTTTCAAGCTAGCAGTGATCTCGTCAAATAACATCAAGTCGGATTTGAATAGTGTATATCACATATTATAAAGAAAAAATAGCATATCTGTCATGACCCAACAAACCTGCACAATATTTCATAAAAATTAAAACAAAGCATGTGCAAATTTCATTATTTTTTGTTCAAAAAAAAGTGGAAGACACTTTCGGTTTGGACTTTCAGTAGAATGCAATAACCTGTAAAATCTGTTATATTTTTAAGTTTACTATATGTTGAGCATGCAAACCAGCATAACATACTTTTAAACTTTAAAAAATGTGAATCGATGTGAGGGTAATATGTTCATTTAACCTTGAAGTGGAATTTCGCAGCAGTGTGACTTCCTTTAGTTAAGTAAATTCATGGCATAGCACTCCTTCATTGCAGTGAAACCACCTTCACAGGTTACATGCAGACTAACGTGCATATATTCGTTCATTTCAATTACCTCAAAATTTCCGATAATTTAAAATTCAGATCAAAGCGAATTCGAATACAGTAGTACTCGCTCCAATATTCGAAGGGCTCGAATATTCACACAAAACTAGATAGTGGCCATGAAAACACGAAAAATATTAGGAATGATTAGAGGGCAATTGCTTTTCAATTTCTATGCTTCAGAGCAATGTCCGTTTCAACTCACTCACGCAAGCAACTTCTTTCATGAAATTAACATCTTCAGCAAAAAAAAAAAAAGAATTAGCTTTTTGTTTCAATATTAACAGGCACACATGAAAGTGATCAACTGAATTCTGAAAAAAAAAAAAAACCAACAAATTTAACATATAACATTTCATCATAAAAAGAGGACTAATGCAGTAAAGCATGAGAGAGAATGGTATCAGTAGATTACGATTTCTGCAATGGAAAAGCGGCCAATATTTTTGAAAATGAAAAGAAACACAGATGCAGAGAACAGATCATCTGTAAAAGTTGTAGCACAGGTACGAATTAAACAAAAATGCAGGATAGGACGCAAGAGAACTACATGAAGTGATGAGCTTAGGAAATTACTTGGCATAAAATAAAGCTGACGCAACAAATACAGGGGATTGCTGTGAGGGCTTTGTTCTGCAGTGAACATAAAATATGAAGATGAAGTTAACGATGATGATAATTTGATCATTTTTTACAAGAATGATAAAAGTGAGCATTTTTGAAAAAAACAATGTCGTGCAGTGCACGGTTATCGGAGTCGACAGTTATCGAGAGATGATGAGATTTCAGCTTAAACGCACCATCCCATTGACTTGGTCTTCTTTGGCATCCTGGTGAGTGGTGGGTCAAGGCAGTAGAGGTGGTAGTGTAGCTGGCACTTGTCGCACTTGGCAAGCTGATGCTGGTCCTGAGATTTCTTGCAAACACCGCATCTGCAGAGGAGGACGCACAAAGATGCAAAGAATTGTTTTATTCTTCATTCAATACATGGATTTGGGCTAGCTGGGGGGTGTAGAACTTGTGCATCCAAGCAAGCGCAGCGGAACAAATACAAAAGAAAAAGACGCAAAAGCAGGATGGGCACTAGAAATCAGCTAGAAGTTTACCGAGATAACAAGAAGAAAATGTATGGACATGCGTAGGAACCACACATAGGTGCAGATGGCACTGCTAACGCAGATATCTGCAGCGTCGCTTTAGATATGCCATTTCTTTCGCATGCAGCAAACTTTTAGTTGATGTCTAGCGCTCGTCCTGTTTGCATGTCTCTTTCTTTTGTGTTTGTTCCGCTGCGCTTGCTAAGATGCACAAGTCATTTACCGTAACTACTCGAATCTAACACACACCTTGTTTCCGGTTAAGCGAGTTCATAAATTACATGCACGTTAGAATCGAGTATGAAAATAAAATGAATACGGTCATTCTATTGCCATCGGCATTTCCAAAATGGCCGCCCCCTAAGTGCGTCGGCATTGCGCGTCGGCCATTTCTGTCTACGTGTTTCCATGAACGGCACTTCGTACGTGTGCTAAGGAGTCCGTCATCTTGTTGTGCATTAGCATCCACGGCATGGAAGGGCCGACTTTAAAAACTCTATGAGTGCACCACGATGCTGCTTTTAAAAGAAAAGTCATCGCGTGTGCCAAAACGGACGGAAATCGGGCCGCATCGCGGTCGTTCGGAGTTCCCGAAATGTGCGTGCAGGACTGGCGGAAACAAAAGCAGAAGATTGTCGACAGCAAACGTTCACGCAAAGGCTTCAGTGGACCACAGCAGGGCCGGTTTCCGCAAATTGGACAGCTGCTCGGCGAGTATGTGATTGAGCGGTGAGCGGCACAGCGGCCCGTGACGACAGAAATGCTCCAAGTGCAGGCTATGCAGTTAGCCTTAGAAAAAGGGCTAATGCGGAGCCAGTTTGAAGCGAGCAGGTGCTGGCTAACTAACTTTATGAAGAGGAAAGGCTTTTCCCTCCGAAGACGAACGGGCATATGCAAAAAGTTGCCGGAGGCGTACAAAGAAAAGCTTCACAGTTTTCAGAGGTTCGTCCTAAACTTGCGGCACAACGACGGCTACCTGCATGGGCGAATCAAGAATGCCGATCAGACGCCTCTTTTCTTCGACATGCCTGTCACCACAACCGTCGAGAAAAAGGGGGCGAAGCAAGTTCGCATGCTGACATCGGGCCACGGTAAAACTAGAGTGACAGCAATGCTTCGTTGCACGTCAGATAGGCACAAGCTTCCCCCGTACTTGATATTTAAACGGAAGACGCTCCCGAAAGGAGTTGTCTTCCCTAGTGGTGTGATCATGCGGGCCAACGAAAAAAATAGGTGCGCGTTGCGATCCATGTCTTTTTTTTTTTTTTTCCGTCGTGAAAACCGCGTGCGCGGTACAATCGAGGGCGCGGTAGAATCGAGTAAATACGGTATTAGGCCTAGGGGCAGAGTACAGTGTCTCTTGATGAACAGTGACGATGAGGGAAATGCAAAAAAAAATGCTCGTATAGAAGCTATTTAATATTGAAAGTTATAAAGCATGTGCACAGTGACCTTCACGAATATGTAAAGAGTGTAAGGTAAATGCGGGCCATCAAATAGCAGGACTATAGTGTGAGTTGATTCATGATTGTGAGCAAGTTTCTACAGTACGAAACAGACTAACACAGAAAAACAGAGAAACAGAGACAGCGCATGTCTGTAGAAACAGAGACAGTGCATGTCTGTGTCTTTTTGTTTCTTGGTCTTTCATCCTCGTGTGTTTCACACAGAAAAATCTTGCTCAGGACAAGGTACTGATAATGAGATGCTTGTAATGCTGCGTAAAATGAATGTGCGTTTGCATTACAAAGAATCATATCAAGCCCAGTGTAAAAAAAAGTAGAAAAACACAGTACAGGAGAATAGCTTACTCAAAAAGGAATGATGACCCGGAATCGGACCTCCGGCTAGTTCGGCTGGCTGGCTTGGCTGCTGGCTTCCTAACTTCAAGTACTTCTGGCATAGGAAGCTTCTGCAAGCAGATTGACGAAAGTGTCATTGTCGCTTGATGACTTCTAGGACCCGCGGCCGTGCTCGTCGGTCGACAACTTTTTCCGACCAGCGACCATGCTCATCGCACATAGATGAAATGCCATCAGTAACTGCCAGTATAATTCAAGCTCGCTTGGAGCCTCGTTACATATTGCCACAAGCCTCTCTTGAGCACACAGAGACAGTGAAAGCCTCGCTCAAATCCGTTTCGGCAACTGAGCGAAAAATGAAGCTTCTTGGAGAATGAGCAATGCACTGATGTGGAGCTGGCAGAAGAATTTTGCTTCTACAGCTAGCAGCAATAAATGCCTTATATAAAGATGTTTTGTGCCAAAAATGCTTTCAGTGTAAGCTCAGTCTTCATTTGGGAACAAGGCATGGTTCAGCAACATAAATGATATTGAACTACAATAGCTGTGGCATTGTGTCCAACGAGTGGTAATCGTCAAGAATGGAGGGGAGCAAGGCTTTTGATGTGAATATGCGTGCTATGCAAGCCATCAAGACAACACCACTGGCAAAAGTGCAACCCGTCTAAATAACTTCTGGTCTATAATGAACGTGTCGCATAGGAGCCTAGAACGCAAAACTTTTCAAAAACATTTGAAATCAAAGTTCAAATCTGCCGGTGAAATGGCTGCAGCACGTGTTTTTGCAGATTCTGTGACAGCTGTGCGCTCTGTTTACTGCCAAATGGAGCAGACATTTACAAAAAATGTCACAGTAGTGTATGATGGGACATGGATGACACGTGATCATGCATCTCACATCGGTGTAGGCACAGTTATCGAGTTCTACACTGCTTTGGTGCTTGACTGTGTTGTTCTCTCCAACAGATGCCATGGCTGCACACTAGGACCAAAAGAAAATGATGAGGGCTATAACGATTGGAAAGAGGCCAATGTTTGCCAAAAAAACACCAACGTAAGTTCAGGCCGAATGGAGGTCGAGGCTGCACTAATTTTGTTCAGAAGGTCGCTGCAGAAGAATGACCTCTGGTATACATCCATTGTTTGCGATGGCGACAGTCGTACTTTCTTGGCTCTTTCTGAAGAAAGAACAAAGGGCTTCATTCCATTCGCAAAAGAAGATTGCATAAATCATGTAAAAAACAGGACGGGTTCAGCTCTGCAAACACTTGTAGCAAGAAGTAAGAAAAATCAACCCATTGGAGGAAAGGGCGGCCTGACTCAAGAACTGATTAAAAGACTAACGAATTATTATAGGATGGTCATCCGTGAGAACACTCAAGTTGATGACATGCAAAGAGCCATAATGACGACGTTTCATTACTTCACCTCGAGAGATGAAGAGCCGCACCATAAATTGTGTTCGCCTGGACCACTGAGCTGGTGCAAGTACCGTGCTGCAGAAGCTGAAGGCAAGGCTCCACCACCGCACAAGTATAAACTGGAGCACATGTTGCAGCTGCATTGCTGCCAGTCTACCAACGCCTTTCTGACACTCAGCTGCTAAGTCGTTGCCAAGGCAAGAAAACCCAAAATGCAGCTGAGAGTCTCCATTGAGAAATTTGGTCTATTCTTCCTAAAGAACAAAATGCTTTGTTTGTTGCCGCCGAAACCGCTGTGAATGAGGCCATCTGCAAGTACAACTCTGGCACTCTCCATTCTTATCGAGAGTTTTGTGCATCGCTGGGCCTGGAACCTGAAAAGCACTCCATTCACAGAGCTACGGAAAAAAAAAGCATCAAAAGCGCACCAAAGCAAGCATCAAATGCCTAAGAGGCCCCACATCACAAAGGACACCAAAAACTATGATCCTGGTGCATTTTAGATAAGTGGAGGCAAAGAAAAACTTCTCGAGCCGTTTTCTCAAAAGTATTTTTTTGTCTACCTGCCGAGATTGCACAGCCATTTTTTTCTTAACCATTTGGCCTATCTTGACTCTGTTTTTTTTTTTTCCATATTCCTTAGACTTCAATGTATGTTGTGACATACATTCTTTCTTAGTTTGACTCTTTGCAATTTTACGATGTGACTACTTGTTCATGCCCAGAGTGTGCCTAGTGAGAAGGTTTCAAAAAGAATCGCAATACAATAATTTTGTGTAGCAAAAAAAATTAAAGCAGGCACGTCATGACACTCAGTGTGCATTCAGCTGTACAGCAAATATTCTTTTTGTCTTCTAGTGTATTTTTTAAACTTTCCAGGCACTGTGCAAAGTGCTAAAGACTGCAAATAGTAAATATAAACAAAAAGTTCTGAAGATACTTCTTTTGAAACTTTTGTGGAAGCATTAGGAAGATAAGCTGAATATTTGTGCCAATTTTCATCAACATCTGCTAAGTTTTGAGAAAGTAGGTTTTCCAAAGCCACATCCCCTCTTAAGAAAACTCAATGAGCTATAAGGATCTAACACACAATATGCCATGCATCAAATTTTGTGAACACGGCTTATCAGGGACAAGAAAATAGCATGCAGGCTTCCACCAAGGTATAAGCTTTTCCAGACATTTTCTAATAATTTGTGTGAGAAAGATTCCTCTTGATCCATGAACGATTACATTTGTGGGGTAGACAAAATGGCATATTCATTCAAGTGTCAAATTCCGAGTGCTTTAGACGTGTCATTTAAAAATAGCCTTAGCTGTTGCAAATTTTCAGAGTCTACAATACTTTTCTTTCGAGCAGGGAGGGGTGTGTGTGTTGACATTCTGTTAGGCAACACAATAAACGTCGTGAAGTCACTTCTTCGAATGTCAACAAGAAACAAGAACGAGAATAACCAAAGTTTCTCCAATTTTTTTGCCGAAATGCATAGTTCCCTCAGAACGCCAATTTTTTCTTGAATATCAGAAACACTGGCATAGGCTTAATCACAAAAATAGAGAGAATAAAATGAGAGAAAGGCAGGAAGGTTAACCGGAAATTGGGGCAATCAGAATCGCGATCACAAAACTTAATCACAGAAACATGATCTAAAGGTAACACAAACTAAGCAGGAGAGTTCCATCTTTTTCTATAATCTTTTAAGTGTGAATCAAAAAGAGCACGCTGATGTCAGACACCTACAGGTTCACCAGCAATACAAGGCTTCTGACATTGCTGCCTCTATTAAACACCAGATAAGTGATAGACGTACCTTGTTGGTTATGTCACACAGCATCTTCCAGTACTGCACGCCTAGCTCGTGCATGTGATTGTGCTCCTTCTTCAACTCCTCCAGTTGGACAATCGCCTGCAGCACCAAGAGAATCATTGTAACAAGATGACGTCGTAACAAGCTGGCAAGAATTTAAGAAATCTGAAAGCACAATGAAGATTGCTTTAAATTTTCCTTTTCCCACTGAGCTAGAGCCTCTACACAGAAGGTGACAAGCTAAATCACAGTGACGCAAGCAATTAAAGCTTTAATTTAAAACAGGTAGTATTCCTCTGACTGTTGTCTTCAATAGCATACTTCATGCAATATGTAGCATTTTTACAAATCTTCATAGAAAACACAGTGGTCAGACACCTATTCTAAGACATCAATGTATCATATCAATTCCACTTCTCTGGTGCCCATTACCCTGGGGTTTCTCTTCCTCGTCTTGGGGAGGTCTTAATTAATACGTTTAGCCTACACAAAATCTACACCCGTCTAGGCTGCTTTAAAATTTTTGGTGAACTAGATAACGTCACTAAGGGCATTGTGATTCTTTATGCAGCATTATCTCAAAGAAGCGTTAAAAAGAAACACTACAACAACTTTTACTAATCAACCAAACCTCCCAAACTATATCTTCATTTACTTACCCTTCAAAGGTTGATAAACAAAAGAAGGTATGGCGGTAATCAGGCCGACTTTCTTGGCACCGCGGAAGAGCAGTTTACTAATGCAACTTTTTTAGTGTCTTTTTTAAGAGTTGTTTCGCTCTCCCTCTCTCAAAGAAAAGTGACTTCAGGAACACCGATCACACCATGAAGAATGAAAACAGCCTAACTCTATCGTTCCAGTGAAGTGGTGTCATTCCTTGGTTTCAATACTGCACCATGACAATTTGTTGTCCACTAGGGCTTCATTCAAACAATTATCTAACTCCCGACCACATTACCTACACATAAAAAAATATAAAGCGCACACAACAAAGCTGTGTACAAATGGGTAGCAGTAGAGGTGACATCGACAGCAGTCGCGTTCTCGTGTTGGCTAACCGGCTTGGCCAGACTCTCCCCAAACACAGATTTATCCGTACTTGACATGCCACTGAAAACATATACGCAAACAGTACAAAGGACTTGAACACAACTGGAACACTTGTGCAGCCTGCCTGTTCCAGCTCATGCTTCGCAAAATGGGCATTTTCAACAGCGGCTTTGCAACTTTCGATTGGTCTGTTTTGCAGAAATGGAGCTTCATCGCAATGCCAGTGACGGTGGCATGGAGCCTTGAGTACATTGCTGACAACTCATTTTCAAGAAGACAAAAATTTAAAAACCATTTCTCTTCTAAAGACCACTGCCATAACGGTGAATTGTTTGGTCACTGCGTTGATGAGGCTTAAAAAGGTTTTTTTCTCGAGAAACCGTACAATTTCCTTAAAGAACATACATACATACATTTATATATTATATATATATATATATATATATATATATATATATATATATATATATATGTATATATATATATTGGTTCTAATAACTTCCCCTACACATTCCTTGGCATTACTGTCTATAGATCTCATTATTATTGTGTCAAAACACGGAAAAACGAGCCCTTAGGTATACACTTCTTTCCCTTTATATATTTATATATATACAGTCGCCGACCGATTTTCCGGACTCCAAAAATTCGGACTTGTTGGATATTCCGGACTTCATAAATGCACCGTCAGGGATCCCATAGAGCTAATGCATTGTTTCGACTGATTTTTCGGGCGAATTTGCCCCTGAAAGTTCGATTTTTCGGACTAAATCGCTCGTTTTGTGCCACGCCCCAAGCCATTGTGAACGCCGCCATGTTGGATTGTCCGTCGGCTTGGCTAAGCTTGGTCTTCAGATGCTTTTCCTGCCTCCGAGATTGAAATGCGCACGCCATATTTTAAGTTTCGGAGGCCGTGTTTGCTTTTTAAAAGACGCGGTGATGGATCCAATGAGGGTGGCGACTTGGGCTTGTTGGTATGGTTGCATGATGATGGATGGTAGCGCAGACAACGAACACGGACAAGAGAAGGCACATAGACACAACACAGCGCTGTGTTGTGTCTATGTGCCTTCTCTTGTCCGTGTTCGTTGTCTGCGCTACCATCCATCATCATGCGGTGATGGATGCCGTTTTTTCGTCTTCGGTCAGCACTATCGTCATCACATCGCACGGGGAGGAGGCGAAAGAAGGATTCTCTACCTGCCACAATGACATTTAAAGACTTCACTCGTGCGGACGACGACATTGTTTCGTGCGCGGAGGCCACTGACGACGAAATTCTTCGCCAGGTTGTCCCGGAGCCGGAGAGCGGCTCGGATGACGACAACGACGACCGCCCGCAGCCGTCGGCGGCGGAGATCGCCAACGCGGTGACAATTTTGTCGAGCGTTTATGGCGACGATGTCACCTTAAAAATACGGGCAAACCAAATTTCCTCCAAGCGTAGTTTGAGGCAAGGCAGCATCAAGGACTTTTTTAAACCTGCCTGATGCAATAAACTTCAGATTTTCGGCGAAAACGAATTTTTCGGACTGTTCGATTTTTCGTACTTTTTTTCGGTCCCCGCCAGGTCCGAAAAATCGGTCGGCGACTGTATATATGAGAGAGAGATGCTGATACTACCAACCTGGTCATACTTTCGCCTGAGCCCCTGCTCCTGGTCTTGAAGCTCCGAGTTCTGCTGCAAAAGCTCGTCCAAGTGCCGCCTCATGGTTGACATACGAATGTCGCGATCTGCACGAACGATAAATAGTTGTATCTTGCAAAGGCAAAAACAAGCTTTGCACGAACGCAGCTGCCACGAGCAATAGTCTATGCATTGGCAAATACAAAAAGAAAATGTTAGGAAATATGGCACAAAAAGTACTCTCCACAGGGGTACTATTCTTGACAAGTCCACCTTGTGTACCGTCCATTTAGGCTGCCGCTGATCAGCAGTAAGCCCCGTTTCCAGTTCTTCTTCCACAACATTATTTTGAGGTGATAAAGATTTCCCAACAGTATACAAACGATAGAGACAAAATGTGCTCCAACGCTACAAACACAGGCTCCAGAGATACACTTTTGGGCGCACATCTCACAGGCCATGCATGAACTCTAATCAAGCTCTTGAAAAATGTTTAACATTGTCACCCGTGTAAAGCACTTTTGAAGGTTGGTGCGCATACCCTGCCTCGTTTTTAAACATCTGGGACTCATTAAAGTTCAGACTTGTCAAGTTCATTTAGGTGTCCTGTCGCTGCTAATTTTGTCTACTATCTGAATCCCCCCCCCCTCCTGGACTGACACGTATGCACATCAGTATTGGCAGCACTGTGTAAATCCCTCGTATTGCGATATTCTCACTCATTTTAGTCCTCAGAAAATCGTGATGCTTACCAATGCAGGCGTGCAGAGCGCTCTCGGTGATTTAAACTTTCTTTTATTTTTATCCTTTAAAGTATCAGAACTACAGTTGAGAGATGGCACAGCGCTGCCAAACTGGATGTGCAGGCTTGTCAACGGTAATGGCGAGATGGCAAGCACTATACCATTGCTAATGCCTGCCAGTGTCTGAATGTCATTTCAAGCCGATAGTACGTCAACTTACCCAGGTAGTAACTGACAAACTCGAGGCTGAAGGCGGGCGGCACATGCCACTTGCGGCGGGCATCCGCCACCCCTTCGGCTGCCAGGTGACCCGGCTGCGACACGCCCATGAGCTGGGCCTTGCGCAACAGCTGTCGGCATGCCCACGGACTGCTCGTCAGCAGGCGCGCCATCTTCTGTGTCGGCACCCAAGGTGGGGGCCGTTCGGCGCGATGGCGTTGGTAGCGCTCGCGATGCCACGCCAGCTTGCGTTCCACACGTGCCTGCACAGTTGGCAGTTCGGGATTAATCAGCAACACGCAGCTGTAGCCTTCACGTCATAATCGCGAAAATTAAAAATGAAATTGTGGTGCGGTAATGTGCATGTTACGGAATCAACAAGTGCATACCATGTGCGTGCACGGTGTTCGAGACATTTTCATTTTGTTATTTTTACGTTAGATGGCTTTCATACTCTCGACCATTCGAAAGCGGCACAAATGCAACCTTTCGGATCGCCTTTGAAAACAAAACTGCTTACATCACACTAATTATTATATGTAGTGTTAATTGATTCATTATGTTTGTATATGCGAACCAAACCCGCTCTATGAGCAATCGATTTCCGTGCTCTCCAAACTTGCTTAGTCTGATTTTGATGACAGGCTCTCCCACAGTTTTTACTTTTATGAGCCTCCTTCCGAAGATGTTGAACCTACATATAATCATTGAATTTTACGATTTTATGAATAAACTTGAGGCTTGGAATGATTAATTATGTTTTAATATGACCAGTTCAAAACATCTACCATGTGCAGCATAGCTTTTGCTGCCGTAGAAAGAACTATTCACATCGCCAAAGCACGATTCCATGATTTTATCCATGGCATGCATACCAACTTACTTATGACCACACTGCCACAAACAAGTCCACTGAGCCATCAAAGATGCATAAGAAAAGAGCATGCCACCTACCTCGCACTTTAAGAGAAGTGCAACTCAAAGAAAAATATGATAGCTTTCGGTGAAACAAGCCTTTAACCACCCACAAGCCATTTTTGATACAATACAATAGACCCTTCAGCTTTCAGTGAATACATGTGATTATTGGTTGCACAATGTTAAGTAACCCAAAAATCATGCATATTAGGCACCCTTAATCCCCAGACAGATACGCACCTTCTCCCTAGCATCTTGAGGTCCAGCGGCTTGATTCCTGTTGCGTGACTGCAGCGCAAGCCAGTTCCTTCGTTTGCTTCGAACAATCATCTTGTCAGCATGCAGCTTGCAGTAGGCGAAGAAAGGATCTGCAATCTGCAACACGGAGCCATATAATTTTACGTTTCCCAGTTTACACTTGGTTATAGATCATGACACATTATTTATTGTAATAAGCATAATTTACCATGAGAAGTGATGCTAGACACATCATGCGAACCGTCAAAGCCCCGTTATCATCACCGGCATTTTTTTTTTTCCAGATCCCTTTGTGGGCTTTTGTGATGCTTGCTTTTTAGTAACATCATAACAAATTTCAAATGATTGAGTTGCTTTTCTTCTTTAAGGGGAGGGGCGGTATGGTGCTGGCAATCTTTAACAGGCATATGGGGGATGATACAGAAGTTAACGAAATTCTAAAAATCTTCATTGCACTAGAACCACACATTGTTCATGAGAACCTAATCCCCGTTGCCGAATAAGTGTGGTATTCAGGTAACATCTGGCATCAGTATGTACAGCCTTTCTTAAAGGGCCAGTCACCAGGCCGCAACAATTTTATTTAGACCATAGAAGCTGATAGGTGTCCGGTGAGGAACATTTTGCTACAAAAATTTTTTGAATCAGTTCATTACGGGCTGACAAAACTGTTTTTTGAAACAGTGCGAAACGAGAATTAGAGGAGGTGAGCTCAAAACCCTTGCCGTTGCTCCGCGTAGCCTTCGCAAGCCAAATCTTTTCCCCACCTTCTCCAACATCTGATCAAGAGATCACTTCACACGACGTGCCCAAACAAGCCCAGAACCGGTGCAGGTGAGTGGTTTTTTTTTTTTTTTTTACCACGTTGTTTTGAGCCCTACTACCTGTTTCTGTGGGATGGTTTCGAAACACTGGCTTAGACCCGGTAGAATAGACAGAGGAGGCACTGGAATAGATGAGCACAATGAGTGTGTGAACGCGTAGGAGCATCCAATGGCTGTCGTCTGCTCGATGCGCTGACCGCGGAATCGCAAGGACACGAACGCATTCGAAATGGCGGCACATTAGCCCCACATTTCGTAGCAATTCACGGAAAGAAAAATGAAAAAAAAAAAAGTACACTCACATTTTCTTATTGCATCTTATTATTTATCTGGAGATTTATTTATTAATCTCTACAAGCAACAAATACATAAACTACGCATGTCGTGTTAAATCATTTTCGCCATGTCACGTGCCACTGTTGGCAACGTCAGAAAATAGTCGTCTATGCAGAGGACTGACGTCACTGCATTGCTGTGTACGTAGGGCCATTCATACGCGCACGTCGTGCCTTCATTCTCTGGGCACGCGCCTGCAAAAGAAAGGGGGAGCAGCGTTCATCTTGAAATTTGACCATTTTCCACGGCACCTAGCATTGCAAAATTTGGCAGACTTGATCATTAACGTCTCATCTACGCATTGCGCTTGTCAGCTCATAATTGTGAAACCTGGTGAGCAGCCCTTTAGCATTAACAGGAATTCAACATCTTCAGTCTAGTTGCTCATGTTTTTAGGAATAGCTAAACGATATGTCATGCATCTGATGTTGCACTTAAGTTGAGATTTTGGGGCACTATAATCAGTCTAATTTACTCAACCTGATATGTATGGTATAACCATATATATATAATCAGTCTAATTTACTCAACCTGATATGTATGGTATAGCCATATATATTCTTGTAAGGAAAACACTGAACCAAGAATACTGGGTAGGGTAACAGGGTAAATTCAGGGAACCCAGTAGATTGTTGCCTGAGAACAAGCCTAAAGACTACGCCACTGCTGTTCATTTATTACAATAGACAACACTGTACCTCCTCCATTGAAGCTTCGGAAAGCAAGCCTTCCCTCTGGGCACTGCAAAAAAAAAGAAAGGTGAGGAAGCAAGGACAACCTCAGACAATAAAGATTTATACAGTCTGAAAAAGCTACAAAGCCAGAAGTAAAATCTCCAAAAAGTTATTGGCGAGAAATGAATATGCAAATCATGCCTCTTGTAAGCGATGGCTCCTAGTGAATTCAAACAAAGCACATCAAACAAATTACACTGCAATGCCTTTAAGCAAGACCAAGAATCCGACTTTTCCATTTTCCTGTGCTGCCCTCTGGCGTTTCAGTAGGGTTTTGTAGGGGACAAGAGAACTGGCGTCGCTGGAAGAAAGGCCTTCGAGACCAAGAGTCGTTTCGCGACTTTACCGCTAGGGAAGGGCACGTGCGCCACGGCATCGTGGAAAAGGCGGATTAAGAAACAGCCAGTGATATAGCCAAAAATATGTTACGAGTTACTTAAAGCATAAAACTGTAGTACAAATGGTAATCTGCTGGTTACATGTTTACTATAACTTACCCATTACTAGCTGAGCATTACATCCTTGTGCAAGCTTTTTAATGCATCATTCAATATCTGCCAGTAACTTTGGCAGCAATCTCCACTAGCTCTCAGTGTAGGGTCACAAGCAAGACTTCATACCTAGATAACCTACCTACCTTTAACTTATCTCTCTTTTATCATCAATGTAATATAATATTGCAATAAATAAGGCAAACCTAGCACGAAATGATGCAAGGCTTAAAACAGTGTAATTGGAAGATTCTGAAGACTAATGGTTGATTCCAGTTTGCTGCTAGGCCTTAGTTAGGTGATGCAGGTTCTGGGTTGCTTCTAGGTTGTTGCTAGGCTTTACTTAGATGATGCTAGATTGTTCCTACATTGATTCTCAGAGCATAGAGGTTTGAAGTAAAGCACAAACAGTCACAAATGTGACACAATAATCTAAACTCTAGAGACAGAAGCACACCCTGATTCTAAGCATTCACACCATAGAGTTTTCCTAAATATACACTGAAGGGAACTCTGGCAGTAGTATCTATGGGAAATGCCACGCACGGCGTTTGAGCGAGAATGGGAATGATGGGTACTACACGGATTTGTCTAATCATCGTGGTTCTGGCTCCGTGTGTGCCTGTGTGGCTTGAAGCTGTTTTCTCACGAAACGAAAATCAGCAAATGTTCAGTGCTCTCTAAGGCTTCTATTTTAAATCGGGTCATAGAGTTCAAAAGGGGTCCTTCTTTCCTTTGACACAAAACCAAAACACAACAATAAATGAACCTACAAGTGCGATTCGCCGCCCTGAAGTACGAAGCCTAGGCAAAGCCCTGTACTACCCATCATTCCCATGGTCGCTGAATGATTGCAGCGCCTGAGCTCCCTTTAGTCAATTTTAGGAAACTCTACGATTCCCACTAAGCATTCATCCGGTGTCCTTCTTCTTGTGTGCTACGTATTTCGTGCCCCCCTCAGTTATCGTTCTCACTTCTCATCGCAGCCGCCATTGCCTTTCCTATTCCCTAGTATTCTCTCACACGTATTTACGGTTTTCGGCTCACTGTCGTCGCTTTGCAGCCATTGGTTGGGCTATCTGGTGCCTTCTTCACTTTTATTGGACCAGTGGTGTGTACAAAGGATTAACCCAATTTCAGCGGCACATACCCATATGATGATGGCAGTTTTCTGGCAGACTGCACAAACTACTGCTAGCCTAAGCAGCTTCACTGCTAAAAGCAATTCCAATTCCCAGGTTACCAACACCCCACACGAGGGGAGCTCACCAGGTCACATGGAACGACGCTTTGCACATGCCGGCATCGCACGTGATGCACACTCCAGTGCGGCTGAGGCGCTCGTCTTCACACAGCACACATGACTGCATAGAGATATCAGTTGGAGAGTTACCACTAAAGCTAGTAACATGTTCCTTTGAAATCTTGTTATCCGGTTTTTTCTACTCATGCTCACTTTTTTCATCAAAGCATCGGTAAAGTAACACACCAAGTACAGTAGAACATTCTACATGGACTGGAAATTTATTCTAATGGTGCCCATGCCATAAAAAAAGGAGTTCAAAATAACTATGAGGAATTTTTCAAGGGCTATAATTAACAAGCATTTTGCTCTATTCAGCTGCATACAACCTAACACACACATAAAGCCTAAGTACTTATGCAGAGTGTGCCTTTGCTCTGAACTGACCTTGGCGCCCCATCGTGAGTAGGGCATCTCGAACAGAGTCACAGGAGTGAGCTTCTCCACATTGCCAAAGGCTACCCCTGGGATGTACAATGCACAAACCAGGTGCACCCACCTGCAAAAGAAGGATGTTGCATGTGATTTCGCAAAACGTGAGAAGGAGTTCCGTTGGCATTCCTTATTAAGTAAACAGAAGCAACAAGACGGATGTGTTGATCTGTAGGTTTCTCTATCGCAAAGCTTCATCTAGGTTGCAATGGCAGAAACCACAAAACTGTTTGACATCTACTTCAACAACTGTTCTTTCGATTGAACGAATGCAAGAATGAATGAATGAAACCACTGGTTATGTACTTCAACAACTGTTCTTTCGATTGAACGAATGCAAGAATGAATGAATGAAACCACTGGTTTTGTAAAGTTGATCTGACACACACATCAGTACCACGTTTTTCAATCTTTACGGTGAAAGAAGATTGATGAGGAAAAATAATAAATTGTAACTGACCCGCACTTGCCAATACAATTCAAGGTGTCATTCAAATCGGCCAACTTCCACAATCTGACTTTCTTTTTGGCTCAAGCAACATAGGAACCACCTTGCGACTAGATGGTTCCTATATTTTTGGTGTCAGGATTGATTTCTGGATCACGATGCATTTTTCTTAACTGCAAATGTTTTTTTCTCTTGGGAGCCTTTATAGCTTTCCACGTAGTTTAGCTGTGCTTCTGAATGGTTCAAAAATTCTTCATTCCCAGAAAGATATCATCAGGCATTTCACATATTCATTCTACAGGAGCCACAGGTGCAGGCAAGGGAGACTACTGATATGGCCGAGCATGAGCAGTGGTATTTTATCTGACTTATCTGTCAACTATCAATAAAATATTGGCCAAACTGAAACGGCAAAACTGGGTGAGTTGGTAACTGAACAAAATTTGCTCAGTGGGCAGCGGAGGATAAGGAAGAACAACCACAACCCAAGCGCCAGACTCTACTCCTCTCCTCAATAACAACATAGTCTTTATCATTGCTGTCATCGTTGGTGCTTTCACAATCCGTGAAGTTCAGTAGAAAAATTATCGCCCTCATCTTTAAGCCCCATTGCCAAGGACAACCTGGTTTCCTCCTTTGAGAGACCTTGATAATTGCCAATCACTGCATTAACAATGATTGAAACGTGAACAAACTCATAAAGCCTTTTCTTATAGCCAGTTGTTTTTAAAACAGTGGACATGTATCTCCATCTAAGTTCCAACAGGACCAAGCCAAGAAAAATGCACGCAGTGTGCTGCAACTCATCAAAAATGTACAAAAACAAGCGCTTTCTAGTTTGCCAGTGCAGCGCTGGCCGTGAAAGCAAATGAGTCGAGACATTTCCAACAGGCATGAAAGACGCAGAGGTGCTGTTTCAGCTGACAAAGTGCCATTCGCCAAAACCCACAAGGCAAAGAAAGATTCGTGACGATTCAGCCTCCCTTCCACACTTGTAGCACCACAATGTACTACACACTGCGTAGCACGACAGGCATTGGTATATGCAACTGGCAAATGCACTAGGGAACATTCTATCAAAGATCATGAAGGCTTGCACTTCAACATACTTGCCAACGTCCGTTTCTTTGAATATGCCTCCACTGTTCGGGCAGAGTTCACAAATCTGGAAAATAGAGAAGAGAAGGGTACATCTTATGGTGCTGAGAAGAGCCCAGATATTGGCTAGGAAAATAGATAAGAGAGCCTCACATTGGTAAATGAGAAGGTTCCGAGCAGCTCATTAAAACACCTAAACAATTTTGTGTAGGCAAACCTCCACAAGTTTCTGAGTTAGATTTGCTTCAAATCATCAGTACTTCTCGTGTGCTGTGGAAAACAATATAGTTAGACTGCACTGCAAGTTTAAAGCTAAACGTGCTTATATATACTTCCCGATTGGCGATAGGGGATAGCAACATTTAAATGGAATGCACTTAGTTGTTCCCCACCCTATGCTAGGGGATGAACACGTGGAGTGACCTCCCTTGAATTCGTTCAGTATTTCACTTGAGAAAACAACTCTGACTGCAGTGCCGCCACAACTGTCGCGAGGCGAATATGTTTGTCATTGCGTACTCTGCTACTATCTCAATCAGAAGAGCACTAGTCATACACGTCGACTGCTAGAGCCTTCCTCAGCATGCTTTTGGCAAAACATGTTAAGAAAAAAATTTCAGAAATTTGAAGAGCAGAGCAGAAAAAGCTAAGAGTAAATAAAGAGCGACACACACACGTACATAACAAGCGCCTGCATGTTTGATGCTCTACCTTTAGTTAAGTTTTTGTGTGCTGTTAAATATCAGGATGAACCAATACCAACATACCTGAATTACTGACTTAGGAAACTCGACCGAGAGACAAAAATCTGCTTTATGTGCAAAATTTTAACAAACATGCGAGTTGCTGAAGCGTAAATTAAAGGGCCACTCACCACGCCCCATACCAATTCCCATGGCCCCATACTTCGGGAGTTGTTGGGTGTCCGATAAGAAACATTTTGCCACAAAAATTTTTTGAATCTGTTCATTACGAGCTGAGAAAACTGTTTTTTGAAGCGGTGCAAAACGAGGATGAGAGGAGGCGAGCTCGAAACCCTTGCCGCTCTTCCGTGTAGCCTTCGCAAGCCAAATCTCTTCCCTACCCTCTCCGGCATCTGACCAAGAGGTCACGTGCGCATGACGTGCCCGAACAAGACCAACCTCGTGCACGCGAGCAGTGTTTTTTTTTTGTTCTTGTTGTTGCTGACCAGGGTTGTTTGGAGGTCTACTGCCTGTTTCTGCGAGATGGTTTGGAAACGCTGGCTTAGACGCGTTAGCATAGATAAGCACAATGAGTGCGCAAACGCGTAGGAGCATCCAACGGCTGTTGTCCACTCGATGCGCTGACCGCGGAACCGCGGGGACACGAACGCACACGAAATGCTGGCACATTAGCCCCACATTTCATAGCAATTCGCGCGGAGAGAAATGAAAAAAAAAAAAGAGGACACACATTTTCTTATTGCGTCTCATTATTTATCTGGAGATTTATTAATTTCTTCAAGCAACAAATACATAAACTACGCATGTCCTGTTAAATCATTTTCGCCATGTCACGTGCCACTGTTGGCAACGTCAGAGCATAGTTGTCTACGTAGAGGACCAACGTCACTGCATTGCCGTGTACGTAGGGCCATACATACGCCCACGTCATGGCCTCATTCTCTGGGCGCGCGCCGGCGAAAGGAAGGGAGAGCAGCGTTCATCTTGAAATTTAACCCATTTCCCCGGCACGTAGCATTGCAAATTTTGGCAGACGTGATCATGAACGCCTCATTTACGCATTGCGCTTGTCAGCTCAAAATTGTGGAACCTGGTGAATGGCCCTTTAAAGCAGAGTTTCACTCACAGGCTCTTTCTGCCCAGCTCGGCAAGCATCACAAAACCACGGCTCTGTCGAACTGGAGGAGCCCGTGCTCATGACCGAGTCGCTGTCCGTAATACCGTAGCATCCTATCAAAGAAAACACACACACGTATCGTTCAGTGAAAATTGTCACATGAATAGCAAGCACAGCTCTCTAATGACTTTACTGTGGGCAAAGGACCATATCATATGATCTCCATTTAAGGTGTCCCTTATTTGTTTGCTATGGCCCCCTGTAAAAATAACTTCAAATACATGCCAGGCATACACAAGTCTACAAACAGTAAACTGCACGATGCTGTTTACAGTCTGTAGAAAGGGGAGCCAACTCTCTTCGACTTTGTCACCGACATACACCAAACATTTTGACACAGTAAATCCGCTATAAGTTTGCTGTAATTATGCTCACAAGCTCAGAGCCACATTTCAAACATGCGAGACAGGTGGCCATGTTTTCTGTCCATGGGCGTGGCCTTGTTTTACAGCTTGTCATACTTCTTAATGAAGGAATGGCCACATCCAACAGATTAGTTACATCCAATTTGTTAATGTGACCAACAAACAATATGTCACATTCAACACAGTGTAACCAGTAATAGTTCACGTCAAACACATTCAAAGTGACCTATCACTACTTAGCTGTGATGTATATTAGCTGCTTTTAGAGATTAAAATACATTCATCGCACTACTGCTTTCTTCTCACTCACCTTCATGAACAGACACACCACAGCAATCGCACTCGACAATTTCATCGTCTTCTATGCTGTAAACACAAAACAAGGTCATGCTCACACTTAGTTTCCCACTCATATCTTTTATGTAGTCTAACGTTATTGAACAGTTAACTTCTGCACATCAATCATACCGAGTTTGAGAATGAGGAAAAACAGGTATGCAACCCATGCATATATCAGAAATCATCACGTTCACAGATATGTCTAGACGTAAAAGTGCCAAACAGAAAAGAAGACAGTTCTCCTGCACATGTTCTCAACAGCAACACAATCACAGACTTCATCACTTTTTAGAAAAGTTGTTTGAATAAATTTCATCTACCTTGTTCACGGTTACACAAATTACAAAACGTGTTTACCTTATATCACCAAGGCAGACAGCACAGATAGTGATTTTCAGCTTCAGGGAAGATTCGCCTTCGCCAGATATCTGCAAAGTAAGCAATAAGTATAGCTACACAACAATCATAAGAGAAACGTAAGCATAAACTAAATGCTTCAAGACACTACAACGAAGCCCAGATTTCTGTGATTTCGTTTTGATGGTCACTGTTCACCGGGTTAGTTTTTTGGCTTTGCCGGCAAGTTCTGATCAGTTTTCAGTGTTCACGCATAACAAATTGGTCCCCATAAAGCCAACAGTCGGTTAGATAATCTGCCAAGATCATCACATCATGTGGCCAGTTGCAATGAGATTAGTATGTGCACCCGTCTCTGAGCATCGTTTAGGTCTGGGAGTTTCTTTCTAAACTAGGCACGTGCAAATAGTAAATTTTAGGTTCGAAGTGATTTCGAGGTGAATAGTGATTGTGTGAAGTGTTTTATTTACCCAAATAATTTGCGCACCCTTAATATTTATCCAGCTTTACTAAAAAAAAAATTTACTCGCATATTCGGCGCCCCATGACATGCCCAAGCCAGCTCGCAGGCGCGTGCACGAAGAGAATTTTGATTTTTGAATGCTTTCGACGTAACACGCATGGATGCCCCACATTACAGGTGCTCCTAGGAACTTCACTGATTATGGTTAAATGCAGTAAATGCAGAGGGTGCAATTTCACTAGTGCAGGTCAATCTGAAGATATAGGAGAAGAAAAGAAGGGGTATATTGTAGGTGATTACACTAGGGATAATGCAGGGAAAGTATGTCACTAAAGCCGGGTGAAGTGAGAGTGTGCGACAGTACCTCCACCTTCCTGGTGCTATGGTAACAGGGCGTTTCGTAAGTTCTTTGACCTTCTCTAACATTATCAAAGAAATGTGAAAGCATCATTGCTAAATAGAATGCCCTTAGAGAAACATGTTATAAATCTCCCTATGTAACCTAATCAAGAGATGAAAAAATTCCATGAACACGAATTATCGATGGAGCCCACACTTTAACAAGCGTTCTTGTCTTAGAGATAAACTGGCTACCTAAGTGTAGGTTTACTCGATTCACCCGCATTTATTGGAACCAGTTCACGGCGGTGCCTGACGTGTTCAGAAGTTGTGCAGAACGAGTTCATTCCTGCAGGAACAGTGCGACACCACAAATAAATTATGAGGTGCTGCTGTAGTACAGGCCTTATTCCTTTTTGTTTACTTTAGCCATCCTCCAAACATTGACCGATAGCAAACCGCCCATGTGTTCAGTTTATAAGGCGCAAACATTTTGGCAAAACACACCACGTTAGTAAGCCGGGTACGGCGTCAACGCCTAAATGCTCTATCTTCTCAGCTGCTAGTATGCACGTACATGACTGTACTAAGCTGGCACAGTCAGCAAAGGAGCTGCAGAAAAATTGCGAACCTGTGCTGCACTACTACTGCCCCTTTTAACATGAATGGCGAGGTTCAAAGGTCACCATTGCTGCACCACTGAAACTAATGGCATGGTGCAGCATCTCGTGAACCGATTCAGGTGGTGCAGGCAAATTGAACAGACCCTGCATGTACATGTATGCTGCAGTGACACACCACGTTCCACTAAATTTTTCTATTCCAGCTTGCATTTTCTCCAGAACTCCCGCCTTACTCGTATGTAACCAAGAAATTTGCAATGACACATGGTGACGAGTAGTTTAAAGGGCACTAAAAAGCCAAATGGTTTTTGTCGTATTAGTAAATTATTCTTTCACAGTACCCAAATCCCCAAAATTGCCATGCTAAGACGTTTACTAAGCGAGAAAATGCGCAACGAAAAAATGTGGGTGGTGATACCCACTTGAGGTTCCCATGCTTCATCACAAATTTTCATGGTGTCTACTACAGCCCACGTAATTCTCAATCAGTAGAAACGGTGTACATTGTCCTCTAAGAAGGCTGGACACCTAGCATATTAAGTTTTAGAAAAATTCCTTGAGCCAGTGTGGATGAAATATATATAAAAAGACATTTTGAAATTTGTGCCATGATGAGCAGAGATTACAGCACGAAATTTTAAAGAAAATGAAGTTCTAACCTTAATTTTCTCTACTAAACTGAGCCTACAATGGTGAAATTAACGAGAATAATCTTTTTAAGGCATAATTTATCAGTTTCACTGGTTCCCTATTTCACTTTAGAATCCCTTTATAGTGAGGTATAACAGTACCCACGAAGCCCAGCATAAGAAACCGACAGCTGCTAAACTAGTTTGTAAACATATCTTATCTTACTCGCTGTCGTGCTTGACTTTGCCTTTGCCTTGCCCTCTCAATGAGGTCACCGACGATAAGCTTGGGGACTTTCTTAGTTTCATTAGGCTCGGCAACACCGTTGGCCACCTCAGCAGGAGAAAATTTCTCTTCCTCTTCCGAAGCTGTTCCAGAAGACTCATCGTCATCGTCAACATTTTCCGACGAATCACCTTGATCATCAGATTCCAGGTCTGTAAAATGTAAACATATGCAAACATTCCATGTTGTCACAAAGTGATGTTAGACACTTGAAAATTTTCATTTACTACAAGTAACAATGAACCGAGTGAGCTGAGTTTTCAAAATGAAGCTCTGTGCTATAGATTTTTTTTTTTTTTAATGCTAGGCATTTCTTTGCGTACTGCAAGCATGTTAGGTGTTTGTTGGTCTGTCTGTCAGTCTTTATGTCTAGCCACCTATGTCTGGATATACTTTTTAAATAGACCCTAAAGTTCATATAATGTAAATCGTGGTTGCAGTACTGGCTATCCGATTTTATACACATTACATATGTACTCCTATGATACAGCCCTCATGTTGGGTTAATGCAAATTGTAGTCAGGCGCCATCCACTGAAGTTGATTCGTGTAGTGGTGTTGAGGGCTACCACCCTCACGTGCTGTATAAACACCAGTGCTTCATGTCATCATATCACTTCTGGTATTGCTAATATCCATGTTGTTGTTGGCATCGTTACGTAGCTGTAAACAACTGCCAATATAAAATATGTGCGGCTGTTTAATGTATGTGTGAGCATGGATTTGTACATAAACTTAGTGCCGCTTCATAACTTCTCGTTCAATAAAGAAACAATAAAATAAAACACATTCACCTTCCATCTGCACGCTTCGCATACCATCGATTCCCAAGGTACGTAGGATCAGGCAAATTTTTTCGTTATGATATCAATTGCAGGTAGCTTCAAGTGCACTGAAGCAACTAGTTTGAAAAAGAATTGCACGGCAACCATCCTCACTCCGATAAATTAAACTTGGTTGACCAGTGAACGGTCGCATGTCTACAAATAGGGTTTGCTCGCTGGCATGCGCACATATCATGAAAATCTGAAGATCGCCAATAATTAAGTGCACGTTACAAAATAGGCAGCTCTTTTATTGCATACCTGCACTGTATTGTGCTTCAACTTTTCAAGACATGAATAAAAAAATGCTAGCAATAACGTCGGTCGTAAATCATGCCAACATGCATGGCACAGCCCCGAAACCACTGGTTTCGGCGACTCGCAAACGGTTTCTAGGCTGTCTTTGATTGCGAAACAAAACCGTCAATCAATCCGATATCCTGGAAATGAATAAACGCGTAAACACTTCGAGAAATCAAAACGCACTTGCTTAGATTCAGAGGGTTCGTCGCGAGTTTGATCGAGGCTGCTTTAATGGGCAATTTTGATGAGCCACACGCACTGGCAAGGTTCCTTTTGCAACATCTGACAACCACGTTTTTGCAAGGCCATAGCTGCGCGGTCAACTTGCCAGCGTTCGCCTTTTTCTATACGACTGATGGAACGTTACAGACACGGAGAAAAATTGAACCACAACCCACCTTTCTCGTGATCATCTATTTGAAAGTCGCTGTCATCAGAACTGTCACCATAGTCGGCAAAATCGAGCAGTTGCAGGTGATTTTCGACAGGCTTCACTCTCCGCTTGCTGGGATCTCTTTCCACTTTTTGCAAAAAAAAAAAGGGGGGGGGGGAGAACGATACAGTCAAGTCGTCTTACGCATTCGCAAGACCAGAATGATATACGAACACGCTAGAGCGCGTTTTGTGAACGCTTTGTACGCGATCACTTGCTTTTTATTAGATGAAACATCTTACCCATAGTGCGGTACAGAAAACCAACATTTTCGACGTATCCATCTTTGTCAGTCATGTTTAAGGTAATCCGTACAGTTCTTATCACAGGGCAGCCGTCTTCTCCCTACAAAATGCCAGCGGCAATCACGCTCGAAAGTACACAGTTTCGCTCGCCATTAACACAATCAACCCGGCGCAAAAACAAAATTTTGCGAGGCTCACGAGCGAGGAGCAGTGGCGCTAGTTACCGGATTTTTGAGCTGCTCGTAGTGAACGTTTGACACAATAGAAAGCGACAAACATACTGACAAAATATTTTCATGGCGTTTTTTTTAATTTTACTTATTTTTTTTGAAGTGTTAGGTGCGCGATGAAGATGTTTTTTTTTAATCCACAGTTGAAGCGCCGCTGGCGCCGCAGAACGTCGTCGTTGTCGCTGGAAGCCGTCATCCTTTCGCTGCCACCGCCGTTTTTTGAAACACTTCGCCGACGACGCGCTCAAATGCTCGTGAACGCCGCGCGCCTGCTAGCACGAAGTCATCACTTTGCAGGTCGCCTTTTTGATCACCATTTTCTCGTCGACTACAGGGAGGAATAGAAGTGAGCCCTGCTCTGCATGCCAGTGCTGCGCTGCTGCTGTGCCTAACGCATTTTCGCCGAAATTTGCTCGGAGTCGTGTATTACACTGATTTGGGGTGTCGTAAGCGTTTTTGCCTACTGGCATTTGCTTTAGAATAACAGAGAAGTGAGCCCTTTCGCGGTGGTCTAGTGGCTAAGGTACTCGGCTGCTGACCCGCAGGTCGCGGGATCGAATCCCGGCCGGCTGCGGCGGCTGCATTTCTGATAAAGGCGGAAATGTTGTAGGCCCTTGTGCTCAGATTTGGGCGCACTTTAAAGAACCTCAGGTGGTCAAAATTTCCGGATTCCTCCACTACGGCGTCTCTCATAATCATACGGTGGTTTTGGGACGTTCAACCCCCCCCCCCCCCCCCCCCCATATCAATCAATTCAGAGAGAAGTGAACTAGTTGGTACGTATTCGTGTTAGACTGACCATGCAAATACGAGCATCACGAACACAGCCTTGACGCCTCTCTCGTGTTCGTGTTTGCATGGCCAGTTTTCTAGCACGAGGAGCCAGTCCATTACCACGAGGATTTATGTTTGATGCCGCCATTTGAGAAAAAAAAAAAAATGGGTGAGGGACGCGCGCTTCGAGGAATCTGGACATCTCCCCTAGACCCGCGCAAATTTGGTACACCGTCGCGAGTCATTTAACATTTCAGTAACGTAATCCTCGCTGACTATTACAAAGTATTAGTTCTTTTTTTTTTTTTTGGCCAGATCAAACATTCCTGCTTTCATCTTTTTCCTGCTTCGCGTACCTGTTTGTTTCTCGTTGGGTAAAACATTGCCTTCTCCGAGAAAATATAGGCGTGTGTGTGGCCATTGATTTGGAAAAGAACTTCCCAGAAAGAATTCGCCAAAACGTAGCCGCAGTGCAGAGAGATTGCAATGCTTTTGCAGAATGTAGCTAGGAGCATGACTGCCGCACAAACTTTAACAATACCTCTGTGGTTAACATCAGAGATAATCTCTCGAACTGGCGCATACCACGCCGGGAAACCTTAACGAGCACTTGAGAACGCTTCCTAGCGTATATGTGCCCTGCCTTTGAACAGTCGCCACTAAAGAAGAGGGTGAATTAGATGGGAGAGGTTGCAACTAAGAAGTATACTTGGTTTCAGTAATTATACATCTGTCTCATGCCACTGAATTAAGACATGCAACTTAGCTGTATCATATGCTCACAGGCAATTTACTGATGACATCCTCAACGTGCATCACAAATCTGACAGTGTTGCCACTTCTACAGAAGTAACAGGCACAAATTGTCAAGTCTCAAATTCAGGCATCGCATGAGTACAAAGCTAGAGGTGGTGTACCCGGTTTCAAAGCTTTGTTTACTATATTGCCGCGCGTATGTGCCAGTGGTGAGGACAACGAAGCAGCGCGAGTGTCCTTGGCCAAGGGAAAAAGACGAAAAAGTTGTTGCACTCCGTTTCCTGCAATCTATAAATCGTATTTGTTTGAGGCTCTTTGTGTGCTCGTCAATCTCGCGTCGTCACACTGGTGGAGTTGCTGGGTACGTCTTCATGCTTGGCACCCCTTCGCGGACCCGACATTCAAGCCCGCAATCACTACCACTTGTCGACACTACCACTTGCCGTCTGCGAGGCCTAGCTCCGGAGCTCAATTCCTTTCCAGAAACTGCGAGCAATCGCTTGCCTCCTTCAACCACCATGGCCACTGCAGCTACATCGCGCATGACACTTCAGAATCCCGTGATTCCTGACTGCTTTCATGGTGAGACCTATAAAGATGCACAAGACTGGCTGGACCAGTTCGAACGCTGCGCGAAGTACAACCAGTGGGCCACCCCAGAAGACTAGCTCGCGAATGTGTACTTCTGCCTGAAAGACAACGCACAGACGTGGTACATCAACAGGGAAAGAAGCATGGCTACGTGGGACGACTTCCGCAACCAGCTGATCGACACCTTTAGTAGTCTTGACAGAAAGGAGAATGCGCGTCTCTTGGAAGCTCGAATTCAAAAACCAAACGAGAGCGTCGCTATGTTCGCCGAGGACATGACCCGTCTTTTCGGCAAGGCGGATCCTGAGATGCTGGAAGACGGGAAGCTGCGGTATCTAATGCGAGGCGTGAAGGAGCAACTGTTTGCTAGGCTTGTGAGAAATCCGCCAACAACAGTAGCTGAGTTTACAAAAGAAGCCACAGCTATTGAACGGGCCCTACAGCAACGGTACCGCCAGAAGAACTCGGTCAACGTTCGAGCGAGTAGCCCTGTTACGACTGCGGCGGGCCTCTGCGACGACAGGCCTCTACGGAAAGTCATCCGGGAGATTTTGAGGGAGGAGCTTCGGCAGCTTGGTTTAATTCCAGCAACTGAACCGACGCCGGCATTGTCTTTTGTCGCTGATGTTTTCCGGGATGAGGTTCGCCAGGCTCTCTCTTCATCCGGCTACAATCGTGTGCGACGACATTTTACTTATGCTGATGCAGTCCGACGCCCCGTCGTCGCGCCTTCAGCACAGCAGACTCCAATGACTGGACCACCACCAACCTTGCAAACACAGCCACTGTCAGCACCGACCACTTTTGCAACCTCACCGATTCCTCCGACAAGACGAATGCCGTATAGCCAACATGCCCCACAACGTGGCCCAATAGTGAGTCTCCACTTACCTACCAGCATCGGAAAACCGATTTGTGGCGTACCGCTGACCATCGACCGGTATGCTTTCATTGTGGCGAAGCTGGGCACGTCTACAGAGTTTGCCATTATCGTGACGCTCAGTACTCGAGATTTCCTCGCTACCCTGATTACATTGCGTACGACGATCGACGCATGTACAACTACGCCCCTGTGAACACACCGCTGCAGAATCCAGTAATGCCCAGATTCCGTTCTCCATCTCCTGCGCGGCCCAGTTCACCTAATCGTCGCAGTTTTGCCGACGTCACCAGGGGCAGGTCCCCTAGTCCGCAACGAGGAAACTAGACGCAGCGACCTCGGGGGGTGGGGTTGCCAATAATCGAAATTCCGAACAGCCCCCATTGCAGACAAATGACAGCTCGAAGCCACCGATACCGAAGAAGACGACAGCAACGACTAACTCGACGTATGAGACAACTGCCGACGTAACCGACGTTATCAGCGCTGACCTCATCGTTTACATTGACGGCCACCAAGTGACGGCTTTTGTGGACACTGGCTCCCACTTTTCTGTAATAAGCCTACAGCTAGCCGAAAGACTAAGGAAGGTGAAAATGCCATGGCAGGGACCCAATATAAGAACTGCAGGAGGTCAGTTGATGACACCGGTTGGAAAGTGCACGGCCCGACTCTTCATCGCTGGTTCCACCTTTGTCGGCACCCTCGTCATTCTCCACGAGTGCTGTAAACAGCTCATATTGGGAATGGATTTTTTGCGCGAATATGGGGCTGTGATTGACATCCGTGACAGAAGCGTAACGTTCACTGTAAGCTCGGAGACTGCTACAGATGAGGAACACCAGCCACCTCGCTTCCGTATTGCCGATGACGACGTCATACTGCCGCCACGAAGTTGTTCCCTCGTATCCGTGCACTGTGACAAATTACAAAACGGTACTGGCATCGCTGAACACATCAAGGAACTCGCATTCACTAGTGGCATTTCTGTTGCCAGGGCTGTCATCACTGTTATTGGTGGGTGCGCTGAACTGCTATTGACAAATTTCAGCAGAGAACGCCGACACATAGTTAAAGGCACGGCTCTTGCCTATTTTGACGAACTCTTGCAAACAGAAGATTGTCATTTAGTGGAGGAAGCAGCAGCGTCTGCTATCACTACACCGACACCTGTCGACGTTGGTCCAATGTTATCTCCCATTGAGCGAGACCGCCTTCTCACGCTGATCAACAAGTTCCACGGCTGCTTCTCATCCACATCAAGAGTTGGTCAAACGGCACTGACTAAACACCGCATCATCACGGATTCCGATGCCAGACCCATCCGGCAAAATCCTTATCGAGTCGCCCCAAAGGAGCGTGAGGCAATTCAAAAACAGGTGAAAACGATGCTAGAAGATGGTGTTATTCGGCCGTCTAACAGTCCTTGGGCATCACCTGTAGTACTCGTCAAAAAGAAGGACGATAGCTTGCGTTTCTGCGTCGACTACCGTAAGCTTAATCAGATCACAAAGAAGGACGTCTACCCTCTGCCACGTATTGATGATTCATTGGATAGACTACGAAACGCACGCTACTTTTCCTCTATGGACTTAAAAAGCGGCTACTGGCAAATTGAAGTGGATGAGAGAGATCGTGAGAAGACCGCCTTTGTTACGCCTGACGGACTTTATGAATTTCAGGTTCTTCCTTTCGGTTTGTGTTCGGCGCCAGCAACATTCCAGCGTCTCACGGACACGGTTCTGTCGGGACTTGAGTGGCAAACCTGCTTGGTGTACCTCGACGACGTGATTGTCTTTTCGGCAACTTTCGAGGAACACTTACGAAGGCTCGAAGCAGTTTTTGAAGCAATACGCTTGGCCGGTCTTACTCTAAAACCAGAAAAGTGCCACTTCGGCTTCCACGAACTTCAATTCCTCGGTCACGTCGTGAGCAGCCAAGGGATCCGACCCGACCCGGATAAAATTGCCGCTGTGGCAAACTTCCAGACGCCATTAGACAAAAAATCAGTGCGACGTTTTTTAGGACTCTGTGCCTTTTATTGCTAATTTTTCGCGCATTGCATGGCCATTGACACAGCTTACTCGGGAAGATACCCCCTTCAGATGGGGCGAAGACCAACAGCAGGCATTTCACGAGCTTCGTCAGCGAATGCAAACACCCCCCGTGCTGGCCCACTTCGATGAAGATGCGCCGACAATACTTCATACAGACGCTAATAATGGGGGTCTTGGAGCAGTGCTCGTACAGTCGAAGGACAACAACGAAAACGTGATCGCCTACGCCAGCAGGATGCTGTCCCGAGCTGAAGCTAATTACACTACGACGGAAAAAGAATGTCTTGCAATGGTATGGGCAGTCCTGAAGTTTTGTCCTTATTTGTACGGCCGCCCATTCACCGTTATCAGCGATCACCACTCTCTCTGTTGGTTAGTCAACTTAAAAGATTCGTCTGGCCGCCTTGCACGATGGAGTCTTCGACTCCAAGAATTTGACTTCACTGTTGCCTACAAGTCGGGAAAACGACACACCGATGCCGACTGTCTTTCTCGGTCTCCTGTTGAGACGGCATCCCCGGACAACGACGATGACGACACGGCCTTTCTCGGAATTGTGGACACTGCCGCCTTTTCTCAACAGCAGCGTGGCGATGCTGAGGTGCTACCACTTATAGATTACCTACAAGGGCGAGCGAATAGCGCTCCGAAGTTATTTGCGAGAGGGCTGCCGTCGTACTGCTTGCGAAATGACGTTCTTTATAAGAGGAACTTTTCACCCACCGGCAGCAGCTACTTGTTCGTAGTTCCTTCTTCGCTTCGCCGTGAGGTACTGCAAGCCTGTCACGACGAACCTACCGCTGGTCACTTGGGTTACGCAAGAACATTGGCGAGGATAAGGCAGAACTATTACTGGCCAAGACTTGCCGAAGTTGTCAAAACTTACGTGCAGGCATGTCTAGATTGCCAGCGCCGCAAGCCACATTCCATCAAACCAGCTGGCCTGCTGCAGCCTGTCCGAGTGCCGGCGACACCATTTGCACAAATTGGCATGGATTTTCTGGGCCCCTTCCCTAAGTCTGCCACTGGAAACAGGTGGATAATCGTCGCCACGGATTACCTGACCCGATACGCGGAGACAGGTGCTCTGCCACAGGCAACGACAGCTGAAGCGGCGCAATTTTTCATCGAAGCCATCGTCTTGAGACACGGTGCTCCCGCAATAGTCATCACCGACAGAGGTACTGCGTTCATGGCCGAGCTTTTGAACACCATTTTCCGACTAAGTGGTACAGCTCACAGGAAGACAACGGCGTATCATCCCCAGACCAACGGGCTCACCGAACGCCTCAACAAGACCCTGGCTGACATGATAAGCATGTACGTAGATGTAGAGCACAAGAACTGAGACATCATTTTGCCCTACGTCACGTTCGCGTACAACACGGCTCATCAAGAGACCACTCGGAAGACACCCTTTAATCTCCTTTACGGACGCGAGGTTACAACAACGTTAGAGGCAATGCTCCCTCATTAAAATGATGGCGATGAGACAGACGCCGAAGAGTTTACCCAGCTAGCAGAAGAAGCCAGACAACTTGCCAGGTTGCGAATCACCAAACAGCAAGACGACGATGCCAAGTATTACAACCTTCGGCACAGACCTGTCATATACAACGTGGACGACAAAGTAGGGGTCTGGACACCTGTTCGTCACCGTGGGCTCTCCGAAAAGCTGTTGCGAAGATACTTCGGACCCTACAAGGTTCTGCGACGCATTAGTGACGTCAACTACGAGGTTGTTCCGGACGGCGTGCAGTGTTCAAAGCGGCGCACACATTCACCAGAAATTGTCCACGTGCTTCGGATGAAGCCTTACTTTCAGTGACTAACTGTGCAGTTTTGGTTTCGCCTTGCTTCTCAAACGCTTATAACATCGGGACGATGTTTTTTTTTAAAGGGGGAATAATGCCGCGCGTATGTGCCAGTGGCGAGAACAACGAAGCAGCGTGAGTGTCCTTGGCCAAGGGAAAAAGACGAAGAAGTCGTTGCAGTCTGTTTCCTGCGATCGATAAATCGTATTTGTTTGAGGCGCTTTGTGTGCTCGTCAATCTCGCGTCGTCACAATATATGAAGCTTCAGAAATAATTTAGTCTCTGTATTTACACTGTGCATTTAGTAACCTAATGAAAATTGCTGTTTTATTGTCAAGTCCTAACCAAATCATGCCCTACCTAACCAACTCTCCTCTCCCGTATATGGTCAGCTAAGAATATTAGTGGCACTGAAAACATTCTGTCAAATCCACTTGGTTACTAATTTTTATATTGCCTGCAGTACCATTGCCATTCACTTAAATTTTGACCACTGCATTGCAGGTCTGTAATGCGAGATGGCTGGGCAACTTATTATTAAGAAGCTCAAGGCTGGCACCTTTGAAGGGCTCTCAAATGATGTAAAGGTAAGGAACTTTTCTGCTTGTCCCAAGGTTTGCCTGCTTTGCACTGCAAGCTGCGAACATCCTTATTTTTGTTTTGTTTTTTCAGAGTTGCATAGCCTCCACATGCAACGACCCGCACAAGTGTGGAGACTTCATCAAAGATTTGTTCTCACAAATCGTGAAGTCCCACGATTCTGGTGCCCCGCACAAGATCCCACAGGAAATTTTGAAGTCTATAGAACTGGGCCTGCATACTCTTAACAATGTCCTAAGAACGTGCGACATCACTGACCATCTCAACATTTCATACCACATCTTTACCTTACTCCTAAAAGAGGTACAGAGCATGCTTGTATTAGTAAAGAATCTGGTGAAAAAAAAAGCCATGACCCATTGTAACAGACTAACCATAAAATAATTTAAATAAATAAAGCCCCTTACAGCATTATATTTTAACTTAGTGCTGCATAACTGTAACTTAAAGTATGGGGAAAGATTTGGGCATTGCAGATTTTATTTTTGAGAAATGCCTAATGTTATTAGCACGAGGTTTATTAAAACATCACAAAATAGATTTGAAATGTTGTAATAGTAAAGGTAACCTGTAGTAGTTTGTAAAAATGCAAAAAATTTCTAAAATGCTATCTAATGTTCTTTTAGATATTTGGATGCTTGAAAAATCTTTCACTCAGTTCATCAACTTTTCAATGAATTAAGGTCATGGCAGGCAAAGTAAAAAATAGTTTGTAGCAACTTTACAAATGTCCAAAAACTTTTTGGGTGAAAAGATAATACAAATCTGAGCAGCATTAATCGTGCATTATGCCGTGACATCACATTTTCAAATGTGTAAAAGTAATGTTCCATGGTTACAGATAACTGATAACATGATGTTTGCATAGTTAAGGATTGGACCACCATGCATAGTTAGGGTCTTGTGGTAGTTTAAGCTTACACTGTCACGATTCGCTAATGGTTTCACTCTAGGTTAATTTGGAATACCTCTATCTTAATTTTTATTCATAATGCTATTGTGAAAAATCTTCCATCACTTTTGTAAAATTTTGTGCTATGTATAAATACATGAAATGCCATCTGATGGTGTGGACTGGACTATTTAATGAGATAAGAAATGGAATGTCTAGTAGCACTTGACTGTACATCAAATACAATTCAGCACTAATACTACTCATGTGACATATACACTATTAAGGCCAAGTGTTGTTATTATGAGCGGAGTTCCAGTTAATAATTCGCAACCCCCCCTTTTTTTTTCCTCTTTCCTGATGTCAGGAACAACTTTGGCAGGCATTAACAGCGGCCCAAGTAATGCTGTCTCTGCTCGAAACAATGGACTGCCAGAGCCCCAAGGCTTCAATCGTGATTTCCAATGCATATGTGCAGCTGTGGAATACTGCGCTCGAATTGCGTCAGAAAGGAATGCAGGATGACCACGCGATTGCCTTCGAACTGCTGCTGCATGCTTTGAACTTCCTCTGCCTCAAGGGCGAAATCGTGGCCGTCGCCGAGAAGCACAGCATCGCTGCGAGTTGGTGTGCCATCAAATTGAAAAATGAACCGTGGCTAGAACGGCTACGTCGATGCGTCTTGCCCGCCATTTCTGCACTCCTCAAGCGCACGCCCTCGAATCTGCGAGCGTGCGTGCCGGTTGTTGTTGACATGCTCCTTGACCAGCATAAAATGAGCTTCAAGCTGGGCAAGAACTTCAGCCTCGTGGCTGAATGGCAAAGCGTCGCGAACGAAGCGTTGTTTGGCCACGAGGTTTCTCTCTACCACCACGTAACTTCTTTGCTGAGTGTCGTGGATCAGGTGTCTGTCGTGAGCCTGTGCGTGACCGAAGGGAACAGTCCAGTACCCAACATCAAGCTTCCCAAGAATGTCCTGTGGTGGGAGTGTCGGCCCTGTGCCGAGGAGTTCGTTTGCGTTGCCTCCTGCATGCAGGTGGTCCTGATGCGACTGCATGCCGCAGAACTGTTCATTCAAGGCGCCTCCAGCCGGCAAGAGTTTGTGGCTGCCATCACTGCAATCCTGGGTCTCAGACCTTTCGTCAAGCAGTATCTAAGCTGCCTTGGCGACATCAAGGCAGATCTATCGCACGTCTTGGTGGCCTTACGAATGCTCAGGGCCTTGCTCATACTACAGACCTACTTCATCCAAGAGACAAAAGGCAAAGTATTTCAGTGTACTTTGCTCTGCCAGTATTACACTTTGTTGCACATCAATAATGTGCCGACATCATTGATGTTATATTTTCCATCATTGTTAAATCAAACAAAGCGGAGTATACTTAACACACCCTGCCAGCGGATAAATATGCCTGGACACAAAGGCTCTTAAGGTATTAGTTGTGTGTATAATCAGTCTCTCTTGCGCTGAGGAATTTCACTTCTATACTCTGATTAATTACCATGCATTTGGCCAGGGCTGCTACGATTAAAGCTTTGAAGTGGGGATAACATTTTTAGAGCTGTTCTAGAAATCGGATTTTTATTTAAATCTTGTCACTTGTAAACTTTTGCATGCATGTGCCAGTTGTCATAGGAAATTAGATATGCACGAGTGTATTAAACGCAGTATTTGCTTTACAGCTTCAACGTTGCAATTTGTGCACTGTTGTCTTAGCAGAAATTGTAAGAATATGTGAGTGTTGTGTACCAGTCAACATTGCCTAGTTTTGTCTGCCGCGGTGGGTCAGTGGCTAAGGTACTCGGCTGCTGACCAGCAGGTCGCGGGATCGAATTTCGGCTGCGGCGGCTGCATTTTTGATGGAGGCGAAAATGCTGTAGGCCCGTTTGCTCAGATTTGGGTGCACGTTAAGAAAACCCTAGGTGGTCATAATTTCCGGAGCCCTCCGCTACGGTGCCTCTCGTAATTATATGGTGGTTTCGGGACGTTAAACCCCACAATCAATCGGTGGCTAAGGTGCTCGGCTGTTGACCCAAAGGTCGTGGGTTCGATCTCGGCCACAGCAGTCACATTTCGATAGAGGTGAAATGGTCAAGCCCTGTGTACTGTGTGATACCAGTGCACGTAAAAGAACATGATATGTTCAATATTTCCAGAGCCCTGCACTACAGCCTTTCTGATAACCATATCGAGGTTTTTGGGATGTTAAACCCTAGATATTATTATTAATACTATTATTATCATTATTAAAATTACCTAGTTTTCCATACATTATCGATTTTGAAATATTCAATTTCACATACGTCCCTAAATTTTAAAAGTGCATTCTGTTTGTGGAGAAGGTCTATATGTGCTAAAATAAAGCACTACAACAGATTTTCAAAAATATATTAGTACAAAAAAAAAACTATAGTTAGCACCATCTTCTCGTAGCTGTGAAGCACCGTAAGTGTATGTGCTTCTAGAACTTCTTGAAAATTTTCCTGCGCAGGCAAAATCGGCAACAGCGTAGTCGCTGAATGGTTCACTGTGACTTGGAAATGACACGTTGCTTTGGCTTCTGTGACATTTCTCACTTGAAGCTCCTTGAATGCTGCTTTTAAAGACTACTTGCCATACACAAAGTCTATGTATAATGGAAAAGTTGGCGGCTCAAGACAAAAAAAAAAATGGCCTATATTATTGCCTTTTTCTTCGTCACATTCATGCGATATTTACAAATCTTTACGACGATAGGTTGGAAGAATATGTCGTAAGACACATGGGTGTTTAAAGCAACTGTCTATGGAAAAGAATGCAGGGCACGAAGCATGAAGTTTTGTGTTTCTTCAAGTACTTTTTTTGTTTAAGACCAACACTTGCAGAAAATCGCTTCAGGCATAGTGTACACATCTGCACCGGTGACACGTTTTGGGCAGCTGTAGCGAGAGAATGCTACAAATAAATTGAAGGCCTTGTATGTCCTGCATAAGTTTCATTTAGTTAGCTTTAATTTTAGTTTTATTCACGCAATATACTTTGATGACAATACCTTGCTGGGAGGGAAATTAAACATGACTCATTTGGGTATGGCTGGTAACTTGCTATTCGTATTTGTAATTTTAGCTCCTGAACAACTACATTGTTATGGTATTAAAATAACCACGTTGCTTGCACACCAAATAGACATATAACTGCATGGCATACATCAATCCTATGTGAAAACAGCTATGTTACAATGCATTAACCAAGTGCAATAATTTTGCATCAATTGAGTGTGCAACAGTTGGAGTGAAATTGCATAACTTCGACACTTTTTCGGCAACTCGTATTTTGTAACTGATGAAGTTATGCAAATTCTGTTTCATTTCAGACAAGGATGAATGTGCAAAGGTGCTCACTTTCCCAGAAAAATTCTGCCCATCATCGCTCCTCAAGATTGCAGAAGCATCTGTTGCTGAAACGACAGAAATAGGCCTTCTCAGTATGAATTGCTGCATTTCTCATTTGTGCAGTCAATGTGTTGTGACAGCGTGTTTGTTTAGACTATTCTCCAATATAACTCCTTTTGTCCCATGGGGCAAGTTCTTCATCACTGGCTTACGTGTGACCAGATTCCCTAAAATTGTCTGAATCAAATTAGTGTAAAGGAAAAAAAGTGGAACCAAGGGTAGCAGTATTGTTAGTGAAAAAATGTGAAGCTGGCAGACAATGTAGACCAAGAAGAGAATAAGGAGAATCGTTTGCTTTCTTTTTATTCCAATAAAGATCTATTAAGGTAGACAGAATTGAATTTTCTTGAAAGTACATCCCATCTATGCTTCAGTCTCAAAATTCTAGTTCATGTCTTTTATTCCTTTATTGGTCTCGCATATCATCGCTAGAGAATAGACCTAGAAGAATTCAATTCGTAGCCTTAGCGCCTGCATCTTAATAAAATGAAATGCAGAAGCACTCAAATAACTAGCGGCGTTTCTCATAATTATATGGTGGTTTTGGGACATTAAACCCCATATATCAATCAATCAACCCGAACAACTAGGTTTAGGTGCATGTAAACAACCCAGAGTACTGAAAATTCAGTCTTCGACGACGTTGTGTTTCACAAGAATATCTTTGTTTTGTCATGCGAGGCCACAAAAGTTTATTTTTTTGAATATTTGTTTTCACAGGTAGGACATTTTACGCTTTGGCATACAACTGTTTCCAAAAAAAGGCCAACAAACATGTTGCCTTCTACACCAAGATCAGCGTGGAGCTGGCTGTCCTGCATGTATCTCACCACCCAGAGGACAACACTGTGAATTTTCAGGTGTGCAAAGAAACTTTTTGAGTTCCTCAACATTACTGTGCTGTATGTTTGTGGCCTTCACCAAAGCCGATGCATTCACGTCTTATGGTATTTTTTTAATCAGACCCTTTTTATGTTTGGGCATTGAAAAGAAACAAGTGCAATGCGTAGACCCTATGTTTACAATTGCGTGCGGGATGTATCAAACCAGCACGCTGCACCAATATGAGCTTGTCTCGAGAGAGCTACACTTAAGGCCTGATAATTAGTGTTTGATGTGCGGCATGTTTGGAATGTTACCTTGGTGAATTAATTCAGCGCAGAATTTGTGAGTTTCGTTGTAAAAGTTAAAAGTGATTCGTAGAGGTTTGGCACGTGCTCCAATAGAGCAAGCAACATGTAAGAATTCTTTTCAAAGAAAGTCGTTGTGCAGCTTCCAGAAAGTAATGACACAAGTTAACGCTTATGCTGCCTTTGGAATTAGTAGTTTTGCCACAGGCAAAGGTAGAACTTGAGTCATTTTTTTCTTTTCAAGAACAGACAAGTATTTCTCAAACCGAGTCCACGAAACACTTTCTGCAACATTTCGGGCTGAACAGAGCAGTGGTAAGCGCGAACTAATTTTTCTAAGGCTTTGGGCAGTGATCGTAAAAAGGTAATGTCTCCCATTTCGATGTGCTGCTTTTTTCTTGTTATGGAGATGGCTTGAACAGCCGCACAAATCTTCAGCTAGCGTGCACGAGCAGCGGCTTTTCTCCACTTTGGTGCCATATAATGGTGCCAGGTTGCAAACAGGGTAAGGTTAAGCGCATGCTCACAAAGTGCACCAAGCTGAACCCGTCGTTTGTAAGGCAGGTTTTTCTTGAGGATGTCACCCCACAAAAGCCCATTTCAAGTAAAGCATGTTTTTCAGCTCGTCTCGCTAGTATGAGGGGCTCTGTGGCATATTCTTTAGTTTCCTTTGTTCCATTGCTTGCTGCAATGTTTACGTTCATAACAAAATACGAGCCATACCATCCACCTACTTGCGCTGCCTGTTCGTTAGAGGTGCACTAATATGGTGCGTTGTCCTTTAAGAAAGAGCAGCATGGCAGGTCACGGTAGTTCACCGCAGTACATTTGTTGGGCATGCATTTACCCTCACTCTGTTTTCAGCTTGGCACCATTATGTGGCACTGATGCACCGAAAAGTCCTCTCGCACACAGTAGTTAGAGATGAGTGTGGCTGTGCAACCAGAGTGGTTTATAACACCTAGCACTTCAGATGCCTAATATACCATTACTGAATAGCGCCCCACCCCGGTGGTCTTGTGGTTAAGGCTGCTGTCCCGCAGGTCGAAAGATGGAATCCCGGCTGTGGCGGCTGCATTTTCGATGGAGGCGAAAATGCTGTGGGCCCGTATGCTCAAGCTTGGGTGCACGTTAAAGAACACCAGGTGGTCGAAATTTCCGGAGCCCTCCACTACGACGTCTCTCATAATCACATGATGGTTTTGGGATGTTAAACTCCACATATTAATTGTCACTGAATAGCATCTTTGCTGAAATCGAGTCTCGTCGAGAAGACATGGAAGCGGGCATTTTTGTGTGAGCATGGTAATGGGCAATTTTGTTGGCTGTTTAGGGAAACATCAGAATTTGTGGTGTCGATCTGTAATATTGAAAAGGCTCGCAATGTTATACCAGTGTCGCATGAACACTTTATGGTGATCAGTGCCAATAGGAATCAAGACCATCGCGATCTGGCTCTGATTTTGATTGGGCTGATGTCTGTGATAAACTCTATGCGAATTTAGGCTGTACTGTACAGCAGTGACCTATTTGTCGTCATGATCGAAATTGCAATTGCGATCAAGTGTCCGTGTGACACCAGTATTACTGTGTAGTTGTAACTCTCCTCTTCTTGTAAAAAAAAATAAATAAAATTTCCAGAAGGACTTCTGGAAGCGGTGCGAGCTGCTGCTGTGGCAGTACAGGCAAGAGAAGCAATACGCTGAGGCACTGCTCATCACGGGAAAAGTCGTGAACTTGGGTACCGAGCTGCGTTCCCAGGCCTTGGTTCGCTGGGTCAGGATCCGAAAGGAAATGGACGCCTTGCCCAAGTTCCGAGGGTACGTTTATTTGGGGCTGCAAAAGCCCAGATGCATCCTACTGGTACTACACTTGGTTTCAACCTAATAAAAAAAAAAAATGTAAGCTCCACCTAAGGTGTCACAGCATGCCTCCCCTTTGCCTCTGAAGGACAGCCATGCTAGCTGGTTTCCGCCCAAACTGTAAACACATTTTCTCAGTTAATATGAATAATACCCACATTTAAGGGTCCGCAACACATTTACAAGTAACCATCGAATAGCTTCACTGAAATTGCGGTGGTCGATTTGCCTTGCAAATCGACCACCTCAAACAAATTTTATAATCTGTCAAATTGAAATGGAGACCGAAGTTTGTCGCATATTCTAAACACTTTTTTTCTTCTCTCGTACAAACGTAGTGCTTAAAGCAAAGTGGGGAGGGATGGCATGAAGGAAAGAAGTTACGTTGTGCGCGCACCATGATGTTGAGCACTTTTTTTTTTCTTTGAACGGGCAGCTAACTTTCAGTGAGATCGTGAGTGCACAAGTGGGCACATAGCGACTTCTCACGGCAGGCGCAGTAAACATTCAGCTCGAATCAGCCAATAGCTATGAATATGGATATGTGGCCCAGTCATTGGAGTCTATGGCATCATTTGTAGAGAAATGAGGGGGTGATTTTCAATAGACATTAAGGACTAACTGTTAAGTTCCAGGCTGCGTGCTGCGCTAATGTTTGGCGTACATGTACTGAGAAGCCTAGACTACCGACCGGCAACGTTTCCTGACCATGGTAAAAGCATTGCAGGGCCCTATTAAGGGCTGAAGATTCATGGATGGCAATGTCTGTTAGCAGAGCTGACATTTTTTCATAAGTTGCAACAAGCTATAGCAAATAGGCCAGAAATTAGGTTTATAATCAAGCTACCAAGCTTGCGAGGAAGTCTGGGACTGCATAGCAAGCATTGGAACGAAAAATGTTAAAGGGACACTAAAGGTAAATATTAAGGGTGCACATGGGCCTTGTGTGAAACATCTATTGCTACTGCTGCTAGAGTAATGAAACTTGCGGATAATATGTAATTTAATGTGCTGATTACAAATATACAACTAGTTTTTGTGTGTCTTATGCAGAAAATAATACAATTTTTTCTGTTTTTTTTACTTCTGGGATGACTGGCAATAAATGTATTATAATAAGAAAGCTAAATGTTACATTTGTGTATTCCTGAATGCTCAATGAATGCAAGAAGCATAATTTTATGTTTCTACACTTATTTTATACCAAATTACGAAAGTTGAAACATTAAACGTGAAACATGCATTCGCTGTCTATCGTATGCCCAGATTTTCAAAATTTTTCCCGGTGAAGAAACATTGTACTATAGGCATCTTGCACTCTTTGGAAGCCTAGCTATCAGATAAAAAAAAATCCTATCAGAATTGGGCGATTAGAAGGGTAACAACAGCCCCCCACAAAAGCGGAGACAACCCAAAAAAGTGTTCTGAGAAAAATGGAAAAAACTAATGACCATGTAAAAGACGCTCTTTATCTTTTGGATGAGCACAATTACAACTGCCAGTGGCTCAGAAGGCTCCTGGAGAATAATCTGGGTGTGGCTTTCCCCTCTGCCTCCGCTTAGCAGCTGCCTGAAAGGCTACTGAACTGTTTCTCTGCATCGACAGTTATGGCATTTTCCGTGAGTGAAAGTAGATAGTTCGCGAAGTAAATATTCTCTCCTGGCAAAGCTGTACATTCTAGAAGCCTAGAATTTTGTGAGAACATGCAGGAAGATGTCCTGAATGCAATACCAACAAAATTGAAAAATCGTTTTTTTTTTCACAATTTTTTTCGTTTTCAAGACCCATGTGCCCCCTTAAGTCTACGTTGATTGTTGAAAGAGTGGTCCAGAAACCTCGTAGTGTCAATTTTGTGCCAAGGAAGTGCTTATTTTGAAATTAAATCATGTTATAATGGTCTGCATCGCGTTGGCACACTTCAAAACACCCGCGCGTGAGAGCGGACTCTAAGACGTCACAGTTTTCGTTCCCAACATTGCCCGCCTTTACTATGCAGCTACCGACACTAGTAGCAGCAGACTGAAAGTAGCAGGATCCACATTAGAAACGACAACCATTGAAAAATTTTCTGCAATTTGGAAGGCCAAGATTCTGCTTGCTTGGTACAACTGAGACCCGCTAGATGGCCCCACCTATCCACCCTAACCAGCCAAAAACTGAACGATTGAAGTACTCACGCTATTCCTCATAGTAACACCAGGTAGTCTTATTTTAGAGCGAAAGCTGTTATGAGATCAATTTTCGGGTCACGCGCAGTTGTTGTCCGCCGCTCCTGCCGGTGTCCGTAATCACATTGCGCGAAATTGGAAAAAAAAAAAACCTTGCACCAATGACGCAGTGGCGCTTGAACCCAGGTCCGCTGAGTGCAAGCTTAATATTCTACCACTGAGTTACGCCGATGCTTATAAATTGTTGTCAAACTTGCCTTAGGCAGGCATGACCTGACACCAATGGCACAGTGAGGCTCTAACCAGGGTTCACTGGGTGCCAGCCCAATATTCTACCACTGAGCTACACCGGTGTTTGTGACTTGTTGTCAAACTTGCCTTAGGCAGGCTTGATGTCGAAAAAGCAATTGTGTTAATATGATTTGTAAAGCGTTTTACAACAACAAAGAACAACTGGTCATCTCGTAATCCGAATTGCGTAACGAGTGGGCCGTTCAATGCTCCTACCCACCACAAAAGCTTATTTTTGTTCCTCTATTAACTGTGGCGCATACTTACTTCAGCCATAATTCTTCATCGTTGTCAGCCACTGCATGAGCAATTGGCACAAAATTCCTTGCAAGTGTTTAGCAAATACCATGCTTCTCAGAAGAATGACAAAAAATAACATAGCGAATGCCTGCCTACTATCCAAATAAATTTATTAATAATTACGTAGTGGGTATCAAGCAAGTGTGCTTGCAGTAGTTACCCAATGAGTGTTTAGAAAAGGCTGTGAAAGGCCACTGTTCTAGCTTTCGCTGTGATTGTGCTGCGCCTTCAGCGCAGGCCTGGCGTTCCTTTTATAAATCAAACATAAGCAGACAAGCAGCATTTTATACATCTCTTCATGCACGGAAAGTTTTTTTATTGTAGGCAGTTTGATTACTAGTGACTAATTGCAGGTGGACACTCTCGCATCATCGGGATCATTTCGCAAATGTCCCACTGATGGCGCACGTCTTGTGACACACGTAGATTAATCTTTTCGTAAGTAAGGCTCTGCTGTTGATAATATGACCATTTTGGACCTCATACATTGGGTTTTTACTCCGACATAAATTGTCTTTAGCCTTTAGTGTCCCTTTAAGCATGGCATAAAGAGGTGGAAAGTAAGCAATGCAGATTAGTCAATATACGTGGTCATCATTCTAGTTGACATTGCGTGGAACTGCTTGTAGGGCATCTAATGCCCCTGTCACACGTGGCACTTTGAGCGAGTGTACTTACGCTTACAAAGTGTCATTTTGGCGGTTTGCTGCTACACGAGAAACCGAAATGTACTTTGGAAATGATGGCAGTGGCGATTGGCAGGTTTGTAGCGCAACATATATTTTTGCGCCCCTGTCTCATCGTCGGACCATGATGTCTTCATGGAGGTAGCAGCAGTGGCACACGCCATCGCAAACGACTAGAGAATGACTGAGCTACTTATGTGAAAGTGTGCCTAGAAGTAAAAAATGTGGCGGACGCAGTCATTGCACAGGATGTGCTGCCGCAACCCCCTATCGGATGTGGCCGCAAACTGCCCAAGGGTGAGAGTAGTGAGGTGTTTTGTAGTATTATGACTTGTTTTTATAAATAGCAGTATTCCTTATATTGAACACAATATTTTAAACTTAGTATGAGCGCCACTTTAGGCAACAGTGCATTTCTGTGCAAGTCACTGGTATCGAGGCTACGTATTTTGCCGCAGCGAAGCGAGGTTGGGGAATACACTTGCCGGCAAGTGTACAATGCAACGAGTGACACTAAACTCTCTCATGAGGCAATGCGCAAATGACACTTGCGGCAAAGTGTACCCGCTCAAAGAGCACTCAAGTTGCCACTTGCGACAGGGGTATAACAACTGTACTATATTAATCTAGAATGACAACAGCAAAGGGGTAGGTGGTGTGATGAACTTGTACAACTTGCAATTGTAGGGTTGTTGGCCTGACGAGCGAGTGTGGTAAATGAAAATGGAAATTGCTTGTTCAGGCATTTATCTTGAAGCGGATATGAAATACACGATTTGCAATTTTACGTCACCAGTGTCAATAACCTGAGTCATCTCTGAAGTGGAATGTGCCTAACCCTTTTTGAGAAAGGGGAGGGGGGATCTGCTGATATTTTTTTTTCATAGCCACATGTGCAGGACACTCTATTAAGGCTGTTCACTACCGTCCTATTGCAGCAAAGGCTGCTGCATTAAATGCCCATGACATTAACCTCTAGGTTTGCAAGGCAATTGCTGTAAAGTTATTTTGTTATTGCATTCTCGTCACTAGCATCGAAGCAGACAAGATCTACCAAATATAAAAGTTGTGCTCTTTTCCTGAGTTATTTAAACATGCTCACTGCCACTACTGCAAGTAACTTGGTGAGCTATGTGGATAATTGGAAATTCTCTCAGAATGTGCATTCGTACTTTTTGTTTTACAATCAGATGTAATGCATACATTTCCTGCACGTTTCTTTTCCCACATACTACCGCATAGGATGCTGCAAGGTGAGCTTTCCTTCACCATTGTAATTTGATGCCAGCCACACTGTCGGTAAACAAGCACGCCATTTCATCCAATTATTGCGATTTTACAGGAGCCTTCTAAAACTGCTGGAGGTGCACGGCGCTCCTCGGGAAATGACTGTAGAGGACAGATTTATGTTCCTGATTTTTGAGTTGAACATCTCCGTGAAAGAAGGGTGAGTGATGTTTGCTCTGACTACAAATATAGGCGAGAAATGGGCTCTTGGGTCAATTGCTCGACGAGATTTGCGTGCAGGCTGTCAGCCAGTGGATTCAAGGGAGAGGGCGTAATCCTAATTTTAATTGTATGCATGTATAGAACTGTATATTTTGTGTGTGTGTGTGTGTGTGTGTTTGTGTATGTTTATGTGCTTCGTTGCTGCTACCTTCATGGGAGTGGGAATTTCATCAAGTGGATTGTCACTTTTCCTCCCCCCACCTCCTCTATCATAGTTTGTACTGATGAAAAATAAACATTATTATTTTTATTAGTATTATTGTTGTTTTTATTATTAATAGCTATGCCTTTGATTTGCATAAGTGCACCCAATTCGTATGATTTAGTGCTCTAGACATTAAAATTAACAACCATATTTACTCAAAAATTGGTTGGCCATGAACATAGGTGGACTCGATGTATTGCGTTCTCCAAGCAATTGAAAAAAAAAAAAATGAACGTACAGTGTCATCTTGACCAAGCGTGATGACGCAGTGAAAGATCACCATGCGAAATCTTCGTGAAATATCACCGGTACAAGCTAATGCAACAAGCTTTGGAGGAAGCGCTCGCTCGGTTGTATGTTCTCGTGCTTCCCTGAATATTCAAGCATTCACTTCGTATCAACTTTTTTTGGTTGAATAAAGGGCGAATGAAACAATGAAAATGGTGCGATGAGAGGGTGGTTATTTTTGCTCGGTAACTGGCGCATCTCCTCAAAAAGAGAAGTGGTGCTTGCTCGGGATTTTATGGTAAGTCGGCTGGTATCTTTTCAGAAACGGGAAGAACCTACATGGCACACCTTCATGTACAATGAGCACAATGTTCATATTTACAATAAGCACACAAAAAACCTATAATGTTTTTTTGCAAGCAAAAGCGTGGTGTTGAGGATATGCATTATCCCTCCTAATGGGGTGAGGGTGACAACACAATCGCATAGTGATGGCTCTGTGGATGATGCCATTCTTTTACGGTTTTGTCAGTAGTGTACAAAAGATATTGACTGAGTACATCAGCATGTGAAGCTACTGTGGCTGAGTCAGAACTGCAATTGGCAGCATTTACTACGATCTCCGAATACATATATATATTTTTTTGTTGAGTCTGTACCATTCTCAATTTTTACTTTAGTGGTGTCAGTTTACTGCAAATAAGGTACCCATGTAGTTGGCACTGCCACACTGGTGGGTGGGACAGTATAACTCCATTAGCTCAGTGTTTCTGCTCGCTTTGATCTCGATCAAATGAAAGTCCACTTTCATTTGTCACTAGTAAAAGTTGATGAGTGATTATTGATTAATATTTTTTAACAAAAAAGTAAACTTACGAGATGTGTTAGAAAAGTAATGAGACTGGCACGCTGCAGGTGATCTAGCAATGTTGTGTCCAATAGTCTGTGCTAGACCAATTTGTTTCTTTCCAACTTCCTCAGAGTTGCAACACCGTACAGCTAATCCAGTAGTTGTGACAGTGCCATAAGTGAAGTTTAGTCTGTTACGAAAGTGATTGTCATAATTTACAGCACTGTTGTGCCTCAAAGGTTTGTGTTAAACTTGGTGAATTCGCAAGTGTGACTTTTGAAAAGTTGAAACAAGCCTTTGGAGAACATTGTTTACCAAGAGCACAATTATTCCACTGGCATAGATCATTTTTGGAAAGCTGAGAATTGTTGAAGGTGAACCTTGCTCTGCAAGACCTGCAACTTCGAAAACTTACAAAAGTGTTGAATGTGTGAGGGCTCTTGTGAGATGAAACTGTGGCATATCATAAGGATGATGTCTGAGGAGTTAAATTTAAACTATCTCACCGTACATCGAATTTCAACAGACGATTTGAACATGCAAAAGATTTATGCCAAAGTGGTAACAAAAAACCTTGCAACCGAACAGGACAGTTGAAAAAAATGTGTGCATTAATTTTCTTCAGAGTATTGCCAATGATCAAGCCTTTCTCAATGGTGAGATCGCAGGTGATGAATTCTGGATATTTGAGCACGACCCTGAAACAAAGCGGCAAAGCAAAGAGTCACTGACTCGATCGTCTCCTCGGCCTAAGAAATGTCGAAAGAGCGAATCAAAGATCAAGATCATGCTGATTTGTGAAACTGCAACAGTTGTTACGAACTCCTTGTCCTGGATAAAAGCTTGCTACCGTGTGCCAAATCTTTCAGATTTCTTGCAATGTTTAAGAACTTCGGCTGTGCATAGTTAGACAGGCGTTAAATGAACTTTTGATGTTCTCAATGCTTCAAATAAGAAAAGAAGGTACAAGTTCAAATAAGAAAAGAAATTAAAACCAGCTTTCACTAAAAAGGACTTGAGAAGACGAAGCACCAATGTCCTGGAAATCATTGCCTTATGCGGACTTGGAGAAAGTAAAAGCTTATTCCAACAGTTAATAGTCATCAACGATTGTAAAGACACGATTGCCGCTACATTTTTCGCTGATGGTGAATACGTACACGTGATGTACTTAAAAACAGCAGTACGCAAGCTACAAAAACCAACATTGGAAGCTTGCAAGTGTGAGTAGTATTAATTCATGTACAGCCACGGCCACATCTGTGTAGGGCACGTGACCAGCCTGTTTTCGTTCTGCGGAGTGACACCCTGAGGCAGTTTCTGGCTCTGACGTGGTCAACCCGACTACTAGGCTGCGCATGTTCTTGACACACTAAGTCAGAGCACGAAACTGCCTCAAGGTGTCGCTTCGCAGAGCAAAAACCGGCTGCTCATGTGCTCAACACGGACGCGGCCGAGGCTGTACTCGATGTGGTCATGTTTGCGTGAAAGCACCGTACGAAAATTCGCTATCTTTCGATAGGACATGGTTTACTTTTTTAGCTGCTGCATTGGCTCAGTAGCTGTGTCGTTCACACTGCAAAGCATAAACTTGCATGTTTGATTCCTAGGTTTAGTGGTTTTATTTTTATTACCTCTTTCATTACTGCACCTGTTCAAATCAATCATCGATGATCGACGCACTGAACCATTTATTTTGGCATGTTAAATTTGTTTCTCATGCACCCAGAACACTCTAGTAGTTAGTCCAGACACTCTACTTTCATAATGAATGTGAAGTTTCTCGTTTTGGCTATATAGTGATTTTCGAGAGACCTTTACGCGAACCAATGTGCATATGTTGTTGGGAAAATGCACTTGGCTGGTGAACTTGACAGAAGTTCATGCCCCTCGTGATTATGCTACAGTAATATCGAAGTTCTGTAATGAAAAGAACCTTTGCAAGCCAAATATCGAATTAAAGTGCCAGCTTTGCAATTTAACAATTTAACAGTGTTGATCATTATTAATTGCCAGAAAGTTATGTCAGCTATTTAATAGAGAGTTGTTGCTAAGAGTCACTTAAAATTTATTCCACAAAAAATATTTGCAACGGTTCGCCGCATGTTTCCAGTATCGAGGTGTCCTTCTCAGTCATTTCCCAGCAGTTTTGGTTTTGCTTGTATTGTTAAATCAGGCACAGGGTCGCATCTACTGTCTCTATTCGCTCTTATGGCGTTGTCGTCATGCGAGCATGGGTGTGTACCAGCACTGCAAAACACACACGCCGCTTGAAACTGTCTTGCGACCGCACCTGAATTAAATAAGGACAAGCATAGAGTCCGAGTATAACAGCACTCTAGCCTCAATTTTTATGGCGACGATGTTATGCGTCAGCCTGAGACATCCATAGTCGTTCATGGGTTTGGTTTGTTTACAGCCTCAAGTTGTCTCCTACACCGCAAGTGCGTAGCTGCTAGTCTTTGTGGTTATAGCTACTCTGGTTACGCGTGAGGTCCACACGTCACTGGGGTGCAGTGTGCTGGTGCCGGCTGCAAGCTTCACCTAACGACAAAAAGGCCACCGGAGCACATCTTGGCCCTGACTAAGGAGCAGCGCAAAACGTTTTAGAACTGCCCGCAATATTGTTCTTTCTTCAATACAATGTGCCAAATGCTAAGAAATATGCTTGGATGTATATATAGGAACGCTTATTCCGAGTGAGTTTGGCTCATGGAAAGTGGTGACGCTAGACGAAAGAGCAAAGTTTATTAGACATCTGATTTACAAAGGTATTTTTCACATCATGGGCATCCATCTCTAATGGAACACCTGGAGGCTCTTATTGCAAAAGAAGATTGCTGAGAAAAGTCGTTTTCCTTGGGTCTCGCGAAAAACCAAGCAATGCTTCAACGCATGGCAGGAGCAACTAAGCAGCACCTCGGTCTTTATTTTCTTTGTCTATGTCAATGGAAATATGTTGTACAACATTTATTATTTCTTATTTCGTTCCAGGGTCATTTGTCTTGAATATGGATTTGTATTCTGAATTTGCATTGTTTTGAATATTTTTATTAGTGTTTTTTATTGCTCTGTTTACCAGCTTGTAACCATGAATTACACGCTTTTCAAATCTTATTCATTCGAAAATATTTTTGTTGCTCCCCAATATATATTTTTGGAAAGAGCATTTTGTCGTGCAAAATTTGGTGTGCTGCATTGCGTGCTGGAGTACTTTTCAAGGTGGCAAAAACGATCTCTCCAATACATATGAAAAATAACCATTTTTGCCTGGTAACCAAAGAGTCAAGCGAGATGAAATAAAGAAGTGCTTATCTGACATGCTGCATGTAACTATGGAGGACTCATTAATAACACCTACATTGCAAGCGCAAGTTTCGTGCAGTGGTGTTAGTTATTGTTTCCGGAGAGTCTGCATGTATGCATTAACGCTGTGCTTATCAGAAGTTCACAACTGTTATCATGGCTCTTTCAGGCTGTCTGCAGATGTATGTGTGGACTTGTTCCACGAGCTGAAAGAGCTTGCACCGCAGGTCAACAGCAAGCTGGCACGCAGCTGCGTCCTTGTTGAGAGCACCCTGCTCCTGTACCGCTATCCGTTTATGGATTTCAACCTCGAGTGGTATGTGGAAGCGGGGTTTTCTTCCCTCCAAATCAATATGCACATTTCTAGGTTTGTCTGAACAATAAATTTTAGGTTCAATGTAAATATTGATTAGGTATAATGATGGCGAATTGAATTCTAATGCTATATATCAAATATATAGAAAAATGAGCGAATTTGTAATGATTCAACTAAATTAACTGTGATGATCCAACTAGCGTGTTGGGACTAATTGTTGTTGCACGCTATTTCATGTGTGTTCTTAAAATATTTGTGTTATTTGCGCACGCTCTGTTCAAAGCCACGCAAAAAAATGTGCAAATTATTCTTTGAATTTAAATTACTATAAACCATGCATTATTAAGACAAATTGACATATCTGTCATGACCCAACTAATTTGTGCAATATTATTTAAATTTAAACAAGGTGTGTGCAAATGTCGTTCTTTTTGGTTCAAAGGAAGTGGAAGCAACTTCGAATGAATATAGCAGCATTTAATTTACAGTAGTAATATGTCGAGTGTACAGTTTACTATATCAAGAGAATATCAGCTGGTATAACAAGCTTTTAAATTTAAAAGGTGAACTGACATGAGAAAATATGTTCATTTAAGCTTGAAGTCTGGCTTCGTGGCAGTGCAGATTCTCCTCAGGTATATTCATGGTATAGCACTTTTTCAATGCAGTGAAATAACCCTTACATGGATTACATGTGCATTGACAGACATCTATTTATTTCGAATAATTCAAAATTTTATGTAATTTAAATATAAATCAATATGAATTCAAATACTGTAATCTTATTTGAATATTCAAACTGCTCAAATACTCAGACTATACATATTGCTTGAAAGTTTATGGACCCTGAGGTGCAAAAAAAAAAACCAGTATTTCTGCAGCCTGGGCTCACACTAATTAAGCACCTGTTGAAGAATTTTATGAATAAAAATTAGATAAGTAATAAGTTTTTGTCATGTGCTAGCTATAATTACAGGCAGTTTTGTGTTGCATATTGAGAGAGTGATTGCATATTTATGATGATTCAAGTTGTGAATCGCCAACAAAATGCCTCAAGCAGCCTTTTCCACATTAAAAGAAGTGAGTTTTGTCTTATGCTCGGCAGAGAAGATTATGTGCAAAATTTCTTTTCAAATTTTATTTTTCATTAAAATTCGGAGTTTGTTGCACTGTTTGCTGTACTGTTGTGAGCTTGTACACGACTACTCAACTGCAGCTTAAGCTGTGTGTACAACGTTTGAGCACTCTGAGCGCATATTTTGACTTAGCATTGTAGTAAATGCAACGTAGGACTTCACACAGTGCAGTGCTGCCCTTTCTCCAGTCTTCTTCAACAAAAAACCTTCATTGCTTTACTCCTGCAGCACATTCGACGAGAGTTTCGAGAAAGCCCTGAGCAGTGTAGAGGATCTGCTGAAGACCAACAACAAGACAACTGCTGACATAGCGAGGCTACTGAACGCTGCCTGCCTCTTCTGGCTAAACATGAGCAAAGTTGAAATGTTGCGAAAGTTTGCTCCCGTAAGTATTCTGGCGGTGCCCAATACCTTGTTCATTTCACGCTTTCGACAGCAGATCCTGCTGCTTTAGCTGCTTGGAAGCTCTCCTCAATAACTAAGTCTTGCATGTTAAAAACCAATGGTGGCAGGTTTTCAATATCGGTATAACAAATGTTTATGATCTATAAGAGGACTAATCTGGGCTTGCCAGTCTATGATCTGCTGAAGTGTAGTATTACTTTAGTTACGCACCACCCATGAAATCAATAAACTAAGAAAACAATAGGGCACATTACTTGTTTTAACTGTAGTGTAATGATTATGACCCAGGTTGAAAAAAAACAAGCGCCCTTCTTATCGGTGGTATCAGAACCCATAATCTTGAATAGTCGGGGTTTCGGATCTCGCCAACAAAAAAAGTGCTTCTTCGTCCACTTCAATTCCCTTCAGTGTAAGTCGTAATCTATTACGTTACAGTTGAAAACAATGTCCCCCATGCTTTCTTTGTCTTAATTGCCTATTGGTGCGCTTAGTTGTGTCTGACAAGGAAGCGTGCCCCTCAAACTCTTTCAATAGCATTTTCATTATCTTACATAATTGTAACGTAGTAAAGGCTCTACATTGCGAGTGTTTGAACCGTTGTACTATGCGTAGTTGGTCACGTTCTCATAACCTTCAGTAATCATGCATTTCCCTGCAGAAGGATCTGGCAGAAGCAGCTGTGGATCCTGTGGAGATCAAGTGCGATGACCCCATTCTGAGCCAAGCATTGGCCGAAGACAAAGACTACTCATGTGATGCCACTCAGAATTACCGACACATCAATGTAGGTTACGAACTCTCAGCCCAGAAGAACTTGGACCAGGTAATCAATAGTATTTGTTACAAATATCTCGTTTCACCGATCTAATCAAAATAAAAGTAACAATTTCTTAAGCTGTTGTGAAATTATGACTTATCTGGGTTTAATTTGGATTGACTGGTGCAAATGATTAAAGAACACAGGACGTAGACAAATGCACAGAAGTACCGTATCTACTTGCGTAATGAATGCACTTTTTTTCCTCGAAACATTTGTGCAAAGTTGGGGTGTGTGTTTATTACGCAGGGTAAATTTTATGAAAACTTTTTCTGGAGGAGCAAAAAATGCGGTAATGCAAGAAAAGTTAGGTTGTTTAGCTTTTCATACGTGACATACGTACGCGTATGTCAAGTATGAACATCTTGCAAATATGACTACGCACCAACTAGCCCAAGCTTCCACTCTTACGCCTACACTATTCGGAAACGACTTCTTCGTTGCACTTTATTCCTCTTCGTAGGTTGATGGTGCTATGTTCTGCAATCTGTCTTCGGGCCATCTGCGCACGCCATAAAAGCATTTTGCGGCTATCTTTTCTCGTGTTCGTATAACCGCAATATCTGCTGTGATCTCAAGGGGCGCCCAAAAGCGTGCGCTACAACTCTACGACGCACTTTGCCAACTTCGCGGAACCTCGCACGACGACCGTGATGCCGCTGTTAACACTGTAGCAAGTAACCAGCATAGCAGCAAGCTATTCCCGAAGCATCAAAACAAACCGTCGATAACAAGATTAACTACAAAATACGGCCCCCGCCTCGCTTCTACATGAGACGTTCCTCTACGCGTGGATAACAAGAAAAGCGAGAATCGGGAGTGCTACCAAGTTGCAAAAATTGTCACAATCTTTTCTGGACAAGCTATTTTTTCCGGGTTTTCCAGAAACCTGTGATGCAATAGCTACGAATGACCCTTCGCAACATTAAATCCCGTCGTCGTCGCTCGAAAGTCACATGCGCATGTTTGGGCTTTTTCGTATTTGCAGGAAGCGATCGTTGGTTAACGCAGGCAGCTTCCTGACCTTCGCTCACTGCGTGCTTATCAGCTGCGATGTCTACACTAGCACCGTTCATGAACCCAGCTGTGGCACACAGATGATACAGGGGACGTTCGGTGCACAGATCGAAAAAAAAAAACAATACGGCACGTGGCAACAGGCAAAGGGGGGGAGCGAGCCGAGGTGGGAGGGGGGGTCGGCAAAATAAGAAACGGAAGAGATCCAACAGGTGAGGCGGCGCCAGGTGTCGGTTAGCGGGACTGCTGCGGATGAATCATGTGGGGGAAAAAAATCCTAAATTTGGTGACTGAAGTTGGGGTGTGTTTATTATGTAAGTCCTTTCATTATGCGAGTGAATACGGTATATATAGATTTTATTCTTTGAGGAACTCTAATTCACAACATTCAAGCATGTGTATACAACCAAAGAGCGTAAAATAACATGATTTCTAGGAACACCACATAATGAAATTCTATCAACCAGAAAGCTATGCTCATTGTGATAAATGTGGTCATGGGAGGAATGCCGATACAATCACCGAATTTCAGTATGTACATAGGCCCAAGCCACTTTTTTCTTTTTTACTCTTCCACAAAATGCATGTGTTGTACAACAATGGTTCACTCGTATGCATCCTTGCATGATATGGCAAATGAGATCCTGTCCCATTACTAATAGACGAGACATGTTTTGCTAAGCACTTATTATCTGGGCATGATCATTGAAAATGTAGCTAAAAGAAAAAGTTCGGCATTTGAAATGAACTTTTTGGGATGTGTCAATTTACAAAATTAAAAGAGGCACTAAAGAAATACCACTTCACTTCATACTCGCAAAGTGTTCTTTTGATCATTTGGTCGACATACGTGTATTACCGAGAATAAAGACCCCGCGTTTTTTTTTCTCCATATCTCCTTTTTCCCCAAGCTCAGAACTTAGTTCCGACGCATCAATGTGATGTCTCAGATTTTTTTTTTCTCTTCATCGTTACTATAGAAGGTTGCAAAGTCGTAAAATGGTTTGTGACACCTCCTTTGAATAGTTAACATACTGGCAGCATATCAATGTCTTGTATCAGTGTACATGAAGTTAGCATAGTCAATAAATCTAAAACAAAAAGTGCCAGAGGTCGGCTTATGTTTTTTATTCAGTCTCTCTTTTTTCTTTTGTTGTGCGCTTGATGAATATGCTCATGGACTAAAGGAACAGCAGTGTGAACAGATGATACTGGCATATGTCATTTAATAAAACTTTTTATTAGGCTAGTCGGTACGTGCTTACTGAAATGCAAAAGGATGCATATCATCGAGGAAGAAAATTGACAGGACAGAACAGAAAGGGCATCCTTTCTGTTTTGTCCTCAATTTTCTTCCTTGATGGTACGCGTCTTTGCATTTCAGCGACATGTGTCAGTTCGGTACTAGCACCTAATGGCTGTCTTTGATGGTGAAATGAAATTTTTTAGTCTTGTTTCAGTTCAGCTCGCTTGAATGCTTGTGTCTCTGACAATTGGTACAATTATTAACATTACAGTGCTTCGATGCTGCACGTATGTCAACCCTACACAAGTGGAGAGGTGATGCCAGTTAGCGTAACATTAAAAAATCTGGATGGCTCATACCTAAGTGCAATATAAACTTAATTAAAAACTTGCAAGGTCTTTTATGCTTTTGCTTAAGATGACCAAATGCGAAAGCCATTTTGTTTTCCTTCTGAGTCTATATATTGTGATGTGATGTACTTAGGCTTGTGCGAATAGTGAACTTTTGGTTCGAAGCGAATTCAAAGCAAATGGTGATTGTGGTCGAATAATTTCGAAACGAATAGTATAAATGACATATTAACCTGCACTATTTTTAAAACTTGAAATAGGGCCTCAATGCAAATGCCTTTTTTTTTTTAATTCAAAAGAAGTCTGGACAACTTTGAGTAGTAGCAGTATCTGACTGTCCGTATGATGTGAGTGATAACCCGTAAAAGGCGTAACATTTGAATATTTATTATACTTAAGAGCACATAAACTGTCATAGCAAACTTTTAAGCTTAATAAAATAATGAATTTATCTGGCAATATGTTTATTTAAAGCTCTACAGCAGTATTTAAACTAGCCTTTGAATGTATTCATTAAAGAAGCTTATTGCTTCACGAATAAGCCGACGACGAAGGAGCTGGAAGCTAAGCAGAGAGGGATGGCACAGGGAAAGAAAATGCGTCACATGCGCCTTGTGACCTTCAGCACTTTTTCTCTTTTTTTTTTTTTTTTTGAAAACGCTACTTTTTCAGTGCGATCGTGCACGTACGCGTGGACAAGTGGCGACCTCCCGCGGTGGTTCCAGTAACGACCGAGCGCCCCATGCTCAAATCAGCCAATGGCTTATACAATGGCTGTGACGAGTGATTTTTGAGCATGTAGAATCATTTTCTGAGAGATGGGAGCAATTTTCAGCTGACTTTGTGAATTTCAGCGTGGTGCGCTATAATGTTTATTTGACTTGTGATCTCGATCGCCTGGACTAATGTTCGGCAGCGTTTTCTGACCATGCTTAAAAAGACACTAAAGGCAACTATTAAGTCGACGTTAATTGTTGAAATAGCGGTTCAGAAACCTCGTAGTGTTACTTTTGTGCCAAAGAAAGGCCTTTTTTGAAATGAAATCAATATTTAGTGGTCCGCATCGGGTTAGCACACTTCAAATTACCCGCCTCAAGAAGCGGATCGACAGGACCGACTCACATTACTGTTGCCATGCGCAACGTTGCCCGGCTTTACTGTGCTAGTAGCAGCAGACCGAAAGCAGTGAGAGCCACAGCTGCAACATGGCCATTGACCAATTTCCCATCATCTGCTTCGAGATTGCAGATGTTTATTGGTTCAACTGCGCCCCGTTAGATGGCACCACCTGTCCCGTGTAACCATGCGAAAATTGAATTTTTGAACCACTCGCACCATTTCCCATAGTAACGTCCGGCGGTGCTTTTTTTTCATGAATCAAACAGAAACGAATAGGCAGGATTTTATTTCGTCTCTTGATGTACAGAAGGTTTTTTTATTTAGTGCAGCTAGATCGATTGCTAGTGACTAATTGTGGACAGTGTGTTTGATGTCATCAGGATAATTTTGAAAACGTCCTACTGTGGCGCATGTGTTCTCGTGCATTTACATTAATTTCTCGGTAAGCAGGGCACTGTTTTTGATAATATTGTCATTTTAGATGTCATACATTGAGCTTTCGCTCTGACATAAATTGTTATTTGACTTTAGTGTTCCCTTCAAGTGTTGCAGGGCCCCTTTAAATTTGAAGGAGAGCTTCGCGGCAAAGACGATTTTTATAGGTGTTTTCACGTTTTAGCACTCATACACTGCAGTGAAACCACCTTTACAAGCGGTTACATGCGGATTTATAATGAACACCTATTCGTTCATAGTGAATACTTCGAAATTCTCAATAATTTAAGTTCGAGTCAAAGTGAATTCGAATACTCTACTATACATTCGAAGCTTTCGAATATTCTCACAAGCCTAGATGTATTGTATATGTGAGGACATCTGGTGATGTCAGATGATTTTTTGCAACACTCTTGATGCTACCGACCCAGGCCGCAGACACCCCTGACAAGCAATTTTCATGTTTAATGAGGCATGTGGGGCTTTCGGCTAAAATGGCTGAAAGTTAGACAATTCAGGACAGTCAGACCTCATATCATAGTTGCGTCTTACAAGAAAATAGGTTTGTTATATGCGAAAATTCATTATATACATATATTTCTAACACCATGTTTATTGCAAGACTGTTCTTCATTTGTTTCGGTATAACCCATATTTTGTTATATTCAAATTCATTATCTCAAGGTTTGAGTGTGCTTTATTTCATTATTGTTCTTAACACAACAGAACGATTAATGTATTAGAAAAAGGTTGTTTGCTTTTGCACATGCATGTGGTGTGATGCATCACAGTGGCACGCATTCTACCTCTTGCTGTTCTAGGTTCTGGAAATGTGGTGCACAGCTTTTGAACGGCCTTCTTCTGAATGGAGCCTCATGTTTCGTGATCTAGTGGAATGCTGGTTCTTTGAGCATGTCAAGGTGGTCTGTGAAGTGTACGCTTCATCATTCAGAGTGAGATCCTTTCTCTTGTTTTCTCGTTAATTTTTGAAACATCAATTTTTTTTATCCCAACAATGCCTTGCAGGAAGGTTGGGTACTTTTTACTACAAAATATGCCTGGAATTAGTTCGCCAAAATGTAAAGCTTTGAAATAATCGTATATTTTGGTGAAAAAATAATGGGCAATAGTTCAGTCACTGCTTGACTAAAAAAAAAATTTGGTTATTGAACATAAAGTTAAATCTAAATGTGATCACAATATAACTGAGAATGAGTTGGTTTCTGAACATTTGGTTCAATCTAAATATGATCATAATGAACTTGAAATTGAATCTGCCCCGATGACACTGACGGCATCTTTGGGAGCTAGAATGTTGTTGCTATTTATTTATGCTTGATTTTAGCGTACATCTTGGCTTTGCCAATCAGGTTAGGTTTGGTGGTTATTGGAAAATCTCCACCATGTTTATACACCAGTCATCCAGAGGACTTTGCGTATGGTGTCTAGCACGTTTCCCTTGTGCAAAATGTCTCGCATGTTTCGTGCCTCCTGGACAGGCCATGCTTGCGTGGTTAAGGGGCTCTTAAAGTGAAACGACTTTTTTCGTATCAATGAATTACTTTTCATGACATCAAAAGCACCATGCATGCTTGTTGCGAGAAGATGCTTGGGAAGCGATAAAGCGCACTACAAGTAAATGCAGTAACCAACGTCACTCTAACGCTCCCGCACCAAGTCGCAGTGATGTCGTCGATTTTGACGGCATCTACCAGGAAATGCATAATTCCTGGTTGGTAAAAAGTAAGTTCACATTTTTCTGATCAAGACGTAAACTTGGCAAAGTTTCGGGAAAATTTGTTGAACTAGTGTGGCCAAAGTAAGAAAAGACATTTTGAAATCTGTGACATCGCCATCCGAGATTTTGGTGGAAAACACCAGTGCAACTTCTGACATCGACTTTCTGGTCTGGTATTTATAAACCTATGGTTTTTGAAGTTGACACGACAGTTTTCAGAGTATAATTTATCAGTCTAAGCCACCATATATTTACACGATTGAAGGTAGGATCATTTTATCTAAATTTGAAACCAGGAATCGGGGGCCCAGCTTATAATAGAAAATGAAACTAGTCTTGGTTCTAAGGTTTACTTAAAGCTGAAACAAACAAAAAAATCTGGCATGCTGTCACATGGTTACGTTATGTTTGCATTCGACTTGAACAGAACTTTCTAAAAATTACCGCCGCGTATTTACACAGAACTGCTTTGAGGCACTGCCATGGAGACACCTTTGTACACTAAAATTAGTTTTTTTGCAGCGACATCGTATGCGAATTTTTTTTATGGAATGAGCTCGTGCTTCTTTTGTTTTTGTTGTGTGATTTTAAAGATTTGACTGACAATCGTGTAATTTATTGTTTCACTTTAGTGTTGTTTTAATTTTCTACTGTACAGTAGAATTAGAAGTTGAAAATTGTGGTGTTTTCCTGGCCATGCAAACCAGTTCTTGGAGGAAATCAAGGCTGCAACACTGTGGTACAGCGTGGCCACGGATCGGAACATGAACCAGGAGACCGTGCTGGCTGCCTCTTACCTCATAAATGCCCTGATCAAGGTGGGCCTGGTGGACGCAGCTGCCGACGTGGCCCATCAGACCGAGGCTGTGGCCAATCAACTGGACGAAGGCCTGCCAAGACTTCGGTTCGTGTTGGCAAGGGCACACCTGCTCTACAATCAAGAAAAGGTATCGTTGACAGCAAAGCTGTCTTAGACTACTCTGTGTCTTTGGCTTCATCCTCGTAGTAGTAGTAGGAGTCGTCATGCCGGTCACACGACCAAAAAGTAGAGCAATTGAAGGGGCACTGACACAACACTTTGTGGCAAATACAGCCTGAGGGATAGATTTTCGTATACATGCATATATCAGCTACCAAATCTTAACTGTGGATACAGCTTGGAAGGTAATTTATATAAATATTGAAGTTCGCTTGCCCAATCCAGCGCTATACACTGAACATCACATCACTGACATCATACAAGGTGACCTGAAGGTGACCCTGAATTTCTGTAGCGTCACCAGTGCGGCCGAGCTCCGAGATGCCCAGTTAAATTGGAGTCATAGTCGCCATTGTGTTTTTGCCACGCTTGCTCCAGCAGGCTACTATTTGGTGGTTGCTTGCGAATTCGTGCCCACAGCAAACATGTGGAAGCCTCAAGAAAGTCTTTGCCACCCTGTGATGATGATAAATATTACGATGATGATGATGATGGCAGCAACATCATCGCACTGCGCATGCCACATCCCAAAGAACGCAAGCAGACGATGCAGGCAGCACAAAAGTGCATCACAGTTGTGTGTTATTTGACACGCTAGATGACATTGATTGCACATGGAGGCTCGTCGTTCTCGGCACTCTCACAAACCAAAACTGTGACAGATTGGTAATAAACAGGCTAATTATCTGTCGCACGGTGCAACATGTGATGCGGTGTGTTATGGGAACTTAGCCCCGTCGCGGTGGTCTAGTGGCTATGGTACTCGGCTGCTGACCCGCAGGTCGCGGGTTCGAATCCCGGCTGCGGCGGCTGCATTTCCGATGGAAGCAGAAATGTTGTAGGTCCGTGTGCTCAGGTTTGGGTGCACGTTAAAGAACCCCAGGTGGTCGAAATTTCCGGAGCCCTCCACTACGGCGTCTCTCATAATCATATGGTGGTTTTGGGACGTTAAACCCCACAAATCAATCAATCAATCATCAATCATTCGTTATGGGAACTTATAGCAACACGCAGCAAAAAAATGCCACACCAACATTTTGTGTGTTGGTACCCCTTGAATGCTTTCACTATCGTTAACGAGTATAGTAATCATGAAATGGTCTAACCAAATTACCAGCGACGACTGACTATTGGTCATCAACAAAAATTGGTCCCTCATGGAACCATTGAAGACTTACAAAGTTGAACCCCTCTATAAGAGACATGCACAGTTCACGATTCGTGCCCCTTATATGAGATGTCCCTTATAAGCAGGGTGCATTTTCTTATCAACCCTTCCTTTAATGTAGGCACACTGGTGTCTGTTATTCCCATTTGTCGATTACTTCAGTGTGTCCTGTAAAGGGGTTTGACTGTACTCGTCATTTTTCATTGTATTGCCATGCGATGAAGTCACCTTCAAAATATCTTTATTTTTTTACATGATTAGTGACATACAGGAACTCCCGTAAATTGAAAGAATAGTATTGTTTTAGTCTGAAAAAAAAAAAACAAGCTATACAAATTGAGCAAAAAAGTTTTTCATTAATTTTGGCATGCTTTTCAGCTTTTCCTAACAATAGTGAGGGTAAAATAAATGTTTAAAAATGACCATACTAGAAATTATAGTTTTTCTTTTATTAAATGAAATAAAAGTATAATGAGAGTGCTCAAATTGAGGATTTTTTTTTTTTTACTGCGTCACCATTATCATATCATTACACTTTCGCTGTGAGATTTTTTTCATGGCATGGAACTGGCAGAATTTTTTTTTTCTGACTCTTCAATTGAAACCGCTAATCTTTAGCTAGATTCAATTCATGTCTTCCTCCTGTTAGCCTGCATTTCGTACAAACAAAAAGTCATTGGATGGGAGCGGAAAGCTGACGTTAAGATTTGAAAGACCTTTCCCATAATCCTTATATTGCTCATTTGTGAAGTGGATTTAGTACCTCGATTTTAACATATCTACAATCTCCAAAGTGCCTAACATCTGAAAGCAGGTTGTCAAATCTACGATCTGCAAAATGCCTAACATCTAGAAGCAGATTGTCTAAAATATTTGTTTCAGGGTTAAGTGTCAACACATAATAACCGTACCGGGTGCCTCACGAAAAAGAAATACATTATACCAGTCATGCCTCTGTAGCTAATGAATATGCTTATTAAAAAAATTTAAAATTTAGGGGGTGAAGACGCTTCCGTGCTGGCCAGCCACTGCGAGAGGTCTGTGGGCTGCATGTTTGAGACTTTCGGTGTAAAGGGTTGCAACCCTCTGAATACCATGAAATTCTGGCTAATGCCCTGGTGACTGCCACTGTGTAGGCCGTTTATACTTTCCATCGCACGAGTTATGCCTGCAGAAGCAATAGCTCGACATCTGTACTTCAACAAAAGTTGCAAGATGGGCTCATTGGTGCAGAATATTTGGACAACAATGGTACTAGTGCGAAGAAATGGGACACAACAAGGCAAGACAGACACACACAGTAGCACTGTGTGTCTCTTTGTTGCCTTCTGGTGTCCCGTTTTCTTTGTGCTACCATTGTTACATGAATCGGTACTTGATTTTCTTCCGCAGTGCTATTGACATACTGCATCATTTTTATATGTCTTAACTTCAGCGCGCCTACATTTCGCCCCCCAAAAAACATGTCCCCCGTTTTGTTCCACCCAGTACGACGAAGGTTTCCAACTACTGGATCAGCTTCTCAATCACCCACTGCTCCAGAAGAACAACAAGTCATCCCTGCTGTTCGTGGCCGAGGTGAAGCTTCTGGTCTGCAGGTACTCACTCCTGCCGGCCCCAATAAGTGCACCGTTCCATGCCAAGGGGCAGCTCGAGTGCAACACTCCCATCATCCTTGCCCAGGAGTCCTTGAGGCTATCGCAGGGTGTTATGCAACACTTCTCTGAAAACACCGTAGCCGAGCCTTGTGAGTGTTTGCCTCCTGGCTATTCTTTTTAGGAACAGTTCTGTGTGGTGTTGCTCAGGGGCTGTACGCATTTGTGCAGCTGCCAGCTGTGGCAGATTTTCCTCAGTGTCTGCAGATTCTGGCTCAATCTGTATATTGCAAATGTAACGACAGGCTTTGTAAAAAAAAATTTGGAGGATCCTTAAGCTTCACCTTTATAGGTTGATCGCGCGAGCGATATCCTGCTCCTAGTGTGCACTTCAATCACTTGGTGCATACTTGTTATCATATGATGTTACCACAAAAGATGAAGAAATAAAAATAAAAGTAAAAATTGCATATTGCTTTCGAGACACACGTTTTGCACCGAAGGTCACGTACAACCCACACTTTGACTCTAGCTCTAAAATTTTGTTATTTTGTGCGGTTAAAAGTGAAAAATATAGTACTTGCTTCTGGTATGCTTATTTAGACAAGTTTCTGCAGCAGGCAAAATTTAGTGATATAAAAACAACTTGTTTAACACTCGACACACGTTAACATACCTTAGTGCATAAATTACTGTGACACAGGTTGCCAGAGGGTACCTTGTAGGCTTACAGCAGCAATCTGGCTTGATTGTGTATTGAGGAGCTCTGCGATCCTCTTCACCGCAGGTGATCTTTTTACTACGTGGACCCTGGAACGAATGTTGCTAGACTCTGCAGCTCTTCTAGGACAGCTCTACTCTAACATTGGGGCTGCTAAGGAGGCTTACGCTTTCCTCAAGGAATACCTTCGTAGGGCTCAAGGAATGGTGTCGGCGACAAGGTATGAATACTGGCTGCTGGACTTCAGATCTTAGTGTTGCCTTGCATTAGGGTGCTCGCTGGTATAGTGGCTTGAAAATTTTGGTGGCATTCAATTTCTTGAAGTACTCTGCCTGGTACAGCAGTTCGCTGGGCTAATTGGAATACTGAGCTCCGATGCATGTCTGGCACTTAAGAGAAATATAAAGCACACAGGCACAGCAACACAAAGCCACCATTCTTACTGTTCTCTTATTTTTAGTAAATACTTGTACATAGTGCTTGTACCTAATAGTTGTGTTGATGCATTCGTGGTTGTACAGTTCTGAAGCTTACATATGAGTAGACCACTGTCTAGCTGAAGGCTTTGTTTCTGACAGGGAATTTGTGGGAAACTGCTGTATGGCTCTTGTGCTCGCAAACTGCTTGCGCACTTTCGGATGATGCCTATGTGCCAACTGCAAGTACATTCTAAAACTTTACGACTACTGTATAGTTTCTCATGTTCAATGCAGGGCATTATCTAGATAATGTCTCTGACCTAGATGGCTCTACACCAAATGGTCTGTGAATAACTTTTTCTATTGCTACGTTGCACAGACATGACTGTCACAGTGATGGCATGTACTGTACCATCAGAAGGGCAATGGCATTCCACCCTGAAATAAAGGCTGCCCCCCCAACATGTCTTCAGATATGCCGGCTGTGTCCTTCTGGAATAAATAGCTTTGCTTTGTATCTTCATGCTAATTGAAGCATCATTTATCTAAATACACTTAACCATTACGATTGTTTTTCATACGTAATTTCAATACATAGCTGTCTTATTACTTTGAAAGTTTCTTTCTCAAGTGCCGAAATGTATTCAGCCAGAAATATTTTAATGTCATTTTCCAGCTTATTCTTCTCTAGTGCTTTTATGTAGAGAAATGCTTAGGCTGCAGAGAAGATAAGCACTGCTTGGAGAAGCAGTGTGTTCCATTTGTGTGCTTTGCCTGTGACTTGCTAGTTGCTACCACTGCTTCCGAACTCCTAACCAATGGTACTGCTTCCAAAGGCCCTGTTTTTAAGGTGTCTGTTTGGTTATGCTTAGTCGCCAGTGCATTATCAACACATCTGCTCGAAACAAGATTTTATAAAAAGCACCATCACAACGTCCCCTTGTTACAGATGTGCTAGGCTTGTCCTGCTCATTGCAAACTTGGATCTGCTTTGCGAGAAGCTGTACGACGTCAGAAGCAAGCTCTCCAGCGTCGAATTCATGCTGCACCTGAAAAACTTCAGCTGCCCAACAAGGCTCGAAGGTGAGGAAGGGGTCACCGTGACAAATCTGGACGTCACGGGATGTTCGGACATGGAGGAAAAGACATACGACAAGTACTCGTGCCCCGCTCGCAGCTACTCCATGGCCGTGGTCCTCTTCCTCAAGCAGGAGAGTGCGCTCAAGTCTCCGCCATCAGTCCCCAGCCTGGACAAGATTCACGACGCCGACTGCAGCTGCCAGCTGTGCGAGTTCTATGCGACCAGGCAGTTGTGGATCGAGCGCGACCTGCTCAAGTGCTTGCTGTACATCACAGTTGGAGACGTCACCGCAGCCATAGGTGGTCTGCAGACATTGCTCGAACTTGTGGGCTCGCTGCACCAGAAGCTGTCGAAGGAAGCGACCTCCGCAGCGTCCTTCCTCAAGCGCCGCCTCTCGAAGACCTTCCTCTGCGGCCAGAACAGGGCGGTGGGCGCCTGGGGTGAGCTACTGACCCTGCAGACCACGATTCTCCTGCACCTCTCCGAGGCCCATCTGCAGAGAAAGAGCTACCGGACGTCGCTCGAGAAAGCGGACGAGGGTCTCAAGGTCATCTCGCTAAATGGCTGTGGCAATAAGAGCCACTGGAAAATGTTTGCCAGCCTGGCGCATCAGAAGGTTAGGGTGCTGGTCACCATGTCTCGCAAGAGCAGGGACTCTTCCGGAGACCTCAAGGGCAGCCCCCTCTGGATTGGCAACACTTGCGAGCACGCCTCTGCGACGAACACTGCCGATGCGAATGCTGCATCGCCTCCGAGGCGCTCCGAGAGGCGTACGGCGCCGCTCACTGCCCCGAAAGCTCCGAAGGCACGTCGAGACGCACCCATAGACTTGTATCTGAAGAGCTTGGGCCGTGTTGAGGCAAAGAGTGTTGCAAAAAAGGTGAAGGATGACGGAGCTGCGTTTGTCGTTTTTGACGAGTCAGTTGAGGACTGCGTTGGTAGGGAGAAACCCAGTGTTGCCAGAGCTAGCAGGAAAGCGAGTGCCCGAACGAGGGCTGCTGCCACTACTGCAGGTGCTGGGGATGCGAATGACGACATTGACAAGCCAGAAGTACCACGCCTGCCAAAAAAGCAGGTAAGTTAATCATGTTTGTTTTTGTTTGTGTGTGTGTGTGCATGCGTAGGTGCAGAGAGAGAGAAGTGATTCTTAAGAGAGAAAGGAAGAGAAAAGTGAGCCCCGTAACTGTCTGCTTCAGTGAGCGACACCTCAACAGTAGCTCACAAGGGATGGGGGTGAGGAGGGATAAAAGGGTAGGAGTAAAGGTGTAGAAAAGAGGAAGAGGAAGAGATGTGAGGTGGTAAGCCAGAGCGAGCGACAACAAACTGAGGGAATAAAAGAGATAGGAAAGATGGGAGCATGGCCACTGGAGTCCGAGGACGGGGCACACCTGCGAGAGCTCTTGTCGGCGTCGGTAGATGACGTAGAGCAAGTCCAGTCGCTCAGAGCTACACTGTCGTCGAAGGTCATCGGCGTCAGGAGGCGTCGTAGGGCGAGCCCAGCCGGCCAGAGCTACGCTGACGCCGGAGATCGCGGCGCGGGCGCGCACAATTGGTCGGCACGGAATCCAGCATGCGAGTCTGCGCGTAGATGCAGGTTCAGCAGAAATACCCGTACTGAACTGCATTGTGCAAAATGTGGCACTAATATCCAACTTCGTGTACACAGCAAAAATTGAGATTCAGTTTATATTGCCGCGGTGAACTGCTTTTGTTGAACCGCGACAATATTTAACAGGACAGAAAAACGTGCTCTCAGTATTTCCCATCGACATTTTGACTCTAAATACTAAAAGAATATTTTCAGCTGAATATAATTGACAGGCTACAGAGCTCAAATAAGTACTTACTGTGCAATCGATTTGTACCTTGAGACTTGGACCTTGCGTGTTCTTCTTCCTGAACTTATGCAACCTTTAGATTCAGTGCGAAACGCTTGAAAAAAGTGTCAATCGAAACAGTGCCATTTTGTGAGCACAAATATATTTTATGGTGACAGCGATTGTAGGCAATTAGGGAGAAGCATGCTTGCAGGGGTCATTTAACACATATTATGAAACATCTACTTTAGGCACAACTAGGTGGCCGTTATTTTGTCCTCCGGTTGTAACTGCCGTTGTTATTCTGTCCTCTGTGGTATTTGCATTTGCTGTCATTTTGTGTTTTGGCGCGTCACAATTTCTCACCTAACGCGCAGCCTTCAGTACATAACTGCAGCCAGTGAATACACTACAAGCCAATACTATTTGAAGTTAGCGCTGGTCCTTATCAGTTTTGTTGTCAATAATACAGTAAAAGGTTGTTAATTCTCTTTTACGTGACTGGCAAAAATGTCCAAAATAACTATATCCAGAAGTGTCAAAAGCCCCGCCACGGTGGTCTAGTGGCAAAGGTACTCTGCTACTGACCCGCACGTCGTGGGATCGTATCTTGGCTGCGGTGGCTGCGTTTCCGATGAAGGCAGAAATCTTGTAGGCCCGTGTGCTCAGATTTGGGTGCACGTTAAAGAACCCCAGGTGGTTGAAATTTCCGGAGCCCTCCACTACGGCGCCTCTCATAACCATATGGTGATTTTGGGACGTTAAACCCCACACATCAATCAATTCATCAAAAGCATCCAGAAAACAAACAAATGTCTGTTTCATCAACGCATTTTCATTTTCTTGTGAATAAATAAATTCTGTACTTACTTTTGCATAGAAGCAGTGTAAAAGCCGCAGTTTTTGTCATCCTGCGACTTCGTTTACATTAGGACCCCTTTGAAAAACTGTCTTTAATTAGCCTGAAACCTTCTCTGAATACTTACTTTATAGGGTGTTATAGGCACCAACACCACAACACGTGTGATGAGTTTTTTTGCCTATAAGATGGCTGGCAACAAATCATTCAACAATTTTTGTTTAGCAAGTGAGTTTTGTGACAGCATGTGAACTGATGCATAAAGCTCTCATCTTCAACGGCTTTCACAGAGTCAAGTTTTGGGACATTGTGCTTGCATTGCATCAAGTCAAAACGAAGTCGCTGAGGGATAGATCTAGATAGATGTGCAGACAGCGCAGTCTCATTTGAGTTGTCTGTGAATGCCGCTTTTTTGCTCTGTTGTGTAGCAAATCTGCGGTGATTCACCCTCCATGCGTGCTCTGAGTTGACTAGCTTTACTGTATATTCGTCTAAGCTCAAGCTGCTATTGCATCATGAAGTAAAATGAACTAACCTCACATACTTACTTTATACGCTCCATTAAGGACCTATGGGGGACGCCTTGAAAGCCCCGCACAGCACCATTTGTGCGGAGAGCGTGCAACGTCGGGAATGTTAGAAGACATCAGTGTCTCACTGCTTTGATAGCTAGTCTGGCGCAAGTGCCCATGGCCAACACGTTAGTGCTTTGAGCAGGATTTGAAGACATCGTAGAGAGACATTCTTCTGCAATGCCACCATGAGTAAATGGGAAAAAAAAGCGCCCACGTTTTCCACGTGAGTGAGTGCCTTGCTACTTGTCATCAGTACTAACGGCTAAATGCGTGCGTCAGGTGTGTATAATGCGAGATGCTTACTTCATAATAGTCTCAATACTGCCATTCCTTCACACTTAATATAATACTGGTGTGTGTCCACTACCTGCGTACACTCAAACCTCATTATAATGTAATGGGATAAAACGAAAGAATGGATATAACGAAGTAAATGAAATTCCCCTTGAAAGCTTCATTGAGAACCATGCATTTTAAACCTCATTTTAACGAAGTAAAATTGACTGGTAAATGAACATAACAAACTAAATTAGTCTATAAAAAAACGACCATTGTGTGTTAAGTATATCGTTATCTGCGGAGCTTGACGCTCGTTCGGCGCGGCTCTTTCAAAACTCCCGCGCCGACCTTACAGCCACGCCACGCTCGTTCGGGAAAGCCCTCCGCCTCACACAGCCAGCGGAGGGGATTGAGAAAGCGCTCAGCGGGTCACATGACCGAGAAGCGGTGCCACGGTGCAAAGCGATTTGCCTCTCACTTATAAGAACACACGATGGGGAAGCTTCAGAAGACTTACATTTATTCACAAATCAGAGCACATCTGTCATTAATCGAAGTAATCGTTGATGCGCGTCTGCACACGTTTGCTTTGGAGCGAGTCGATCAATTTCGCACGTGGTTTGCAAAACATAGTAGCGCGCGGCTAAGTCCAAGGCCAACACTCTCTAAAGACAACGGCAACGACTGCATTTCCGCTGCTACCCTCTGTATTGAGAAAGGAGGACTCTCCTTGCCAGCTTTCTTTTTTTTCCTCTCTCTCCGTGTGCGGCCTTGAAAGGAGAAGGGTCTCTACGCGCAGAGATAGAAAAGGGAGAAGCGTGGCACAGGCGCATCGCAGATCGGCATTTGAGAGAGGGCAAACAATCCGCCACAGTCTTTTTCTCTTTTTTTTTTTTTTCATTTTAAGTATGCAGCGTTGAGAGGTGCCGCCGCGGGATCGGGCATGATGCTAAGAGCATTTTCGGAGCACGGTATGTTCGAATTAACTGTCGTAAGTGCTTGCGCGTTTGAATTGCAGGGCGTTTTCCCCTGTTGGAATGCACATAGCTTTGACGGGACCACAGCGCGAGTTCGAATTGAGCGTGTTCGAATTAATGAGACTCGACTGTGTTTATTTTCTGTCGCATGCATGGTCGCGTCGCGGTACATCAGGCTGCGAGGCGGTTTCCTTCTTTGCATGCTTATAGGTGTGCGCCCATCTGAGCATACATTGGCACAAACTGTTATAATTGATATAACAAAATAATGGATATAACGAAATAATTGTGGCTGCCCTTCAACTTCATTATAATGAGGTATGAGTGTACTTGCAAGATGCTCAGAGCATTTAGAAATATCAATTGCTCCACGGACACTCGCCGTGGAAATCATGGTGAGTGGCCAGGTGGCATGCTCGTTTGTTGAGGCTTCGTGCCACGGCGATTTTCAGCCACTGAGTCTTGTGAAGTGCTCTGCTTGAAATCATTGCAGCATCATCATCACTCATGACCATGGTCTTAAACCTCTGTGATCACGCAGCTCATGCTAAGAACTTGAGGCATGATCGAGGGAGAGAAGGCGCTACGATTTCAGCCAAAGAGGACGCCACAGCCCCGTTTCGTCTTTCGCTTCACCTTGTAAAGCGTTGAATGCAACGGCACGGCTCTCTCAATCACTACAACCACTTGCGTTGTTTTATGTTGCTTTTCGGAAACATTGACATGCGCATCTATCGCTACAGTATTCTTGAAGCTTTGTTTTTACCCTGTATTTCTTCTACTTTATGCCCCGTATCATTTCTTTCTACCATGGAGATTGTTTACCAATCAAAGAAAAAGACTTCTGTACGAACCACTCCGAATGATGGGATTCAATTAATCACTTCCAGTGGTTCTCGCCTTTGGGGTTACAGAGTTGGGCTTTAGCCACAGGAGCGTTTCCAATGTCGTATGCGATTTACTACACGAGACAAAACAAATCAAATGCTAAGACTATTTAAATCAAGCTTATCCTTTAACAACATCAGTCTTCTTTTTTTTTGTGAATTGAACTAATTGTTTATTTCAAAAATGATCTATTGCTAAACATTTCAATGTTATAGACGAATTTATTTATGTAAGAAGGCACCGCCCATTCTATGGCCGATCCCCCATGGTAAGTTTCGCCAGTTAAATAAGGGTCAACCAACCAACCAACGCCTTAGCTTGATCCTACTGAGTGAACATTGCTCTGCTGCGCAGCTAGTTGTGTTTACGGTAATGTTCTACGTAACTCAGTTCGCCCCTTAACTGATTGTCCTATCAACCCAGCAACGCACTAATTGATCTCTCATTGCATTCCCCAAAGCTGTGAAAGATAGATTGCAAGCTAATAGTTAAAGCCCATTAAAATGGTTTATCAGCCTTGAGCTGAAATAAAATGCCTTGCATACGTTTCTTTTTTTTTGCTGAGCTCTATGGCAGCAGGAACAGCATGCAAGACCTTTGCATCTGCAGAGGTGGTGTCTCAGACCAATTCAAGCAAACAGTGGTAGTATGCGGACACGCAGAGGGAGAAGGAACCAAACACTTTTTATGTCATACAGTTGTGATCCACTTATTTCGCTGTTCTCTAAAGCAGGGACAAGTCGAGAAACTGCAAAACGGCCTTCCCACTAGACACGACATGTACCTGTTGATACAATTGACTGCACAGCAATTCATGACTCCAATAAACTGTGTGCTAGTGAGCATTGGGTTCTGCTTGAGCTCTCAATGACTGTCTGCTTTGAATTGAAGGCCATGCGATGGGGCACCAGTCCCAGTGCACGGAGGGTATACATCAAGTTGGGGTTGAATAAAAGCTCAATATAATTTGTTCAATGTTGCTGTAATTTTACACGGGTCTTTCGAGGATATCTCACAAGTATTTGATGGAACAAATAATCTGATGTTTTCGCATCATGTATTTCGCATCAAGCTCAAGTATTTGTGTCCTTTCGTTCATCTCTTTCAATAATTTGCAAGGTTCGTGCCCAGCGTAAAGCTGCAAAGACTGATCTGGTGTCCACGAGCAGCAGCAAAGATGCGGAGACGAGAGCCAGCGATGAAAGTGCAAGTGAACAGGCACCGACGAACAGTGTGCCAGGTGCTTCCACGGCTTTGCTCAACACAATTGATGAGGAAGAGGAGGCAGTTGCCTCGATTGCACGGTTCTCGCTGCAAGAGAGACAACCGAGATTGGTTGAGGACGTTCCGTACGTGGAGCACAACACACCGTTCACTGAAGAGCAGCTAGCATCTTGCAAACCTCAAGGTATGCATGTGATTTTGGTAGCGCGGTACTTGTATAAAGTCGAACTGCCCACCTTGGCAATTTAACGACGACGACATTCCACTGAGCAAAGAAGTCGGGGTTCCATTTCCACTCTCCGTGGTCTCATTTCGACAGGACCAAAGTTCAAAACTCATGCATTAAGATATCATCTTCAGCCTGACTACGCCCACTACAAGGCAAAGGCCTCTGCCATGCTTCATTAATTAGCCAGGTCTTGTTCTTGCTGCTAATGACACAGTGAGACATAGAAAAGAAAATGGTACATCTAACCTTCAGTGAAATGAAGAGAGCAGGGTGGGGCAGGGAACATGTGAAGGACATCTTAATCAAAATATGGAATAAATGGACATGGAGTGTAGCGCTGATCATTAAACTTTTTCAGTCCCAATTCTTTTTTCCCACCGCTCTGAGGTAGCCTATTGGTTTTTACAATTGTAGATGTGTGTGATCATTGTAGTCTAAAGAGGGGAAAAAAATTTGTGGTCAATTTTTAATCAAAAGTAATTTGTGGCCAAATTAATTTGGTAATTTTGTAAAATTCACATACTTCTTTCATTTTTCTTTTAAAAAATTGTTTCAGTGAGACAGCATAAAACCTAACAACCGAAACCAAAGTTTTCTGCACAATAGTAAAATAAGTACCCCGCTTACGCGCAAGTGCACAATAGTGCAAAGAGAGCAATTGCTTGTTTTTGTTTTGTTTTTTTTCACACGTGACCCACTTGTTTTGTGTACTTGGTTGGCACCATGTGTAGAGCCCATGCTAAATATGAGCTCTTCAAGAGGAACAATGCTTTATCTTTACCTGATGTCTGCTGACTGGCCTACAAAATTTATATTTCAAATTGAGGTCACTAGGCCTAAAAGGGTTGAGAGTAACAAACTGGATTTCAAAATAAGGCAAGCATATGAGGGGAAGACAGGCAGCTAGGTGGGCGGATGAGATTAAGAAGTTAGCACTAAGATTTAGGTGAGCATTTTTCAACTCCAGATGGTGAAAATAATCTGGAGTCTCTCGCCGTGGCATGCCTTGTAATCGTGTGGGCTCGTTTCAGTACGAGAAAACCCTAAACTTCCCTTACAACTATGGCATGTCACCCGTCCCTAGGCCCTTGGCTGTGCCACTGCGAAGCTCCAGGGGCCAGGAGGAAGCTCCCTCAAAATTCTTGCCTGCCGCACCCCCTGCTCGCCATCCCGAGGACAAGGAGGGTCAAAACACGATGCATAAGTTCACAGACTCCCTGCCCCTCTTGAAGGCACTCATTAGTCATTGGTGCTTCTCATTCTGCCAGTAAAAAAGTCTGGTGCAGCCCCTGCGAAGCTCTTGTCAAAGGACAAGTACCTGGTAGTCAGAGGTGCTAGTTAGTGGTTGCTTTTGAAATATTACCAGTGCACTATAAGATGCTAAAATTGCAGCTTCATGCTAGGATTTGACTTTGACTGAACTGGCACATTTTGCACTTGTTTGCTTGTATATCTCTTGAGCACGCACTGATGTTTTTTCTCCTGTATGGTGTTTCAGCACTTGATGACATGGTGTCACTGCTCGACAAAGCCTTTGAGCTAATCATTCATTTTCCGCCATTCCCTCTGTATGCCGAGATGAGCAGAACTATGATGCATCTACTGGACCTTCAGGCAAGCGCTGACAATTTTATCCGCATAACCAACTCGTTGCGTCGTAGGTTGTTTTGTCCTATCGTATATTCATGATTCGCTGTGTGCCACATCCTGTCTGGCATTCACATCATGCCTAGACTGCACCAACTTGGATGATCGAATTGCAAGCCGACGTCATAATTACTCCCTGACTGATATTAAAATTTTTTCAGCCTAGTCAGACAATGAAAATGCATGTTTGTCGGCGAACCAAGGACAGTAGGGAAACGTGATTGAAGAAAGTCTCGTGGGTTACAGAAATTTAATAACTGTTGATGGCAGATTTATGATTATTTACATGTTTTTGAGCTTTTGCTTTAATCAAACTGAGATTGAAGCAGAATATGTGTGAAAAACACAGGGAGGGCAAAAAAGGTGCACCTTGGGTCTGTGTCCAGCGATGACTGAAATATTTTGCCATGAGGGTTGGGAATATGAAAGGGCAGGAAAGAGAATACTTAGGTTATCTAGATTTTAAGGAATATATCAGTGTTTTTTAGGTTTGTGCGACTATAAAACGAATATTACAGTGTTTGAATTTTGCTAGGACAAGATCTTAAATTACGAAATTTTGAAGTATTCGAAACAACCACACAAACTGTATGTGGCCCCCCTGTAAAGGTGGTTTCACTGCAGTGGAGGGTTGCTATACTTTGAATGCACTTATCCAGGGGAAATCCGCAATGCCACGAACCCCCATTTCAAGGCAAAATGAACACATTGCCCTCACCTTGATGAACCTGATTATTTAAGTTTCAAAGCTTGTTATGCCGGCTTATATGCTCAAATTATAGTAAATATTACACGTAAACTATTTTACAGGTCATCACTTGCTTTGAACTGAGGGTGAAATGCTGCTGCTACTATTAAAACTTGCTTCCAGTTCCCTTTGAACAAAAAAGAATTGCGTCTGCACACGACTTGTTTCAATTTTGAAAAACGTTGTTGAGGTTAGTTAGGTCATCACAATTATGCTCATTTTTCTTCATAATTTGCGATAAATAATACACTATTTGAATTCAGTTCAAAATTATTCATCCAGACTACTATTTGCTTTGGATGTAAATTGTACTATTTGCACAATCCCAGTGTTTTCCTACTCCTCTATTTTTGTTCGTGTGTGTTTTTTCTGAAGCTTGCTTATGCTGCACACGTGTCCACAGGAAAGGCACAGCAAGGACCACAAGACTGCCTCTCTTTGGTACGTTAGTCAGACATCCTCAGTGACTCTGCAACACATTGGTCTCAACTGCCTCTACAAGAAGCTCAAGTTAGTGCAATAATAAATATTTATTCTATTAGCATTGGCACAACTGCAAGTCATGTCCAGTTCTGAACTTCAACTAAGCCAATTTCCAAAATTTTGTATCAATATTGTGTAGAGTCCATTGCTGTGCACTAACAATATCACTAAGTTACTGGTTCTTGAGAAATTTTTGTTTGATGCTACACAGATCTAAATTAGCTATGTGCCTCTTTCCCATTTTTTTTTCCTCTTCAGAATCGCAACTCTAGAAAGGGCGGGCAGTGAAGCTTTACAGCTGTAGTTCCATAAAAATCTCCTGGATGGAAATCTGGTGCCACTGCCTTGAAAGATTTCTGTTTTACCTTAAGATAAAAATTTGTCAAAATTTTAAACACTCACACACCCATGCAGTGGCATGGGTGTGCGAGCGTTTACAATTTTGACTTTCATTTTATTTTTTGTGAATGAACTTCTGATTGCTACTATATCGACAATAAAGTTATCAAATAACAATATTTCCATTTAAAACAATTTAGTTTCACTTTAGTGCATCATATTAAAGGAGAGTAAACTACAGTGACTGGCTTTTCGGTAATATCAGTTTAATAGCAGAAGGAAAAGGCAGTTGATACTTCGACTAGTGAAATTCAAACTTCTGATGGTGTTAATGGTCATACGGTTTCTTTGCTCGCAGTTTTTACGTGCAAGTAGACTACTTTAAACTCGATCTTACAAAACCAGCTTTTACATAGTTTCTCATTTAACAAAGAAATTTCAATTCCCCAGCATACACCCATAGGGCTCAACGTTATCGACCAATTTAAACCAACTGGATTAATTAAAAAACACAATAAACGAAGTTTTCCCGAAAGTACCGAACTAAAAAAAAAAAGTGATTTTCTTGCAATTTTGCAGACAGGCTTTTCTTCAAGCAAGCTCTAACATCATTTCATTAAGATGTCTAGACGCTCTTCTCATTCTCATGGCCCTAGATTGTTTGTTCAGGCCGCATGTAGCACTCATGCATGGAGCATTGAGCGATGGACTTGACTGTCGACGGCGCTTTTAAGTACCGGATGGTGCTACGGGTGGTAGTAATTGGCATCATGATTTTGTGACACTAATTATCTCCTTGCAACTTTCTGGATTTGTCTGCTTGCATAATCTATTCATTCTGTGTCTCTATATATCATTTGCTTGTCATTACTTCACCTGAGTTTCTGGCCTGCATCGCCCAGGCACGATGCCCTTATGTCCGGTCACATGAACAGCTCCATGGCAGGGACGTCTTCGTGGACTTTTCACCCACACAGGAGTAGATTGCTGGCAAGAACAATGACCCAGTAGCTTTTGGTTGTTGCAACGTTACATTTTTAAATTTCGAAGAGATGAAAGTTTTTTTCATTTTCACAAACTTGTCAATTTAACAAAATGGCTCAAGTGTCCCAATTGCTTCGTTTAATTGAGGTTCAACTGTATATCAATATAAAATAGATGTTGATGCAAAAATTCAAGTGTGGTCCTAACAGTGATCTATACACTACAGTTAGAGAGCTGCATTGCTAATACTGTGCACGTTTTTTTTCTAGAAAGCAGAAGGCTGCTGCATTGAATGATGCAGTTCAAGACTTCACATTCAGCGAGGAGGATGTCATCAAGGCAGAAGCTCTCAGTTTCAGATTGCTGTCTGAGCTCAAAACCACGCAGCTCGCTGATATCTATGAGCTTCTACCGGCTGGTGAGCAGCAATCGTTTATGATGCAGGCACTCTGACAGTTTTTCTATAGACATTCAAACCTACATGCTGACACAGCAAATGTCGCATCAAATGGTTGTTTAGTGTGCAGAAATTGACAGGTGGAGCTTTATTGCTATTCTGCAGCTCCATTGTTTTTATATCAATGCTATGCAATTTGGAATCCATTTGATCCTATAAGGCTGTGGTATGTTGTGAAATAGTGGAGCCTCATATGTACTGTTGTTGTAAAGGACCAGATGCACAGATGAGTATGTGCTTATGAAAGAGGACGGAAAGACCCGCATTCTGATTGCGCGAGAGCCTTTGCCACCTTTGTCAGCCTTGCACAGTGTTACTGTACAGTCCTTTTTCGTCGGGACCTCATTGCGAATTAGTTACATTAATAAAACAAGTCTCATTTGGTGGAGGTGCTGGGCAGTGACTGCGTTGGTCATGTTGTCCGGTGTTCTCTTGGGCAACTTGCAAGAGCGGAGCTTCACGTCTGTTTGGGGGAACTTATCAACCAAATCAAATGCAAATGCCAAAACAAAATTGAAAATATGCTAGTACATCTCTGAAATGTTTGCAGCCTTAAAAAGAATTTAGAGGGGACTTTCCTTGTGCACTACTGTCAAATCATCTCTGCAGTCTTCAATTAAAGGTTGAGAAGATAATAGCACCGGGCACACCGTACCTCAAAGCACACTGTTCACTGATGTTGTTGCATTTCTCATGTGTTAAGCTTACGAGTTCAGGCTGTTAATTCATTGCAATGATAAACAACCCGACTACGTTCACTTCAGGGCAAGGTGCTCTATCATGTTTTTTCAGTTAATACTGTCCTGTACTTCCCGCGGCTATGTTATGCTTGCAGACTTCTGAACTCATCAGCCCACCTAACATTCTGCCTCACCCTGGTGCGCCTTCCCTTCCTCCAATGTTCACTCTGATTAGTGTTAATGACAAGCAGTTATCTTGGTTTCTTACATCGCATTCCCTGCTCATGTACATGTTCTCTTGCTTTTAGCCAGAGTCCTTCGAAAAATGCCTTTACTGGTCATGAAGCTCCGCCGTAACTCTATGGGAGAGCTTTGTGCGCAGCATGCGGAGGCTGCGGCGCGGCGCTGCATCCCCACGGAGGGCATCGGATAGACGGCGGTCGCACCACAGCACCGTTTTCATATTATGTTTGGTTTTATGTTTGGTGTTGCGCGCATTGTGCTTGAAGATAGAAAAGGATGCCGCGTACAAGAGTCACACATGGTTGTCGATTTGGTTGCAAGGGAAATAATGGAAAGGTGTCTATGTTCTGGCTGCCTAGACAGCAAACAGCGGAAAAAGTGCAAGTATCCTATACCGTGACACGAAACTGGTGGTTTCACATTTTCTGACAAGTGAGTGTGTGTGAAAAGCACTTCGATGAGAGTGAGATCTTAGGTGTGCACAAGTGGCTAATCGGAGGAGTCGTGAAGACGCCGCACGATGTTCCAAAACTTTTGCCAGAGGCTGTGCCAAAAATTTTCTACGGTCTCCCAACATATTTGTCTAGTGCAGAAAGGTTCAGAGCTCACCCGCCTATCAGATGTCGCCGGGAACCCTCAGCTGAGCTGAAGACTGTTGAGGCTGCATCAACACTGTGCATGAGTCGCTTTGACACAGCTGCCATGGATAATGACGCTGTTAAAGAAAGTGAGCGTACTGGCTGCCTCTTCTTTGTTGCAAGCCAGTTATAGAGAAGCTCGATTGATGAGTGAAATGCTCGCTGTGTTTTTTTTTTTGAACAGGCACTGAGATGACCAAAGTGTAGAAGTGGCATACCAAACAGACGGGGCTATATGCAGCTCCACACAGCTGAAAAATCCAAAGCACACATCTGTTGCTTGGAACAGTGACTTCAGCACTACCAGTTGAAGCTTTTTATAGTGACAGCACAAGAGAGGATGCACCAAAAAACTGTACAAAACTTGCGCAAGCTGTAAAAGTGCAAAAAGATAATTTTCGATATCAATGCGTCATGAGCACGAGAAGATAATTTTTTGCGTCACATTACAAGGGCACCGGAACGAGACGCAGTGGGTCAATTATCACGGTTGAGAAGGCATGTAAAGCTTTTGCCTTAAACGTAAAAACAATAAAGAAAGACGAGGAAAACACAGCATCAGTAAGCTACTCAGCAAAGTAAAGGACTGGGAAAACAAAACACGAAATCCTGGGAAAAGCCGTATGAAGTATTGTTTTTTCCTCATCAGTGATCACTTGCTAAATTAAAAGCACTGATTCATTCAAACTAGCTATTGTTTCGATTAATATGAGGCTGTTCTAAGATATGTATCTCATATACTAACACCGAATGTATATAGCCTGAGAAATTGGATACGTGCTGTCGAGAGTTGCAACCACTGCACTTCCGTGACACGTTAAGATCCACCAGAGTCTCTGGATTGTCTACAAATTTTCCCGAGATGCATCAGGAAAAAGATAAGCATGCTTTTAAAGTGGTAGCATATCTTGCAGTGGAAACAGCATGCATTTGTGGCCGTCAAATTTCTACCTTCAAGGCCCCATTCGATGCTCAGTTTCCCTGTATTGGAGCTTTGCCGAATTTCCTTCACTCTGAAGACACAAACTACCTTCAAGGGTGCATTTAATAACATTTCACAGTTTTGGCACGTGCTGTACAATTGCAGCGCCGAGGCCGCTTCGGTGCCCTGCCGTGTGTGAGGGCGGTCCTAGCAGTTGCTCCTGTCTCTTTGTCAAACTTTCGCCGGAGCTTCATGACTAGGAAAAGTATTGAAGAACTCTAATTTAAGCTAAGATGCCCTTAATGTGCATTTGTTCTGTGACCCACTGATGGTCATGCACAACTTTGCCTTCTTGTATTGTCACATTTATCCTCACACTGTGCTGTTGATCGCCTCTGCATATTTCAGATTGGACTGTGGTGCAGGTGACAGCTGCCGAGTCCCTCACAAAGGGCCCCGGTGGTGTCACCCTGACACCCGACTTGTTTGTCTGCCAGTGTAGAAAAGGAAAGGCACCGATCATGGTCAAGCTCAGTGGCTCATCCGATCAGCAGGTACATACACAGCTGCTTGCAGGTGCAATTCGATGTTATGGGAGGGTACACATTATTCACCCGCTGTGTTTACATGTTGCATTTAAACAGGTGTAAAGCATCCACAATCTGTAAAATGCTGTGCAAATTTCAGGAGACAAGAGCATACTTACACGCAATACAGGCGCTGAAAAGACCCACCAGCACTCAAGCATGCGGCACGTAAATTTGGAGGATGACAGAGGAACTTTTTTCACATTAAGAACCGCAAAGCATGCATTGGAACAAAATATGAAAGGCATACTAAGAGATGGATCTGGGCTGGCAACATGAGACATAGAACAATCAACCAGTGGTCAATTAGAGCAGCGAAACGGTTACCAAAGGAATAGGATACTCTGTCTTGGAGCAGCAAATTAAACTGAGAGATAATTTAAGTTTGCAGCCATAAAATGAAATCTGGTCACTCAAGAGCAGAGTCCTTCAGTCATATGAATTGCAAAACTCCCCATTGGCCCCATGTATTAGAATCCAAACACACTCTTGACAGAAGTCACTAGCGTGGGCCGATCGTCGTGTCATCTGTTGAAGAAAAAATAATCTATAAAACGCTCGCGACAACGCCACTGCTGCACACAGCATCACGCAGCTTGTCAAAAGCACATTCAGTGGCGTTGGCACAACAATTATTTTGTATTGCTGCTCCCAGGTGATGTGACAATCCGAAGGCTCCCGCATAGTCGCGACGAGAATGTCTGGATTTCGGAACACAGTTTTGCAACTGGTATGATTGAACATGAGGTCATTGAGAGAGGCATTCTTCCTGCAGTGGCCACAATACATTACCAGTTAAACTGCAAAAAAACGTTGACATAGGAAGAACACAAGCTAGTTTTTTCCAACGTCAACGTTTTTCACGCAGTTTATTTCATAATGTATTACAGACTCCCCCCAAGGTCTGTTCTTCTAAGACAATACAGTTGAACACGCGTACACTGAATCTAAAGGGGATCATTAAAGATTTCTATTCAATATACAAAATTATTTTATGTGTATATATACGGGTTTTACGTATGATGGCAACTGTCTGACAGAGATAATGTCTAGGATCAGGCAATATCTGAAACAGAAAACTTGGCAGCCTGAATGTGAGCCTATAATTGTGGAGCAAATAAAGCTGCACGTAATATGTTCGAACTGCTGCAACTGTCGATGTGCCAATAAACACCAGTGGAGTTGGTCTTTTGAACTTTTCTTCTGTCCGTGCAGTTCCACACGGTTCTCTTCAAGGAATTCAAGGGAATCTTGGATGAAAGCACAGCCACCATGAAAATGACGGAGCCACCTCTGTGGTGGTCTGTTCGACGCGCCTTAGACAAGAGAATGAAGGTGAATCTCTTGTGCTCTTATGGCCTGGCCCCGAACCCCTTCCACCTTGCTTTATTTTTTAATCAGCTTTTACAGAATATGCTCAATGCAAAAGCAAAGCTTTGTTTCAGTACATAAACATTAACTGTCTATTCAAAGCGATTTTCACAATGGCTATCTGCTTTATACAGCGTAACCGACTTTAATGGGAAATGAGCCGTTTTTTGTGTTCCCTAAAGTGCCATATGTGGTCAAAACCATGCCCACACGAAAAATGTAATTCTTAAGATACCTAGTCTGCAAGCTTTCATTGAAAATTTGAGCTAGCGTGAGCGCTTGATTCCAAGCCTTCGCAGAAAGTTTTTCAAGCTTTGTTTGCATTCTGTTTACGGATGTATAAATAGTAAATTTTTGGTGTGAAGTGAATTTAAAGTGAATAGTGAATTGTTCAAATAAGTTCAAATTGAATGGTTCGAATAGTATGTATGTCGCATGTTATAAAGAAAAACTAGCATATTTGTCGTGACTCAACTAACCTGCACAATACTTTCTTGTGTATGTGTGAATGTCATTCTATGTCAACAGGAACAGGATTTGAATTTCAGTATACAATGCTAGTGATCACTAGTAAAATACACAAGCTCTAAAATGCACTTTACGTGGAGCATATAAGCTCACATAGCAAGGTTTTAAAAAACAACAAATCGATAATTAATCATTCATTTATGTTTGAAGTGGGGCTTTGCGGCGGTGCTGATTTATGTTAGATGCGTGTCTTCACGGAACACCATGCCTAAGCTGCAGTGAAAGCACCTTTTCAGGAGGTTGCATGAAATCCAATATACGTCTGTTTGATCATTTCAAATACTTAGAAAATTCTAATAATCGGCTGCTGCATTTTTTTATAGAGGCAAAAACGCTGTATGCCCATGTGCTCAGATTTGGGCGCACATTAAAGAAGCCCGGGTGGTTGAAATTTCCGGAACCCTCCACTATGGCGTCTCCCATAAACATGTGGTGGTTTTGGGATGTTAAGCCCACATATCAATCGATAGTCAATAAATCAAAATTTCTAATACAATAAAACCTCATTAGTTTGAGCTCAGTTATTTCAAAATCCCGCTTAATTCGAAGGATTTCTGCGGTCCCGTATTTTCCTATGTAAGTTAGAGTAGATAATTTGAAGCGGAGGCTGGCACCAGTCCGGTTCATTCTAAAACTTTGGGTGCCATGTGCCAGTTTCAGATCCCAATTTTGCCATGAATTCGCAGAAACGACGGCCATTAATTGCCACAAGGCAATGCAATGTATCGATACTAATGAGTGGCAGCTGAAGCACCCCAGTCTCGCTACTTCTAGCGCAAAAAAAAAAATAAGAAAAAACGGTCTCGTGGTCAAGCAAAACGTGCGCCTGCGGAAAACGAGCCGTGTTTCACTACAACATAGTGGTGACACGCGGGCAGCTTATTGCATGCTTCTCGCACTGTCAGCGGGTCATGGTTTACCTATTCTTTCTGTGATTGCAAAGAAATTAATAAAGAACAGTTTAGCGGAAATCTCGATGTATGCGAACCTCTGATTGCCGGTTGCCCCAACAATTCGAGTCTTTGCACTGCTGGAGGAGTTCTTGCAAGCAACACCTACTTCGAAACCTAAGTTCGAAAGTTTCAAAGATCATTTTTTCCAGCCAAAACACATTGTGAGCTTCATCATACTGGCCATTATTAAATTTATAATTATAGTAGAAAGAATGTGCGAATGGTCGCATCATGGTGTGCCGACGCAGCGAAGAGCAGGCAACATGCTGCCCATGTGTCACTACTGTGTTGCAGTGAAGATGTCTTGTTTTCTGCAGGCGCAATTTTTTGGTTGATCACGACAGCGTTTTCTTTTTTTTTTTTTTTTTTTCGGTGGCAGCAGCGAGGCCCACTGTTCCTTCATATTCGCGGCAAAATAAAGACCAGGTATTGCTGGATAACATAACCTTTGGAGCCACAAGCTAGTCGGCACAGCAAACGATGAGCACTGATTAGTTTGAATAGTTTCAAGTTCCTTGCATCCCACTTTTTGTGTGTTCTGTTAATTCAAAAGCACGCTTAATTTGAAGCTTTCTTGTGGCCACAGTCACTTTGAATTAATGAGGTTTTACTATAAATTGAATTCATATCAAAGCGAGTTCAAATATAGTAAAAGCTCGTTCATTCGAACTTATGGTCGATTAGAACTGACACCATGGTCCTGGCGAAGCACTGTGTATTTCTATGGGGGGGGAAACTTCAGATAATTTGAAAGCATTGGTATCCACAATGGTTAATTTCAACAGGGTTACTGGCATTCACGCAGAAGTTGGCCTGGAGTGATCACAATTTGTTGCAAAATCAAACCGAACCAAATTTTCTAGACATGCAAAACAGCAGCATTTCTCCGCAGATGAAATTTTAGATGCTGCGCTTGAGCTCTAGAGCCAGCTGCAAACAATCCCCATAAAGTTGTGACAGAGAACGAAGCACAAGCAAATGTAAATAAATTACTACTTTTAATGTTAATTGCACTGTCATGTTTTGGAGCACAAGTAGAGTCTTATATTATAACATTAAGACTCACTCCACAGACGTGCATTCATGCCAACATGAGTGCATGTCTGTGCTTGTTTATGGTATATCACTGACCGATCAAGTAATTCTGTTCGCTGTTAGAGTTCCGTGAACTTAAGTTACAAAATCACACGCGACAAATGTGTAGTGGCGCTTGATTCACGATAACGAGTCTAGAGCTGGCTTCATTGTGTTCCGCCCATACAGTGTGGCACAGTGTGTGTTTATCTAAGCAGCCACCTACTAATTTGAACTCCACTTAACTCGAACAATCTTATAGTCCTACAAGTTCGAATTAACGAACTGTCACTGTACTGCAATATTTGTTTGAATATTCGAACTGCTAGAATGTTTGTATGCGCCTAGTTTTATTGTGTTCATTGCATACAGTTTGCTTGTGAATTCCATTGAATCAATTCCACCTAGTGAATTCTGCAACCAAATCAAACTAGAGTTCCTACAGTTTTTCTTTCATTGTCATTCGTGTGTTGCATAACAGAGCATTTCTTGTAATGCTGAACAGGACGTACTGAATAGCATCGAGAACGTCTGGATGGGCTGCTGGAAGGGAGTCTTTCATGGCAAGATTGTCGATGCCGGTGCGTACAAGGACCTGAGAGACGCCGTAGTCCAAGTGGTGTCCAAGGCGACGAAACACAAGTTAGAGTGCTCCAGCAACCGACTACTCGAAGTGAGCTTGTGGCCATTGTTGCCGTCCTTTGTCCGCGCTCTGTTCTCTGAGTCCTCACAAGTGGTTATGGCATTCTGCTTCGTACTACAGCGCGGCAGGTTAATGTAAATATTTTCAAGAAATCTAATTAAACAGCTGTGATAGTGCGCAGGCTAAGGACCAGCATCGGGTAACACGTACTGAGCTGAGTGATAATTTTGCAGGCTCGTGCCTAGCACAGATGATATCGACCAAAATTACATGCATTTTGTGAGGAAAAGTGTGTTCTTGTGTTTACCAAAAAAAAAAATCCAGGGAAGGATTTCGTGGCCTGCAAGAATGGCATTGTGCAAAAAGCTCGTATGCATGGCATTTGCCAATGAAAGCAGCATCATGGTATATTCAGCGACCAGATAGAAGGTACCATTAAACTGCTTATGACTATGCATGAATCATAAGCAAAATGTGCCTTTGACTGACTATTTTTGCCTGCACAATATTACACTACGCAAGCCAGTCGAATTGTTTAGGCTATGCAAACGCTGCCTCTTCCTGCACACACCGTTTTTTTTTTACCGTTTTTATTGTTTTTTTTATTTTCATCAAAAGCAGCATTGATTTCAGTGCTGGTTTGGTCAGTTCGGACTAGCTATGCCTAATGGATTAAGCAGTTTTATTTGAATGCATATAAAACATTCTGTACAGGCTGAATTACTGTGAATAGTTTCAATAATCAAAGTAACAAGCTACTATACAAAGTTCGAACTGTCGCCATGTTGTTCACAAATTCGAATTCTATACAGGCGGTGATCGACTCGGCCACAGACCTCACGGATTACCAGCTGTCCATCGCGGTGTGCCAGCTGTTCGGGATCCGTAGCTCACATGCTGTTCACAATGTTCTCTGCAACCTCATCAAATCCAAAGCAAGCCCAGACACTCCACGACATCCGGTTATTCTCATCTTGGACAAGGCAAGCTTTATCACCCTCTGTAGTCATTTCACTGATCACTGTAATTGGATTAGTTATAATGAAATGTCCTATAAAATCTCGTACGATAATGCAGTCGCATGTAAAGACGATAGCACCTTCATTAAAAGCACCTGCTGTGATGGCTTAATGTCTAGGGGCTGTGCTACTATGCCAGAATTGGGGCCAAAATTTGATTCCCAGTAGCTATGTTTCGATGGCAGGCATATTTTAAAACACTCGTGTTCATCTGGAATTTTTTTATTGGTTGTACTTCAGCTGTAGTTGATCAGCCTCCTCATTAGCTCAGACAGAACTGCCTTGAAAAAGCATTTGTGCCAGCTTTAAATTATGGGTTAGCACGAATTTTCGTTCATTTACGAAGCTGTTTTAAGAAAAAACCTTCTACATGAGTTTTCTTTTGGCTTCACGCTAAGGACGGGTGTTTCACTTTGCCCATTTATGAAGATGTCATAATTTTGCAGGCTTCCACAGAACTCATTTGTCATTATGAATGAGGAGACGCTATCCAATGAAAGCAACAGGTAATGAAGCTACAAAACAGTATAGGGGAAATTTCGTGTATGATTTACATGCTATAGTATTATTATTACATAAATGGAAAAGGAATTGTGGTGGTTGAAGAATGAACTTGCCTAATGTAGGGAAGAAGCCCACAACCTTTTGACAACGCGCTCAATGCTCTACAATAAAGAGCATCGTCCTCGATGAATTCCTCCTTTTTCGTTCAATGTATAACTCGATGCATCTATGCATTGGCCCACACATATGAGACTACAACTCTACTACTGTGCTACATATTGCAGGCCGTACAAGCGCTGCCGTGGGAGAGCACGCCAATCCTGCTGAAGAACTCCGTGAGCAGGGTGCCGTCACTCAACTACCTGCGTGCCCAGCTTCTGCAGTACCACTACGTGGCTGAGAATGTCTACACCCAACACGTGGACACCACCAAGACGTACTACATTCTAAACCCAACGAACGACATACCAAGGACACAGGCCCAGTTCCAGGACATCTTCACAGGGCAAGTACCAGTTATAAGCATCCTTAAAAGAAGTGGTAACAGGTGGGGCAGTAACTTCATGCTAATGAAGAAATTTGAGTAGTTAAGGATAGCGCCCAGTTTTATTATTAAAGGGCCACTAAACAGGCTCAGACTCCCTTAAATGAGCTCGCTCATTCGTACAGTAGACCATGGCAATCATATTTTACAAATATTGCAGCGCTGCGCACCACACTGACCCTCCATTCCAAAAAGCATTCCCGCACTTCTTTTCTTCGACTATCCAATCGTCCTTGTGTGCGCAGTGACTAAATCTTGCCCATGGGCACCATAATGCACTCCTAGGCTTGTTGATTGGTCCTTTGTCTTATGAAACAGTGCCTTGGTTCTGCGGGGATGCAGTTTTGCTCGTGCAGTTCACATTTTCGTTTTTCTGTGCTGCCCTCTGTCGTATTGTAAAGCCTTAGACTACCGGAAGAAGCGAATTTGCCAGAACGAAAGCGTCCAAGACTAGGGGAGGGTGCTGTAAGGAAGCTGACCCACTATGGGCTGGTTTCCCTTGCAACCTCTCTGTCAGCGTAATAAATGTTTACCACCACCACCACCTCGCACCTTGCTTCTCCTCACACTGCTGGCACATGCTTATGCAGGTGTAGTTTTCTAAAATTAACTATAGGGGGCTGTGGCACTGTGATCGTTTAGCCACCATGGGAATTATGAGTAATACACAAAATTTGCCTAGTCTTCGTGCTTGTGGGCTTCAAATGCACTTGTCGCTTTGTTTATTGCTGTTTTGGTTTTGTTTCAACTAAAAGAATGAACTGTTGAGAACTTTGTGACCCGATTTCAGTTGGTGAGCTTAAAATGTTGACGTGGTGAGGTGGAACTGCTGAACATTTCCTGATTGTCGTCTCTTGACAAAACGGCTGCAGGCCATTCGAAGCCAAATGAAGCCGAAAGAAAGAAGATTAGACAAATTTGCATACTGCCCATCATTCCCATGCTGGCTGAAGCGCCGCGCTTTGCAGCTCCCACAGACACTAGCACCAAAATTCGAGTTCCCTCTAGTGCATCCATACGAAACTCTATGCGTGTGGAAAAAGCCCCCGCTTGATCGTTGGCTGTGTGCCAATGACATATCACTGATGTGTTAGGTTGAGAAAGTGGGCGTGGTCGCGACAAAAAGCTACGCCTACCCCTCTCTGCTGGGAGAAGGTAGGAAGGATGAAGGAGAAACCGAAACCAGCCAAAGCTGGTTGTCCTAAGCCCTGTAACTTTCTTATTACAGCACTTATTGCTGAACCTATTTGTTTCTCTAAGTCTCTTCACAAAAAAGAAAAAAAACTGATTAGTCATTTTTCAGTGATTGCCAGTCTATGTATTAGTATGTCAAGTTCCACACTGACACCAGTGGCTATTTAAATTGGGGCCAACAGGCCACTGAAGCAACGTTAATAGTGCAGATCTAGAAGTGCTATCGCCTCTTTTGCCCCCTCATTTACCTTATGCTAAAGTACACCAATGTAAAAAAGAATGCTGGGGATTCTGTGGCGCTTAGGATAAGCTGTGTACGCTCCACACAGCTTGAAGACATCTGCCATACACTGTGAAAAGTCCTTTGTTTCCTCTCTATTTTTTTAGCTGTGATGCATGTAGTAGTTCTCATGATATTTTTCTTTTCAGCTTGGGTTGGCAGGGAGTGACAGGCAAGCCCCCCAGTAAAGAAGAATTTCAGGCAGCCCTCATTGGCAAGGATCTCATTGTGTAAGAGATATCTTTTTTTTTTCATTGTTTTGTTCTTCACTGTTTTGAGTTTATAGGTTAAAGCAAAAAAAAAGTAAAATGCTCTCATCACACATGCTTGCTTTGAATGCTCCTTATGCTATCGATAGCCATGAATCATCGTACAGGTTGCTGCAGTGTGCCATAAGTAAACAGCATGTATCTACATGTTCGACAGCGCTCTGTTACTGAATCTGTTGAGTGAACTGAGCAACATTAAATATATTCTTTTCTCCTCTGTTTTGAATCTCAGAAACATAGTCATCAACCGCACAGCATGTAAAGTTTGTTGCTGTACAGTTATCAGTGGCGTAAAATGAAAGCAGAGGAATATAAAGCTAAAATATAGATTCCAGCATACCAAGCACTCGAAATACTGATGTGTATACTTCGTTATAGCAGTATGATGCAGAGACCTTTCTCAAAGTGGTAATATTAAGAAGGACAAAGCAATGGCGTTTTACTGTCCATTTCAGCAAGCACACTGTACACATTCAAAAAAATTTTTTTCACCTAGTTGCCATTCACTGATTGACATAACTCCCTTTTAAAAAAAAACACAAGACATTAAGGATAACACTCACGTGTCAATCAGCGGTACTTCTAGCCGATTTGTATATTGGGTACACTTTTCGGCAGCAGCCATGTCTAGATATAGTGTGTATGCATGTCTGGGGCACCTATTACAGTTAAACCTGGATAGTATAACGAAACTGACAAACTTCCAAAAAAATTTGTAATAAAAAGGAGTTCGTTATGTGCAGGTTCGGTACAAAAATTTAAAAAATAAATGCACAAATTAAACAAAGGAGAACTGAAGGCAGAGCTCACCCAAAACACCTATTCGGAGGTAAAAACTATGTTATTTACTGCGATGGCAATTATAAGGACGCTCTCAAGGGGGTTCTGCTATCGCCGCCGTGTTCCGTAACAAGTCCAAGTTGATAACATGCCCCTGTGCATCGTAACTTTTACAAGCGTGTAAAAGTGCACGAGCGCTGCTGAAGCAGAGATCAATACAAGCCGGCCCATCTCTATCGCCTGGAGGTCGCATACGATAAAATCGCCCCGCGTGTTAGAATTGCCATCGAATGCTCAAACAGAAAGGAAACCACTCGTCATGAATGATCATGAACAAACGCAAGGGGCTGGGGTGAATCACTTGAGTTGCAACAGTGAACTTTGATTTTAAGGGCACGGTCGCGATCGCCGGCGCACGTGCTATCTCGGCATGCATCAGTCCGTTTTCAATGTGAAGAAACCGTGTGAAACAAACATTTCTCCCAGGAGCAGCCATGTTTGCTTACACGAGCGTTTTGTAAGAGTTCTGTGATATCGAATCCGAAGGAGTTGGCTGCCAGCCTTACTTCGTATAACATTTCAATTTGTGGCTGTTGCATTTATTGCATTGTATTCAAGGCGATCGCGACCGTGCCCTTAAAATCACAGTTCACTGTTGCAACTCAAGTGATTCACCCCAGCCCCTTGAGTTTGTTCATGATCATTCATGACGGGTGGTTTCCTTTCTGTTTGAGCATTCGATGGCAATTCTAACACGCGGGGCGATTTTATCGTATGCATCCTCCAGGCGATAGAGATGGGCCGGCTTGTATTGATCTCTGCTTCAGCAGCGGTTGTGCACTTCTACCCGCTTGAAAAAGTTACGATGCACAGGGGCATGTTATCAACTTGGACTTGTTACGGAACACGGCGGCGATAGCAGAACCCCGTTGAGAGCGTCCTTATAATTGCCATCGCAGTAAATAACGTAGTTTTTACCTCTGAATAGGTGTTTTGGGTGAGCTCTGCCTTCAGTTCTCCTTTGTTTAATTTGTGCATTTATTTTTTAAGTTTTTGTACCGAACCTGCACGTAACGAACTCCTCTTTATAACAAATCTTTTTGAAAGTTTGTCAGTTTCGTTATACTATCCAGGTTTAACTGTAATAGGTGCCCCAGACATGCATACACACTCACACTATATCTAGACATGGCTGCTGCCGAAAAGTGTACCTTATATACAAATCGGCTAGAAGTACCGCTGATTGACAGCGTGTTGTTGCCAGAGATAATCGCATAATCACGAGGGTCCCGCAAACTCGCCGCATGGCAAAGAGGGCAAAGCGTATGACAGTCAACTTCTGAAATGATTCGCTGTGGTCACAGAGGCTAATCTAACATCTCCTGTGAAGTAACAACATGGTTTTTTGCGTTAAAAAGATGGGGGAGGGGGGGGGGGGGCTAAATGTCATCCTAGGCCACTCGGTTCGCATGCTGTAAAACTATGCACGTGTACATGGTTACAAAAACGAAGAGCGAACTACGCGGATACAGCGGAAAACTAATTGGTGAAGCGCTGTCCATATGGAGCATGGCCCCACATATGTGACGCTAACTAAAAGCGTAACAATGGGAAGTGGCTTTACCTGTGAAGTGCAGTTCAGACCAGACTTCTGCAGCAATTGAAGAGTGGCACTGCCAACGCATACTTAGTTTTCTCTTTTTCTTTTTTGGGAGAGGGAGAAAAAAGGCACATCTAGGTATGTGCCCGCGACGACATCGAGTTGATAGGTGCAGGCCCACCTTGCGCACACCTGCATGCAACAATTAACTCAAGCGCTTGCTCTCACCTGAGAGCCGCCGGAACCATGAGAGCACCGCTGTCGCTTCGCGCTTAGTTGGCAGCAGGGCAACCTCGGAAAATGCATGCCTGGGCCAAAGTGACAAAATCGGTGGCGAAATTCCTAGGTTGTTCGTGGCAAAAATTTGTTATGTCAAGCATGTCTCCTGCTGTTACTTTGTTTCATAGAGGTCAAAAATACATGTGCTTCTATGAAGTTACTCAGGAAATAAAAAAACTACGTAATATTTTTGGAATTAGTTTTATTTAGGTTCGTTGTAGGCAAGTTTATCTATATTCGCTTTCATTGTTGTTTCTTGAGGAGCATTTCATTGACTGTGCTATCGCAGCTACTGTGGCCATGGATCAGGGCGCGAGTACCTCGTGAGTGAAGTCATTGAGCAAATGCGCTGTCATGCCTGCCCGATCCTGATGGGCTGTGGCAGTGGTCGTCTCAAGGTGTTCGGGCAAAAGATAGAGCCTTTTGGAGTGGTCCTCCAGTACTGGATTGGAGGCAGGTCAGTAAAAAGCCATGCAAAATGGAATTTACAACTTTTTGCTTATAAGTACATGTCTCAAAGTACTCAAGTCATTCCTATACCCCAGTAACTGGTAAATTAGGGGAAATTTTATGCGAATGAACTTGTGCCCCTAGAATGTCACTCTGGCAATGTGCTACTACGGAAAAAAGGGAAGTGTACTTTATAAGTGATGATAATAGCGATGGGTAATTAAGTGGCATAACAGATATGTTATTTCAGGCAATGCTTCTTAATTAAGTGCTGGGTAGGTGCCTGGCAGCTGTGGCTGCAGATTGCTTAAGAATGGGATTAGAAAAGTAGTTTTTGGTGGTCTAGTATGTTTTAGTGCATAATATTTTTAATAACATAAAAGAGAGTTGAAAAAAATAAGCATAACAGTCTCGGATAATAACATGCATAACTGAGCCACTGCTGCCGAGGTGGGACACTCCATCACAGCGAAGAGAGCTTGGCAAAAGCACTCGCCAGGAAGTGCGCTTTGCAGCATGTGTCACTGATACCCCTGTCATACTTGAAAGTTTAATCTCATTGTTAATGAGTGCACTTATGTTCGCAAAGTGTCAGTTGGGCAGTGTGCTTATACACGAGAAAGAGAAGTGTCCATTGTACATAATGGAAGTGGCAATCGGGGAGTTAGTAGCGTATCATATATTTGCTGTATTAGGCAATGCTTGGTAAGTAATAATCTATCATAGGCATGAACATAATTTGGAATAAACTTAATAAGATGTTAATGAAGTAAATCATGCAACCAAATAATATTGCTACTATACTGAGGGGACGTGTGGAAGAAGAGGAGAACGAGGTTGACACGAGCGGTGATCGGCCAGATCCCTGGACTCTCGCATTCATCATCTCCTGTAAATAAAGGCATTAACCGTAACAAGATTAGTGGAAGGTGCGGGGTACAGCGGAGCGATCCCAAGCGAACGATCACGGAAGCGCTACGTCAAGAACTATGCCGAAGCCGCCGACTGGCTGGTCTACCACCGCTCTCTATGGATCCGATTGCTGACGGCGACACCACGCACTCTTCGTCTGGCGCTACATGGCCCCGACACATACCTAGTACCACAAAGCTTCTCTGGGAGGGTCGGAGAAGACGTCGACGAATGGCTGAAACACTTCAACCGTGTGAGTAAATACAATTGTTGGGATGCGGCCTCCCGGTTGTCCAACGTCGGATTGTTTCTTCAAGGGACGGCGTTGGTGTGGTTTGAAAACCACGAAGAAACAATAACGACCTGGGAAGCATTTGAGAAAGAAATAGCGAGCTGCTTCGGGGACCCATTGATAAAGAAGTGCGCTGAGCAAACTTTGATGCAGCGTGCTCAAGTCCCCGGTGAAACATGCACAACGTACATTGAAGAGATTCTGAAATTGTGCAAGTCAGTAGACCCACGCATAAAAGAAGATGACAAGGTAGGGCACCATCTCAAAGGGGTTACTGAGGATATCTACAATTTCCTCATCGGCAAGGACACGTTGGCGTCTGTAGCGGACGTAATACAACACTGCCGCACGTTTGAGACCCTGAAGGCTAGGTGCATCACTCCCGAATTTGGTAGACTTGCCAACGTCACCACCGTTGCAAGTGTCAACGTCCCTCCAACATCCTCCTGTGATCCTGCCTCAATGATCAGGCAAATTGTACGCGAAGAACTTGGACGACGTGATGCTGTCAACCCGCCGAGGGCACCTGCTATTAACACCTCCCCGCCATACGACGCAATGTGTGCTGCCATTGATGCCACGCTATATGATATGCCCCAATCAAGAGCACCAAAGCCCCCAACCGACAACCTACATCATCGCCGTGGTTTCCAGAACGCCTCCTGCCAATCACCTACAATGGTGTCTTTGTGGGACGATCATGGGCACATGGCGCCTCGTGGAAGGTTTGGCGACGTGCGTGAGGCCCCTGTGTGCTATAACTGCGGTTTCCGTGGACATGTGGCTCGATTCTGTGGTCAAAGGCGTCGCCCCCAGCAGCGCTACTCTGAGGGATCATCAGCTTCTTCTCGACAAAACCGCTGGCGCGGTGGTATGCGCTCAATGCGGGATGCGTACGTTGGGGACGGCTTCCAGCAAACGACCCACAGTGATACACATGTAGGACGCGATTTCCACCGGAATTTACACGACTCGCCTTCTTCAGTGCGAAGCTTGACGCCCCCCCACAACACGCCGGTTCCGTTCCCCATCTCCTGGTCGACGCGTCACCTCTTCGCCTCCGGGAAACTAGGTGGTGCGGCCAATGGAGGTGAGGTCGCCGAACATTTTTCACTACATCCGCCTATGCCTCCACCTGCTTTTATGATGCAAAATAGGGTGCCCGTGCTTATTGATGGACTTCCTATGATGGCTTTGATAGATACTGGAGCAGCTGTTTCAGTGATGAGTCTTAACTTCAAATTGCGGCTAGGACATAAAGTGATGTTTCGCTGGGACAGTTGTGCATCATTTCGTGCAGTGAGCGGAAAGACACTGTACCCGATCAGAGTGTGTGTTGTTAGTGTCACTTTGGGTGACAAGGTCTTCGAGGCTGAATTTGCTGTCCTGACCAGCTCCACCCATGACATCATCTTGGGGATCGATTTTCTACGTGAGTGCGGGGCTACTGTAGATTGCGGTGCTGGCGAGATTATGCTATCGGCATTTACTGATGACCGTAGGCGCTGTGAAGGATCGTGATCACAGTCATTGAGGATGTTGTCTTGCCGCCCAACTCGATGAAGACCGTACGCGTTGACGCCTCTGACTCGGACGCCGGAAAGTTTGATGTTCTTGTGGAGTTCATTCCTCTCAATTGCATCAAGAAAAATGTGCTCGTTCCACATTGTGTTTTGTCGATCAGTGATAGGCGATCGTCCTTATGGGTGTCGAACTATATTCAAATGAACCTGTCATGCTACCCTGCGGAATGCGACGCCCTGTTTGAACGAAATGCGACCAGTTTTATTGCATCTCTAAGCGACGAGAGCATATATCCTATTCATGCAACATATCATACAGAAGCCAACTTTCTGAGTATGGTAAACAAGTCGCTATCATCAGAAAAACGTCAAGCTTTGGTCGAAGTCCTTGTGAAGCGTGCTACTGTATCTGACTTTGCGCAGAATGAAGAGCAAATAAGTGTACCCGAGTCGCGTATTCGCCATGGGATTCACACAGGATCCGCTCGCCCTATCCGTGTCTCATCTGCGGAGCGCAAGGTCATTGCTTCAACAGGTAGAAGAGATGTTAAAGAAAAGGGTCATCCAAGAGTCGTGTAGCCCTTGGACTGCCCCTGTGATTTTTGTCCGAAAGAAGGATGGTACATGGTGATTCTGCGTGGATTACAGACGGCTCAACTCTGTTACTAAAAAGGATGTCTACACACTTCCCAGGATTGATGATGTCATCGATTGTTTACATCCGGCATCATACTTCTCCTCCATGGATTTGAGATCTGGTTATTGGCAAATCCCCATGCACCCGAATGACAAAGAGAAAACGGCCTTCATAACCCCAGATGGTCTATTTGAATTCAATGTAATGCGGTTTGGCCTATGCAACGCTCCAACCACGTTTGAGCTCTGTGTTACGTGGACTAAAGCGAAAAGTTTGTCTTTGCTACCTGGATGACATTATAATTTTCGGCCGTACATTCGATGAACACAACCATCGTCTAGACATTGTTCTCACCTGCCTTGAGAGAGCTAAGCTCACTCTGAACTCTAAGAAGTGTCACTTTGGCAGCTGTGAGACTCTCGTTCTCGGTCACCTGGTGGACAAGCATGGCGTTCGACCCGACCCCCAGAAAGTCGCTGCAGTCAGCAGCTTCAAACAACCTCAGTCGGTACGAGAGTTGCGAAGCTCTTTGGGCCTATGCTCGTACTTCCGTCGCTTCGTGCCCAGGTTCACCGACCTCGCTTATCCTTTGACGTCCCTACTCAACAAGAACGCACCTTTTTGGTGGTCAGCGGAATGCGAGTCGTCTTTTTCGCAACTCAAGTTTGTTCTTACATCAGGGCCCATACTTCGCCACTATGACCCATCTGCTGCCACAGAAGTTCATACCGACGCCAGTGGTGTAGGTATCGGCGCCGTCTTGGTCCAACGCCATGGAGCTGCTGAACACGTCGTTGCCTATGCCAGTCGCTGTTTAAATAAACCGGAGCGAAACTATTCTGTCACAGAGCAGGAATGTCTCGCGGTCATATTTGCCGTGCACGAGTTTCGCCCTTATATCTAAGGACGCCAATTCTCCATTGTCACGGACCACCATTCTTTATGTTGGCTCACTGAACTACGGGACCCATCTGGTTGTCTTGCTCGTTGGGCGTTACGATTGCAAGAACACGACTTTGAAGTCTGTTACAAGAGCGGTCGTCGTCATGCCGACGCCGATTGCCTTTTACGACTTCCCCTTCCGACAACCGAGTGTGACGCTGACAACTTTGATGAATATTTGGCTGTAGTGGATACTCCGTTTCCTGACCTAACAACTTTTCGAGCAGAGCAATGACAACAGTGTCGCTTCTTTCTTTATTTCCGGAACGAACGCTCAATGTGGTTTCGTTGTAAAGGATGGCGTTCTTTACAAAAAGAATTATTCCGGCGTAGGCCCTCGCCTACTTCTAGTTCTGCCTACAAGTCTACGACAACACGTACTTCGAGCAATGCACGACAACCCAACATCAGGCCTTATGGGTTTTTCTAGGACATTTTATCGCACGCGAAAACGCTTCTTCTGGCCGAAGATCCATAAAAGTGTGATTGCATACGCTGTGAGTAATGTCAACGCCATAAGCGTCTTACAACTCCGCCAGCCGGGCTACTTCATCCCATAGCACCCCCAAGTTCACCATTTGACGTCGTAGGTGTTGACCTGCTCGGCCCTTTTCCGCGATCAACGAACGGCAACCGATGGATTATTGTGGGCGTTGACCACCTCACATGTTACGCCGAAACTGCGGCAATGGCCACTCAAGTTTCACAGTTCATGCTGTCGCTCGTTATATTACGCCATGGATCCCCCCGTGTCATCATCAGTGATCACGGGTGGCAATTTGTTGCTGATGTAGTTGAAGACCTCCTTCGTCTTGCTTCGTGCCATTTTCCTCACACTACCCCGTATCACCCGCAGGCTAATGGTTTGACGGAACGAACTAATAGGACTCTCGTCAACATGATTTCCATGTATGTTGATTCTGGACACAAAACATTGGACGCGATTTTGCCATTTATAACTTTCGCCTACAATACTACACAGCACGAAACGAGATACAGTCCATTTTATCTGCTCTACGCACGCCAACCCCGCACAGCTCTTGACACTATCCTTCCTTTTTCCGAGACTAATCAACCTACTCTCGCCGAAACCATTCGCCGCGCAGAAGAGGCCCGGCGCATCGCCTGTCTTCAAACTTTCATCTCCCAGAAACGCTTTAAGAACCGTTACGACAGAAGTCACCGGCACATATTGTTTGAGAAAGGGGATTTGGTGTGGCTTTGGACGCTGCTTCGCAGCCTCTGCCAAGTTTCTGGCTAACTACACCGGTCCGTTTGTTGTCCTGGAACGTCTCAGCGATGTCACGTACGTGATATCTCAGCTGTTGTCAACTGGCCGCCGCTCAAGCAAGACCAACGTCGTTCATGTTGCCCGTTAAAAACGCTATGATCATCGCAACGAAACCTAACTCGCCCAGTGGGCATCGTCTGCAAAGGGGGAATTGCTATGATACTGAGGGGACGCGTGGAAGAAGAGGAGAACGAGGTTGGCACGAGGGCTGATCGGCCAGATCCCTGGACTCTCGCATTCATCATCTCCTGTAAATAAAGGCATCTCACCGTAACAAGATCATCGGTCATCGCATATCTTCCTCACACATCATCGCATATTGTTGCCCCGATATCGTGTAAATTAGATTTCTGCTTACTTTAACAACCGTGTGCAATTCAGTGTAGCTGATGGTTGCTCTTCTAGTGATCTTCCTGAAACTTCTGGTATTTCCCAAGAAAGTGATCTCGGACTGTTATTCTTATTTAACATATATATTAGTGACATTGTTGGCACTAATACTCATCTTGAACAAATAAATCTATTTACCATTGACATTTGGCTTTCAATTGAATTTCCTGCCAGCGAGATAAAATTACCCTAAACTCTAACCTTCAAAATATACTAGTTTGGTTCTTGCGTTAAAATATGGAGCTTAAAATTAATAGAACAGTATTTATGAAAATTTCCCCCCAATATTAATAAACTGTTCTTTACCTATAATCTTGCATCTATGCCACTTACAGAGATCGATCAATACAAGTACCCCGGCATTGTAACTAATAATCTCAGCTTGAACTCTCACATCTCTCACTTTTACGATGCAGCTTTCAAAAAGGTTTGCTAATACCTCATGCATATGAAAACGCACTCCTCCAGGGATGTGTTCAATCACTTATACCTGTTCTGTTCTCGCTGATCTTGAATATGAAGTTATCGCATGGGATCCTTACACTTTATAAAGCTAAAATCGATGCTCTAGAGAGGATTCAGTGTAAGGCAGTAAGGTTCATCTATAAATATCAGATACTCAACGGTGTTTGCTGTTAGACCGATGGCAGCTGTAGCAATTAAAAAACCAGCTGCAAGAAACCATGGTGCAGGTTGTTGAACACTACAGGGTGGGCATGATGAATGTTATACAATGTCACAAGGAGGACTTAGTGGCCAGTTTAAGGTGCACTAGCAGTATGCAGGGCACTAAAGCATGATTTTTCTTTCAGACTGAGCATTTCCTTAGCACGAAGCAAGCGCTGTGGTGTTTCTGGAACACTATTTTGGCAATCCATATTGACTTTGCATTTTCTTTTAGTGTCTCTTTGAAGGACAGCAGCCTGTCAAAATTAACCTGGAGTTTCTCACTACAGCGCACCTCACCGGCTTATCACTGTTTTCGCAAGAAAAAAAATGAAAAATATAACTAAATGATGCACCTCTTGTGCTGTCCTTTCAGCCCCTCCATAGTTGCCAACCTGTGGGATGTCACTGACAAGGACATTGACAGGTTCACAGAGACATTCCTCAGGCACTGGGTCCCCCAGCTGGGCTCGGACAGCCACATCTCGGACATCACCACCGCTGTCCGGCTCGCCAGGAAGAGCTGCAGACTGCAGTACCTCGTTGGTGCTGCTCCCGTTGTTTACGGACTACCCGTACAGAGCAAGAAAGTTCACTGATTCTAGCACATTCTCCTTTCGCAAAATGAACACTGCGTACGCGCAGTACTAGAAGATTGCAAGACCTTCATGTAAATACGTACCGCAGTCACTGAACAAGACTAAGTCAATGCTATGAATTGTAGTTAAGTGGCTTGTAGTCACTGTGCAAGATCCTGATCTCACTGGGACTTTGCTTGTAAGAGCACTTGCTTGGCATCGCCACCTTTTTTAATTGGGCCTCTGCTAGTGCACTATTCAGTTCTTTTGAAGAGTATACTTTTGCATTATGTAAACAGTGGTAAAATATGTTAGCGAATAAAAATCATGAAGACCCTTGTGCTGCAGCAGGGGCCACGTGATTTGCGGGATGTTCAATACTAACCATAAGTTTCCTTTTTTTTTCTTTTTTTAACTTTATATGCAAAGTAACTGTGTCAGCTCCTTCACTCACTTTTCCTCACACCTGGCATATGAACTTCTGCCTCGACAACGCCCCGTGGTCTTGAAGTCATCAGCCAGCCCGGGTGGATGTGTCGAAATCCTACTACCACCATTTCTATGTTTCTGTGGTTAAAATTCTTTTGGAGAGAGTGAAAATATCCGAAGTAAAAGCCTTTAGGTTTGCCACACCTTCTAACAGAGCTTGGGGATCAACTTTTTACAGGCGATATATTTTTTCTAGGCCCTATTTATTTACGAAAGCATTCTTGTGTGCTTTATTTTTATTATTGACTTGAAAACTGTAATTTTTTTTGTCACATTAGTTTTGCTGTGATTTTGCTGCACATGATGCCACTTAGAATGTGTTTTAAATGATGCCGTTTCTAGCATGCCATATTTCTAAGACTGTAAATGTCATTAGTCAAAAATGGATTACTGTGCTGTAGAAGTTCGAAAAAACCTGACGAGGCTGCTGCGATATTTTTGTTTTCACATTATACTTTCACAGTGTTCTAGTATACAACAAATGTGAATCCTGATATGTACCATTTGTGCTCATTTTTTTATTTTTAGCTTGGACAAGTAATTTTCTTTGTTATACAAGCACAATAAAAAAGTTTTTGAGTGCATTCTTATGCAGGTTTTCTGTTTTATTTTACTTCTCTCATATTTGCTATTGAAATACATGCAAATAATACTGCAAAATCCATACAGAAACAAAGCTTCTGTAAATGTTTGTAGACAGCTTTAGAAGTCATTATGTTAACCAAGCTTGAAAGGCGATGGAACTACATATAAAAAAGTAGTTGACTGTAACGTACGGTACTTGTGTGTAATCCTGGTGAAAAGGAACAGTTTAAGTGTTGCTGCCGATTACAGACATGGATTTGATGAATTGTAAAATTTAGTGAGTAAATTTTGCAAGAGCGAATTCTAGCCCAAATCGGTGTAGGATATTCAGTGTTACACGGTTGTGTGTGTCTGCCCGGTCCTGTCGGAAAGTTATGCACCGAATAAGAGTACATTTGTAACTTCAAACGACAGGGAACATAGCTATTGCTTTTCAACATTCCTTGCAACTAAATGCTTCCTCCACATAACTTATCAGCCCAGGTGGTCGAAATTTCCAAAGCCCTCCACTATAGCGTCTCTCATAATCATATGGCGGTTTTGAGACGTTGGACCCCGCATATTATTATCACATAACTGTCTGGCCATGTATGAAGGGCTGCTGAAACTAAAAGATAAACAAATGCCTACTAGCTCAGTTTTCAGCTCTGCTGCCACTCGTCGCGGTGATCTAGTGATTATGGTGCTCGATAGCCCACCCAAGGTCTATAAATCGAATCCCAGCGGCTGTGGCCGAATGTTGATTGAAGGGAAATACTTGCCTGTGTAGCGCAAAATGTTTGTGCACGTTAAAGACAAACCACATGGCCAACATTGCTGGAGCTCTCTACTATGACATCTCTCATAATCCTGTTTTGGGACTTGTAATCCTCAGCAGTTCTTATAATTATTTCTGATGCTATTGGTATTTATGGCACAGGTATTATTTCAAGCTAGAAAGCAATTGAAAAACAAGGTGTTGCAGATCAATATCTTGGTTCTTGACAAGAAAACATACGTGACAAGTAGCCAACAATTAAATTGTAGTGTAAATACTAGGATGTGAGCTCAAAACACTGAACGTTTAGCTGAGGTGACAACTTCACCATGAAAGCTTATTGGACTGATGTCTCTGTGCAGCCCACTTGTTTTTTTTTTTTTTGTTTTTTTTAGGAGAAATCACAGCTTTGATGTCTGTTCTTGGGCCACTTCCAAAGAACATGATGAATTTTTGAAGCCTTAAATTATCGGTACCAAAATGAGGTTGGCGAAGTAACATTCTGCCTGAAATAGCGGCCATATATCAAAACCATGTCCTTATTAGCTGCTAAAAGGAAATTGGAGCATCGCCTCATTTAATATTGAGCGCCTGGATTGCTTGACCTCAATCACTAACAAAATATTTTCAGTAACAAATGCGAAAAAGCGATTAAATGTGGCGTGGCAGTATATGCCACCTTGACACTTCCGATTGTCAAGCTAGTACGCATAGGCTAAAACTACGCGTCATCCCGGTCCCTTTTTTGTTTTTGTTTTTTAGTTCACCTTACATTTCGGACACCGAACGCGACATGAAACGTCTTCAGTTGTGAGATCGACACTTGACAAACGGAGGGAACCTGCTTATAACTACTTCTAAGAGTTACTTATAACTACTACTAACTTTGCTGATAAGGCATTAGCTGTATAGTAGAGTTGTGGTACGCGAAACCAAAACAAAACCTAATGCACCAGTCACGCGACATGAAACGTCTTCAGTTGTGAGATCGACACTTGACAAACGGAGGGAACCTGCTTATAACTACTTCTAAGAGTTACTTATAACTACTACTAACTTTGCTGATAAGGCATTAGCAGTACGGTAGAGTTGTGGTACGCGAAACCAAACCAAAACCTAATGCACCAGTAACGCGACATGAAACGTCTTCAGTTGTGAGACCGAAACTTGACAAACGGAGGGAACCTGCTTATAACTACTACTAAGGGTTACTTATAACTACTACTAACTTTGCTGATAAGGCATTATCAGTACAGTAGAGTTGTGGTACGCGAAACCAAACCAAAACCTAATGCACCAGAGTCACGCACTTCTGGGGCCGGTGGTAACGGTACTGCCGGTACCGGCTACTACTAACGGGTTGTGTTCCTCCGCGTTGTATTCACAACAGTAGCGTCGTAGTGGCTCGTAGCTCGTTAATTTTATTCTTCGTTTTCTTTTTTTTGACAGGAGAAGCAGCTTAATTAAACATGATAGTGATAGCAAAAATTTAGCTGTGAGGTACTCGCGCACACGTACGTTATGACATCGCGGAAGTGTTTAGGAACTTGAGGGTGTGCACAGTCGGTGCTCTCTGACAAGTGTACCGCCGTAAATGGCGAAGCGGTGTTTACGTGTGCCGCGCCGATGTAGTAGACATTTCACGAAGTGGCCGTGTTGTCAAGGCAATGCATAGGGCTGTGTTTATCTTCGCCCGAGCAATGCGGACTAAATTCCTAATGAACATTGTCTCTGCGTTAAGCGCGTGAAATTGTTCGACGGTGTGGTGTAGCCTTCGTGCGATGACTGCCAGTCGGTCACCGTGTCCGTGTTCATTGCCTAACATGGTATACACAAGGCCGTTAATCGAAAATCGCCTCGCTGTTGGACCAGCGGACATTATTCGGCGCCTACTCGTGTAGTGGCGCCGTGCATTGGGTGGCTTACCGGGTGCCGTCGGCTATGGTCGTCAGCGTCAAGGTAGTCTAGGATTATCGAGACCTGTTGATGATCTAGAAGGTAAGAAATTCGGGATAGCTGTTTTCGCGCGCCTGTTTTACCTTCCATAAAGCCGCGTCCTTTCGACGTTGTTTGTAGGAGCCACGGGAAGAGATCGGCAATGAGTGTGCTCACGGAAAATTGCGTTCTGTCGCGAACGCGAGCTCAGGATCTGAAGAGCGTTCGGAAACTAAACTGCTGGTAAGTTCGACCTGTCAAGTCAGTGCGCTAGTTTGTCTCACATCCGGAGATCGATTTTTTAGGGGGAGTGAGCTGGAGGATGTCAGCATCGTGCGAAAGATGTCTCACGTGGAAGTCCTTTCGTTAAGGTGCGTTTCCTTGAAGAAAATGTACAATAAGTTGCGCTGGGGCTTGTGTGCCCCAGTTTAATGTCGTCGGCTTTCTGTGCTCTCGTTTCGCCTCTTATCTGTTTCTTTTATTCCAGCGTCAACAATATCAGCACACTGGCAGACTTCGCACACTGTAAGAATCTCCAGGAGCTTTACATACGAAAGAACAACATTGGAGACCTGAACGAGGTTCTCTACCTAAAAGATCTTCCTAAGCTTAAAAATCTTTGGCTGGCCGACAACCCGTGCGCGGAAAGTGACAACTACAGAATGACGGTGTTGAGGCATCTGCCCAATTTGCAGAAACTCGACAATCAGAGTGAGTTTTTTTCGCTTTTTCACCTGGATCAACTTAAAAGCGTGCGCATACATACTGCACGTAGCTAGCTTAGATTTGGTGAATGTTGATCTGACAGTGAAATAATTAGGAAAAATCCGCACATGTTGGAACTTGGCATGCAACAGTAGAACTGGACATGTAAATAAGTGATTCACAGGAAGAATATAGCGCCAATTCACTTCATATCTCTTATCTGTGACGGCTCTGGCATGTATCAAAAAGGTCTTTCATGGCGCACACGGCAAATTTAGAAACAATGCTTCTAATTAATGTGCAATGCATAATATATTCACTTCGGTCATCTTTGTGTATATGATTCATCTATTTTACTTAGTGCTATGGATGTGGCATTTAGCAAAGCATGTGCTTATGCATTTTTTTTATTCTCCCACTGTTTTCTAAACCCAAGAAAAAATAAAGAGTCGTAATGGTGAAGAATAGAACATCTGAACTAATTTTAAAATTTGGAAGGACACCACTTCAGCTCTGAACTCTGCTATGCACACACATTATTAGGATAGTGTAACATTATCCGCAACAGTTTCGTGAAGTTTCAGTGAAAGTCAAAGTATATGGAATACTACAATTTTACTGGCATTCATTTGCAAGATTGTGAGGTGTAGTGCTTGGATTGCGTAAATATAAAAGGCTTGGCAGTGTGTACATAATCAACCTATAAATGAATAGATTATGCGCAACAGTTTTGTGAAGTTTCACTGAAAGTCATAGTATATGGAATACTGCAATTTTACTGGCATCCATTGGCAAGATTGTGAGGTGTAGTGCTTGGATTGTGTAAATATAAAAGGCTTGGCTGTGTGTACATAATCAACCTATAAATGAAAGGTAACAATCTTGCGAGCCACATAAAATGCTACTTTTGCCCAGTAAATTTGGCATGTTTACAAGTTACTTCACTAAAGCACTAACATTAAGTAGGTGTTCAACTAGAATATGAATAAATTGTAAAGAAACTCTAAAGAAGTGGTTTATACTTCTTTTTGTTTGACTGGTAAATGCATATATGCACAGGACAACATTCCGCTTGCTCCTCTAAAGGTTGAGACTGCAACATAGTTCTCATGAAAATGCACGCAAGACTGATTCTAGATGTTCATGTATGGCTTCAGTTTTGAACAGCATTTACCTGATGGGTGCTATGCAGTGCAGATGTGGTGCAGCCGAAATCAAGCTAATTATTTTGTTCAACAATGCTGAATATTTGCTTTAAATTGAGGGAAGCAAATGCTTAATATTCAGCATTGTCACATGAACACTTTGAACTGCTGTCATGCGCGATTCTAGTTGTGCCAGTCAAAAACCAGGCAAATGACTGCAAAGGCATACTTTCTACTAATGTACATGAGCAACTGATTTTGATATCAATTAATTATAGAATAGTACGCCAGCAAATCTACATACGTTGCACAGTGTAAGAGTAAGTGAGAAGTGTTTATCTTAGTGGGGTATGTTGAACTTTCTGTGCTGAGATTGGCTTCCATTAAGGGTTGTAGAGATAGCATCTTTTCCTCTTCCCAACCTCTATACTCCCATCGGGCCTTCATGCTGAATAAGGCATGTATAATAAGTTGTGAATCCTGTTGGGTATTCTAGTTCAAAGCATTTGCGCCTCCCAATTCATATTGTTTCATTTGCCTCGTTTGTTTGTTGCCAGCTGTTCAGAGTCACGAGGTGGAGCGAGCGCAAGTGCAAGGAGCCGTGCTTATTCTTCCGACCCTCGACACTGCTGCAGTCGAAGAGAAGGCGCCGCCGACGGCACCCAGTAGTAATCACAACAATCGTCAGCAGTCCAGTGTCAACCAGCCGTCGACTAAGTTCAGCCCACCACAGGCGCATCAGAATGGCTCGGAGGACGGACACCACAAGTACAGCAATGTTTCGCGACCGAGGGAGCTTGAAGTGGAAATGCCGGCCACAGAAGCCAATGTGCCAAACAGGGCAGCCGCCTTCCAGAGCCCTCAAGTAACCAGGTACAACTGGTAGTTAATCTACTAATATATAGGAGGTGATTGGAAGAGAACTATTTAAATGCATTTAATTATTACGAAGAATTCAATCCTGTGAGGACCACTTCAGGTCAATGTCTTATACAACGTTGCACTGAAGCTGGGCAAGAGGAGGGAAGGGACATCCTGCACCATCCTCTTAACTGATATCTCTCACCTCTGTAATTTTGCTACCATTATTTCTAGGTTTTCTGTACTTCCACAGCGAAGCAATTGTTAGTTTTGTGGCAGCGTCTTGGTCCAAGTATTGTACAAAAGGTGAAGAGCTCCAAGAATCCTGCATCGTTACACTTCAGCTCATGTCAGAGTAGAGCCATTGCAGTTAGTAAATAGTATAGTCCCGCCATGTCACTCCAAACAAACTGTAGACGCACTGTATTCAGTAGCCATTCATTGCTCCCTTGTGTAAGATGTGAATGGATCAGAGTAAACCGTAACTTTTTTGTCTTGACACTGATGCTTCTACATAACATTCAGTGCGAAAAAAGTCTGTTCATTGCACTTACTGTCTATGTGTTTAAACTTATTGAAGCCTGCATAATTGGGTCACCATGCTCATCACATGTCAGTTTACAAATGGAAAAATGGTTTAGAAATGTTATTGCTATATTTGTACACTAGCATTCATCACACATACTGGTCAGATTTCAATTATGTTCTGAATATCTAAAAGATGTGACCGCAGGCATTTTGTTATCTCTTATCCTTCTCCAGCTTCTGTAATCATATCAGCTGCCTAGGGAATGAGGGGGGATGGGGCGGTGACTTGTGTGTTTAAGAATGTGCACTCGCCATATCGTTGTGGCATATAGCCTGCAGCAGTGCACATGCTGTGAGCAAATGTGCTTCCATATTTAGCGTAAGTTTTTTTTTATTATTATAGCAAAATGCATTGCACAGATCATGCTATACTTGCACATTGCAAACATTTTTTTACTCTTGTTTTCTGTAGACAGAGGTGCGGTTTATACATTATCAGCTTCATTGTGTGACTTGTAATGCTTGCAGTGTACACTCATAAATGTTTGTCTGTGTGTAATGTGTACATAGATGTGGCAGGTAAATTTGTGGCTGGGGAGCACACACATACAACTAAACATAATTGTTTAGTTGTGTGTGCATGCCAAGCGCACTCACACCCTCACGTGTGCATATGTAATAAATATAAGCACAGAGGTCGCCACGGTTTTCTAGAACACTGGTGCAGTGTGATCTGGACTATAAAAATAGTGCCTGCCAAGAATGCGTATGGTTTGAAGTAGCCTCAAATTTACACAGGCACTACACCGATGATGCATGATTAGATGTGCACTGTGTCAAACAAGGTGCATTGCCAACACAGTTCGGACTGCAAGACTTGTGCATTCTAAATTAGCCTGTTGTGCTCTGTATGAAGGATGTCAAAGAGAATACTGGCAGAAAAAAAGGGGACGAACCTTCTCAGAGTATGTCCAAGAGGTGGTCCCAGAGTGGGTCAGGGAACAAACAGGTGTTAAGAACATCATAGTTGAAATCTAGAGAAAGAAATGGGCCAGGCAAGTGGCACGTTGGCAGTATAACTGCTATTCATTAAGGTTAACTGACTGAATTCTGAGTGAAGGAAAATGCACAAGGGGTAGACAGAAAGCGAGGTAGACAGATGAGATTAAAAAGTTTGCCAGTATGTCGTGGCAGCAGCAAACACAGGACAGGGTTGATTAGAGGAACATGGGAGAGGCCTATGCCCTGTAGTGGGCACAGTCAAGTCGATGGTGGTGATGAAACCTCTCCCTGGCTTTATCACTGATGGTTGGCACATGTAATTATTTTCTATATTGTGCAGCCCACTTTGCAAAGATCCCCCCAGGCTTGCCGAAGCTGCCTGCTCTCCTGTGCTCCCCAACATGCCTCAGGATGGCCACGCCTCGTGCCAGGGCATGTCGCCTGCCGAGCAGCATGCATTTCACGCAAGGGTCCAGACGTTGATAGATCACTCAGGCCGAAGGTCAGTCACATTTTTCAGTTACATGGATTTAATTGGCAGTAAAGACACCGTTGAGCACTTCTTTAGGCAGTTCTCATTATGATTGGTCACAAATTGTCTCATCGCTGGTGAAAATGCAAGCTACAGCTAAGCTGTCGCAGTGGCAAAAAGACACCCTTTCGTGTTGCTATCTGATAAGAATGCCATATAAACCGGACTATAGGTCGAGTGGGACTTTATGTCTACCCCCCAAGTTCAAGTTATCGAAAAAAAAAAAAAAGGAAAACAACCCAAAATTGCCGAATGACATTTATTTGCAAATTGGGCGCACCACACCCCGATTGTCAGAGCTCCCCTCAACCACCATCGCGACTGTTCTTATTCGTCAGATGAAGCACCACTGTCTTTGAAGACGAGAGTTTGTCGCTGGCCGCCTCCCACAGTGCGTTGTCTTCCATGACATACAGCGAGTTGCTGATGAACCGTTTCATAAAAGCATTTTCCACCATGGAATCTGGCAAGGAACGCCAAGTGGAAAGCACCCAGCCACAAACAGTCGCAAGCGGAGGCCTCTGTAGGCGGCCCGTCGGTGACTGGGTTGTCGCCGGACATCCACTTTTGGTACTCCAGCCGCACTCTGTCCTTGAACGGCTTGTTTAGCACAACGTTTATCGGTTGTAGGGTGGACGTCATGCCACCTGGTATAACGGCGAGGTCCATTTTTTCATCGCCCAGTGCGCGCTTCACAGCGTCGGTTAAGTGACCACAAAACGCATCTAACACCAGCATGCTGCAAAGACGTAGCAGTGCACCTGGCTAACGGTTTCAGACTACTCGTATCTATTGGAGCATCATGGCCTCGTCCATGCATCTCTTTTTGTTGACGCGAACGACAACACCGGGCGGGAACACTTCCTTCGGCATTGCCTTACGTTTGAAAATGATGAAGGGTGGAAGCTTTCTACCATCTGCCATGCATGCCAGCATGACGGTGAAGCGCGAGTGCTCGTTGCCAGTGGGCAACAGCTTCATATCCTTGGCGCCACGCTGCATGATCATGGTCGATGAAGGCATGTCAAACCACACGGGGGTCTCACCAGCATTGTCAATCTGCCCCATCATGTAGTTGTTCTGCTCCCGAATCCGGTTCACAAAGCCCTGAAAGTTTATAAGCTTGTTCTCGAACTCGTCTGGAAACTTCTGACAAATGAACGTGCGCCACCGGAAATAAAATTCCTTGCGTCTCATGAATCGACTCACCTAAGAGTTTGGTGCACGAAACTCTTCTCTCGTGAGCCCAGGTTCTCGAGCGAGTTCCACAGCTTTCTTGCGAATGGTATTCACGGTCACTGGCAGCGAGCATGTATGAGCTTCTCACACAAAGTTCCCTAGCGTATCTTCCAGCTGCAGATGAACCGCTCTTCGCCCACGAAAGGACATTTTCCGAGGATTGCACATCTGCAGCTTCCCTTTCTGCGCCCTCCAATAGCGCATGCTTTTTTCTGATGCACCAAAGCGGCACTGAGCAGCCATATTCCCATTCGCTTCTGCGAACTCAACAACCTCTAGTTTAAACGCAGCTGAGTACTGCCTTCTCGTCTCGCTACTTATATTCAGTGAACGAAAAAAAGACCATTAAAATGAAACACAATGTCAAGCGGAGCGAGAACTTAGAACAGATCGGAGGGAAATCACAAACATAAAAAAGCAGGCAAGAGAGAAAAAAAACAACAACCTGCTATTGGATTTGACTAGGAATATGGCAGTGTCCAGCTTCTCATCCACATGCAAGCCACATGTTGCCAGACAGCGGTGCTCTGTCGGCTAGACACCGCTATATAAGAGGAGGGGCGACTTTAGCTCATTGTTTTATTGAAAATATCTCGACTTATATTCCGGTTTTCCGGTATGCTTAGGAATTCTCTCTAACTTTCTTTTCTAAAATCTTGCTTTAAAGTATTCAGAAAGTACTCAAGAAATATTTGAAAAATGTTGTATTTGGTTCGCACTCACACTTCAGTGTTCAAATTCGGCTCACATTCATAATTTTTCTATTCGGACAGCTTTACATTTAACTAAAGTACCATAAATCTTACTAAGCAAAATGGGGTTGCCATACAATGACTACTGAGAATATTGGGAAACATTTCCATCGAGTACCGGCAAGCTTAAATTTACACCAAAAAATCACCCCTGTATAGCTGATTTGGGTTGCACCACTAGATTAGGGTAAGCATAGATACATCCAAATATTCTTTTTAGAACATCTTCACGTGCCAAATGTGCCAATAGTTTTATGTAAAAGCTGAGGGAATATGGAGGCGTTGACTCCTAGAAAAAGCTATGCCTGGAACATCGTTCTTTTTTCTATTGGGAGCTTCCTGCTAGCGTGCAATCTCTGAAGCCATGCCTCCTCTCGCGTGTTGCGACCGGCTCCCGCGTGCAACTGCTCGCCTCCGTACCACCTAGTCATGTGACATTACCGTTCCTCTCTGTCACGTGAAATCACAGCTGCTCATTTATTTCACTGTCAGAGCATTGCTATGTCTGCAGGGGGCAGCCGTCAAAGGCGTTCGGCTTCGTACAGAGGGGGGGGGGGGTAAATTCGGGTAAAATCAGACGGTAGGGCAGCATGTTCGCAGCTCATGTTCCAAGCGTGGTTTTTTTCTAAGAGGCATTAATCGAGCAGGCCACGGGTGCACATAGCATACGCTAGCTCCTAGCAATGCTGGGACAATGTACGTAAGGTTATTTGTTTTCGTACAGGCTGCGCAAGAGTGCAGAAATCACCTGCGATCCAGTGGCACTTTTTGAAGGTGATGATTCCGCAGCTGCAAGGCAGTCCAACGCCCAATTGGGCGACACTCGGCGGTAAGGCTTTTTCTACCTTTCACTCCTTCCCATTCTTCCCTCTTTTTCGTAAAGTATGGGGGACTCATTTATTTCACTGAAGCTGAAGCTGCATCAAGAACAATGGTAGTGAAAGGTTTTGCAAAAAATTTGTCTCATCATTTTGTGTGCTTAAAATGGGGCAAAATAAATGCACAGATCTGTAAAGGAAATGTTTGTGGCCTAAACAATAGAATGTTAGCTAGTTGGTAGGTATTGGTTGCAGACGTGTGCCGTGTGTGCAAATGCTTACACAAGGGTATAGGAAGAAACAACATAAACACTATCAACTGATTTATTGGAGTCCTTGGAATAGGTGTACATGTTCTCACTGCCACCCTTTTGTATTGTTAGTATGTAACCTAATGAATAAATCCAATAGAACATCTTGTTGGCATTAGTTTTCTTTTTGTTCTGTGTTGCTGATTTCTTGCTTGCACCTACGTGCCTTTACAGTGTTGTCTCAATGTTTAGATGTGGGCACTGTTCAGTTTTCTTAGTGGTTTCATGTGCACTGCATACCTACTGGCTGCAACAGCATAAGCAGTACTACTACATTACATGTGTACCATCAGCATGTGCTTCGATACCGAGCTGTCGTGAAGTGTGTTCATAAATTCTGATACCATGCTTGCTCAGCGATGCCCATTGCTGCAGCCGAGCACATGGCTGAACATTACATCACATATGTGTGATCGATATCGAGTACTGCCGTAAGTGTTCAGTTAAAAATGGGCTTCCATTTTTAAGGTGACAGAGCTAATGTTTTTGTGTTGTGCTGAAAGTGGAATATATTCTCTTGCTTCTCTCTTACTACCAACAACGTAATGTCTGGCCAAAAAGGTTTTCATCCGTGGAATACCTGCACACACACTCCTTGGAATCGGATGCACTTATGTCCCCACCGCCAGCCGACAGCAGTGTGCGAGGTGGCGCCACGATGTATGCCGAGGTGCACAGGTCGCACAAGGCTGAGAAGGGCTCTCCAACTCGCCTGCTGCCCAAAGGGGGCAAGAACAGGGTCAGTGGTATCAAACGTTCTCATAACTTTGTTGGAGGGTCTTGGAATTTGCAGCGAGTGTGTGGTAAGAGAGTTGTTACTATAGGCATGCGTAGGGTTCCCTTTCAGGTGGAGGGGGAGGGACAAAAGTTCATCGCAGCACACCCCCTTCCTATTAAGCCAATGTATGGAGCAGACTTTGCACCCTCCCTTCCCCTTCCTAGGTGGCTGTGGTGGGGTGGGGTGGCAGCCTCCACCCCACCCGTGCGCACGCCTATGGCAGTGACCATCTGCTGCAGCAGGCATGCTGCTTAAATGATCGGTCCAGGCATAAATGCATCTTCCCAGTAAACCATTTGCTCGTTCACACATCAGGTTGAGGCGGCATATTTCTTAGTCCATTTCGTTCAATTTCACATTCCGTTGCAGTACCTGTGTGTTCTGTGCGGAGCGTAACGGTAACTAGACTCGCATGCAGAGCCAATATTGTGAGCCCATTAAAGATTTTTATGCACCCCGTTTCAAACAACAAAACTTAGCCCTCACATCTTAGAATGACTTATAAAATAGTATTTGTAGAAGTCTATATTTGTGAGGTGCTTGTGTATTGTGTTTAACTATTGCTTTTCCTTGTATTGTAAATCATGTACAGTCGACTCTCGTTAATTCTAACTCGAAGGGACCTCTGAATTTTGTTTGAATTATCAAAGAGTTTCAATTATCGGAAGTTCTCAGATGACTATGGGTGAGGCGACACCACACATTATGATTTGGCAATGATTTTATCACATTTAAAATTTTTCAAGTATTTTTAAACCCTAACTGTACGCAGTGAACAGAAAGAATAGGTGTAAGGTTCCCAAGTTTATTGGCAATTTACTGCTTATTACACCTTTTAAAGAAATCGTGAATTGCCAACTGCTTCTTTGCCATAGGTATGTGCCTTCAACACAAAGCTCTTTATACCAGTTAAGAAGCATCACGGATTACCATGCATGTGCTTTGTTTCAAACATTCGGTTACTAGCAAATCCTTTTTTTTTTTTAGGCCTGAGGTGCTTACTTTTCATTTTTAGACTGTTAGTATTATATAAGCACGCAAATTTTTTAAATAGTAGTGGGAAAGCAGAAGATATTTTCTGGTATCTAACTGCAAAAGGTATGAATTAACTGAATGATGGAGTTTGAATTAAGATACATTGAAAGAATAAAGGGCCAACCAAAAAACTGGAATTTTGTTTGAATAAACCGAAAGTATAAATTATCAGAGTTTTAATTATCGAGAGCCTAGTGTATATGTACAGTCTCAATATTTACAAAAGGGAACACGGCGACGCGTGGCCTGCGTGCTCCGGCGGCTGCTGGCAGCATGTTCAAGCGGGAGTGGGAGCAATCACAGTCTCTTTTTGCGTCATCTCGCGGTGAGCGAAGCAACCATTCATTGCTGATATATATTGGCAAGATTGCAACCCCTCCCCCTTAAAGCAGATTACCGGCTCTTGCGTGATTGCCTTGAAGGGGTAGGGGGTCACAATCTGGCCGCTGGTTCCATATCAGTAACGAATAGTTGTTTCCCTCGCCGCGAGATAACACGAAAAGAGACTGTGGTTGCTCCCATTTCTGCTTGAACACGCTGCTAGCAGCTGCCGGAGCGCGCAGGCCACGCGTTCCCGTGTTCCCTTTCATAAAAATTGAGATTGTACATACATGCCAAACACGCACATAAAAGTAAGACCTCCGGTCAGGCTACCCAGCCTTTAGCTCTCGGTCTCTTTTTTGTGTGAGAAAGAAAGAAACAAACTTTGAATTCTAATAATATACAGGCTGATAGGAAAATGGTGTGATGCATTACAATACTACTTAAATGGTGTACCTATGGGGTTTATTTTGCTGAGATATTTACATCTTCATTGCTGCTATTTCTGCCATTTTATTGAACGTTTCTCGTTTTGCCCGCACAGAACGCAAACATACTTTCAGCCGTCCTGTGCCTCATCAAAGAACTTGACTATGCCAGCCTGGAGGTTGTGGAGACAGCTATTCATTGCAGGATGGAAGAAATGGATGGTTAGGATCCATGCTTTGAGCACCCTGCATCACTAGCAAACTGCATTTTTATGTAAATTCTGCACTGCGTACTCGTAACACTGTGCCACTTATGAAAAGCAACGAAGCGAAGGTGGCTATTCTCACTTATTTATTGATCTATGTTGCCGAGAGTTTGGAGGTGGTGGTCATGGCGCCTACTTGCCGAGTACGTCTATGTGTATGATTCACAGGTTTCTGCTGGCTTCATATATCTGTGTCTTGGAAATATTGATAGTGAAGTTGATGCTGTGATGTGCAAAGTGGGGTTGATTGAAGCACTACCATGCCGGTTTATTGAAATCCTTAGTGTAGAAATTTATGCGGAATTAGTTTGATTTAACCATTCTGATTAGATATGTGTGTTCGATATTGCAGTGCAACTGCCCTCTCATTTGAATAAATTCACTGGTAGGATTTGTGATCTGATAGGCTATTGTGCCAACCGAGGCCGTGGTGTCGCAGGTTAGTTGGCATCCTCTGAATAAAGACAACATGAATGATGCTGTGTGAATGTGAGGAAAAAGGCTCTGCTGTAAATTGCCTTCTGTAACTTCTAGCAGAACTTGTGCATAATCATCGTAATGTATTCGCACATATATGTACTGTTGTGGGTAGTGGTGTAAACAGGTTTAGGCTACCCGAGCACGGTTTTAATTTCCAGTCCTTGAGAACTCTATTTGCACTGCATTATGTAATGACATTCCTATACACTGCATTTTTTTTTGGCCTTGTATGTAACATGCATCACAATCTCTTTGCCCTGGATTTTACTTGTGTTTGTTTAACTATCTGCTGTGAAAGATATCTATGTGATCTATTTATTTTTACATTTGTGTTACACTAATATAAATCAAAACACTATTTTTACACCAACGAGCTTCACAAACGAATGAGATACATATTGTGTGCTACTTACTGTAGATGATCACCCGCAAGAACAGACATTGAAGTCAGTCCTTCATGCCAAAGTATGTCCTTGCTGTGCGAGCCAGATATGGTTTGCTGTTCAATATGCATTTTTGCGTGCAGCTACCTTTTACAACTTTTTCATTTTATCGGTGGTGTTTTTTTTTTATTATACAGGTGTGCTTATCTATCAAGCAGTGTCTAATGATTTTTGCGTATCCAAGATACTCGCACAACACTGGCAACAGCCTTTTCTTGACAGGGTGTTATGTGATATATTTTTTTTTATAATGTCCCCGTCACATCGCTGCTGTTTATGGCATCTCAGCAACATTGCCAAGCCATACAGGAGCTCTGGACTTCTTGTTAGCTTGGCATGTCCTGTAGCTCAAGAGTTCACAGTTCACATTACGCAATAATGGGAAGTATCAGGCCAGGCTAGATTGTTACTGTATGCTGGCGCTCTTGGCATGCCCAAGCCCTTCTGAAAAAAAAAAAAAATATTACCTATAGAAAGAGGCTATGCTCATCATACTTTCCTTATAACCTACGATTTGAATGGGTAATCTATCACAAAGTTTCTCACACATTTTTTTTTAGTCTATTCGATATAGTAATTCTACATAACTTGCAAGCTTGAGTACTTTCATTTTGTATAATCATTCTTATATGCAAACTTATCTACCTTAATGTAAAGATACTGTCATAAAGAAATTTGGATGTTTTCTTTTTATTTACTATCACATTTTTTTGTAGTGAGCAGACCTATTTCAAGTTGGAGAAGCAATTCAAGCTTTAAAGAAAACAAAATGTTCTTGGAAGGCTGCATTCTCTGCATACATGTGTCAGCCATCTCTGTTTGTTGCATCAATATGGAATTGCAAATAGATAGTGCCAAACAGTATGGATGAGCATATAGGGCTAGGCACTACTCTGTACAGTCTGACTTGCATAGTGCTTTCACAGCTAGTAGAGTGGAAGGATCTGCATCTTGAATTAACAGGATTCGTCTTTGGCAAGCGTGTCTTTAATCATAATGCTAAAAACTTGAGTTAACAAGCCCTAATCAATTGAACCACACTTACGTTACAGTGTGCTGGAGCAGGAATATCAAGGACCAGGTCTTGTATATCTTATTGTGCCATTAAAAGTGTCTGTCTAGAAGTCTCATACATCTGGTCTACTAGTGGTGCATCTACTAGTTTCAGGCATCTGGTGGTGCCAAACCTGTGTTCCTTTAATTAATAAAGATTGTTAATGAAATGCAGTCCTCGCAAGATGCCACTTGGAACAAACATAGTGGTTACAGTTTCTTTTGTACTTATAATTAAATGCAACCTGGTAGTGTAATTCACCCATCGACCACAGAAATTACGGTATGTACGTTTTTTGTTGTTTTAACTTAACTTTCCCAAGATACTACTAGCTGATTGCTTTATTCTGCTGAGGTAAAACTTTGTTTTCGGTTGAAGAAAAAACATTCCTTCACAGCAGCTCAAGAAGAAACCATGGAAGCTAATCTAAGTGGTCACAATATTGGCATTACTTCAATCACAACTGATGGTATATATCAGTTGACAGTTTTAATTATTTGCTGTGCGTGAGAATGGGTATGTGTGGTGCAGCATTGAGAACTCTAAATACTATGAGCAAGCACAAGCTATGTCAAAGTATCACTAACTCCTATTAGCCAGTACAAGCGACTATCCGAATTGAACTTCCTACAAAGAACGCGATATGTGGCATGGATTTTTGAAGCTTGGCATGATTAGAGGGCATTCATCTCCAACAATTTCATTAGTTAATATTTACCTTATTGAGAGATTTTGTCTATATTGACACCAAGTTCCCATCCTGTGATTTCTGCATGAGACTGCACAAAACAACTGCTCGGCATTGCCATGTGACGGGGACGTGTGCGAGTGCTGAAGCAAGTCATTCTGAGAGCGCTAGGTGGATACAGTGAGACTAGCAGTCTGTTTGTGTGTCTGAACTTGTGTTTGTGGCACTCTTGAACCTTTCAGAGATGATTAAGCAGACAGCTGTTCAAGAGAGATGCGAAAGCAATAATCATGCAGACACTGATGAAGGCCACTGTGGATCTAGTAGCATCTTAGAGGACTTCTTTACGGCCGCGAGAAATCTCCTGATAGCTTTTCAATAGCACTTTTTTCTTTCTTTTTGAGAATACAAAATACAGCTTTATGTAAGCCTGCTCATCTCACTTCTCTATGCATTAAATTATTGTCTCGCAATCTGGAGCAGCTCTGTGCAAGTCGTGCAAGACATAAATGATTTTCAATAGTCCAAACAGTGGATGGCCTCAACTGTTGCCTCGCTTCATGACGCGGTACCTTGCGTAACTGGGTGAGGCTTAATGTGTAATGAATTCCCAATGGAGTGCTCCATTCAAGTAGGATGGTCAAACAGCATGAAACGCAAGTCTTCTTCGCTACAAAGGCACAAAGAGTCGCTTTGTAATGCAACGATGTGCAAACTTTTAGTTGGTGCGAGGTGGCTGTCAAGTGGTTGGATCATCGCCTTTCTTTCCTTTTTATTCATTAATTGCTTCAGTGTACAATGCACACTTTACTATTACTACCTACTTAATCACCACTGAGTTACCATGTCACTTACTTTTGGGCCTGTGTGCTTTGCCTAAGTTTAACTCAAACCATAGAGATAATGTTAGCTCTCTTTTACAAAGGAAACAAACACACCACTTGTAGGTTATAGTTTTTTCAGTTGGCTTCAAGAAAGTCTGCATGTGCTCAATGAGACGTTTTGTCTCTTGATTTTAGTTTTGTCCTTTGTTTTTAGTGTCAGTTGGTACAGTAGTTAATCTTAAACTGGGAGGGACATTATTGAATGATGATGCTTGCCTCTCTGTGTAGAGCATGCATAGACACATAATAGAGAAACAAATGGCTGGCATTTTCCTTGCCAGCTATTGCAAGCACTGGTAACAAGTGGTTGTGATTGTTAATGCTCAGTTTTTTCTTTTTTATTGTCTTTTTATGCTGATTTGCATCATCTCGGGAAGACTTGGCATAGCAACATGTGTATGCGTTTCTAAGTGCCAGTGCACTTTCAAAGATTTGCGAGCTTGTTTTTGACTGCTTTTTCTTTTTCTTTTTTTTTTGTTCTACCTGAGCCACTGCTTGATGAAGCTGTGAAGTGTTACTGTGATTTTGTTATACTTTAATAGTTTCTTTCACAATGATTAAATATGAGGCTTTGAAAATTTTGAAAACATTAGGAAGCCAATGCCTTAAGGTTCTTGAGTTTATTTTTTCTGAAACTTTGGCATGTTACTATGTATGTTTGTAAACACATGATTTTCACAAATTTGTCACTACAAATTGTGCCCCCAGACAAATCACATATGCATACTTTTGTGTTTTAATAGAAGAGACTGTTGGATCCATTCCTACATTTTGTTACCAAAAGGTCATTTGCTTTGTCATTCACATGATAGCATCCAGGGAACGAACTTAAAGATCTTTTGATCAGTGTTGGATGTATAACAGAATAAGCTATCCACACTTCTTGCGAATCATTGTCCAAGTATGTAGAACTTATTCAAAGGTTTGATGCTTACTCTTTGAACCTTTTGATACCAGTTTGGTGAAGTATGCTCATTCATAAAACCAGTCTTTCCCACTCTCTGGTAAAAGTACTAGTACTAGATGCAAAATGCTCTACAGGCGGTGGTACAGGAAGAAAAAGTAATGTGCCTCTTGAACAAAATTGCCCAGAGTATCGATGTACATTTTTGGACACCTAGATAGTGACTGGCTGGCTCAAAGGATGGTAATCACCCATCTGATAAATGAAGTGAACTAGAGTAATGAGAGGGCTGCAAGACGTTCTGAAAGGTTACGTAGGGAGCAGCTTTCATCCCTACTTTACAAATAGGACGGTTATGGCAACTGCCTACCAAGATCACGTGGCAAAAATGAAACTATTGCTTGACGCCTATCTAGGATCATGAGCTTGCATGTCATTTGTTATGTTCAAAGAATCTCTGAACAACATTCCTATGTCTTGGGAATTGTAAGCTGTGTAGAGGGGCCCTCTACTCTTTCTCACACACGGTAAACCAACCTGTTTTGGCTTGTATACAACAGTGTTGCGAGTCCTAGAACCAATGGTCATTATTAGCATGGTAAAACGCATGAATATTAATACTTAAGTTCACGAACTTGTGCCAGTTTACAAAAAGCATAAGCAGATCTAGCAAAAAATTCTAGGGCTAAAATGATTTCTGCATGCATTGTTGATGTGCTCGGGTTCCCAGTGATTCAAAAACTATCTGTTGGAAATCTCTAACTTTTTCCATGCGCTGCTTAGCAATCTGACGAATCTGTCGTCCAACTCTGCAAGGCCCTCGCAAAGCTTTGCCGCAATACACCTTTTCATCAGTTTCTGGTGATCTTTGGAAGGTTGTCTACAAGTTGCTGCTACAAAAGTGTGAAAAGGTTCCTTGAATAGTTCACACTACCACGTGTATACATGCCACATGATAAAAAAACGATGTTTTCAGAGAGTATTGTAAGGCCCCTCAGAGCAACTTTCTTCTAGCAAGAGTTGGGTGTTCAGCACAATACCCAAAAATGAGCCAATCAGCAACAGTATATCAAGTCTTGTCTTTACGTGGAAAGTAGCATTGTCTTGATAGCACTTTGGCACATAAAAAACTGAAGATATTAGGTGTCACACCTTTTGCAATGTAGTGCTTCCAACAATATGACTTGTTCTGATAAACAAAAACTTTCTTTTTGCATTGTGGTTTGCACTCCATTGTAAATTTGACATGCTGTAATGAGATTATTATGCAGAGTGCTGGAGCAATTGACTGATAATTTTTTAATTGCTGGGCTTGATGGGCTGAAGAAATATACTGATAATTTTAATTGCTAGGCTTGATGGGCTTACATTATCATATACCATAAAGTTGGCATGTGCATGTTAAAAAAGTAGCTGGGCAATATGTTGTTTTCGGGAAAGGCTGATATCAAGCCACCTTAGCCAGTGATCAGCATTATCGTACGTTTTCTACTTTTTAATGATGCACCTTTATTTTTATGGTGTCTATTTGCTAGATTTCTGTTAACTACCTTGAGCTGAAGTGAGTAGTATGTGCTAAACTAAAAGTGAATAAGTTGTGCATAGTTTACAGAATAAACACTGAACACAATTATGTCTTTATATTTATTCATTAGTGAACTTGTTCCCATCCCTTTTCGTTCAGTGCTTAAATTTGTTTCAAATGCCTGCAAAAAGCATTTCTGATGATGTATTCTCAATCTGTTTCAGTGACTTCACTTTTTCGTTTGTTACAAATGCTTACCTGCAGCGATGTAACTATCACCACTTGTGAGCACTTTATCCAGAAAAATGTCATTTTTCATCGTTTTGCACTACAGAAGAATTTCTGTTTGTGGCTCATACCTTCAGACAAAGAGGTATCAAGGGTACTTGCTGATGCAGTAGGGTTAAGCGTAAGACTGCAGCTCGAAAAATTTTCATTGCCAACACAATTTCCAGCCCTAAATGGCAAGGTATCTGTACCTCTGACGACAATAGAACGTGAAGCGGAATAGCACTACTTGAAGGCGCTTAATATGAGCACTTCACAAAATTGGAAGTAATTGTCAGAAACATTAATAAAGATTTTATTTAGCAATGTAGCAATTTACCCGCAATGGCAGTAATGCAGCCAGAATTTTTTTTTGGTTGGAGCGAGTCGGGGCTAAATTATACTTAATGAATGTTTGTGTATGCTTCTGCATGTGTGTGTGTATATGCACTAATGAAAATTTTCAAAGTGGTGGGGGGTTGAATGCCCTCTGGCTATGCCAGTGCACAGTAGTCGCCGAAGTACAAGTTTATTTTTTGTAACCTAATGGCTAGAGTGTTGTACTGACAAGCGTGAAAATGTGCATTTGATTTCTGGCTACAGCGACTACATTCAGTGAGAACTGAAAAAAATATATATAATAAATAACCTGTGTGCTTGTACTACTTACTGTAAAATTGCAAGAATGTGCCCCCCCCCCCCCCCCTTTGTATTGCTAGATTTGACATGTGTGCCAATAGCCTAGCAAGTGCCCCCCTCCCCCCCCCCCCCTCATTCATTTTCTTTCAACCTGTTCTCTGCTACAGAATCCTGCAACAGCAGTTCATAAGAACCAAAGTTCTGAGAGTCTTTATAGATATGCATTTCCTACTACTTTTACAATGTGCTGCCGTGGGGTCGCACTCAGAGTTGTCACAAATGATCGGAACATTCGAAGAATGTCTTCCTCTTTGTCACAACACATGACATTAATGAAATTTTGCACAATAATTATTCCCTTTGGTTTATTTATTTATTTTATTCATGATACCTTACAGGTTCCACATGGGACATTACATGAAGGGTGGGCAAACAAAAAACTGGCAGGTCAGGTTATATTTCGTGACATGGAAAGACGGTCTTCGACGGAAGCCTCACTAAGGTACTCGGCTGCTGACGCGCAGGTCCTGGTATTGAATCCTGGCTGCAATGGCTGCATTTTCGGTGGAGGCAAAAATGCTGTAGGCCCGTGTGCTCAGACTTCGTTTCTGGAACGCTCCACTACGGCACCTTTTATTTGGTGGTTTTCGGAAGTTAAATCCCACATATCAATCGATCAATTCGTTGGCAGCCTTGAATTTAACAATGTCAGTGATGAGGGTGATATGTGAAGGAAGGGCATTCCATTCTCCGGCAGTATGTACAAAAATGAACGTTGATAAGTGGTCGTGTGTGCACGGGGCCGATACACAGCACTGCAATGCAAGTGGCGAGAGGAACATGCAGGAATGATGATTAAACTAAAAGTAAAAAAATGTGTGCAGATTCAATAAAGAATTTAGTTATAAGCACACATGTGAATTCTATAAATTCACAATTTTTCTTCGTCATCAAGAGTTGGCAGAGAGATTGCACTTGCTTGGGATTCTATGGTAGGTTAACAAAAAAAAAAAAAAAAAAAAAAACTAGGTGATCAAGAATTATTTAGTCTTTCACCCCATATCAATGAAAAAAAATTCTTATAGATTGTTGCTGGTACCAGAGTTCTCAGCAAATGGACTTTGTCGTCATCAAGGCAATGAATACAAGTCCGCTATTCAAAACATTGGCTCTAGTGAACATTTTCCTGTTCAAAGATTTTTTTTTTTTTTCATTTCAAGTATCCCATGTTCCCCTGCAATACTACAATTTCATTTTTGTGTTTTGGCATTCAAAACCAGACTTTTGTCATGGTTCAGACTGCATGAAAATGCCACTGCAAAAAGGTGGGTTACTATATATAAGAAAAATATTGTTTAACCGCTTAATGGATACTCTGGGAAATACTAATTCCTTCATAAGAGACAAATGGGTGTAAAAGGCACAATTGTGCCCGAAGTAAAATATGGGGCAATAGGAAAATGCATACGAGACACCCTACTTATAAGAGACATCTCGTAAAAGACAAGAATTGCAGCTGAGAGCATGCCCCTTATAAAAGGGTTCAACTGTAGTGCCAGCTTTCTGTACTGAACAGCGTGGGTCAGTATAGAATAGTTTAACCTGGGAAAACTGCTGCTTTCAAACTTATGAAGATATTCATTAATCAGTATTGCTAACCTAGGTGTTGGAAAACATTTGTAGGTATACTACTAGCCCACTTCCTAGTTATAGGGGCCATGACAGTCGAGCACATAATTTATAAATTGAATATTTTTATGAACGTGCAAGTGGCTTGAGAGTCTAGCAACAGTGGGGCCCTCTTGAACCATCGCATAACAAGCAGACGGCCGTGCAAGCGTCCGCATTCCAGCGAAATAAAATTATATTTTTCTGAGGTCAGTTTTGGGTGAAATTGGGATTAAATTAAAAGCTTTCATTTGCTTGGCACTGAAAATGAATGATCCGTATCTGCTGAAACTACGGTAGGAGATGATTGTATCGCTCCTTGCTGTATGCGACAGTACAGGCGGCACGGAAAAATAGCGGTCACCAGCAGTGAGCAAGATTTACAGCCAACGACTTCTAGGGCTCATTATGAAATATTCTTTTACACTCCATTTTTCATTTATCTCCAGGCACAATGGACTTCCTACTTCTATTTTGTGCTAGAACTGGAATTTGTTGGGCGTCCGGGTCATGGTTCCTTTAAGGCATGTCCCAAAATATGCTGCGAGAAGTTGTCGCATAACAGTAACAGGCCCAGAAGGATTTTCACTGCAAGCTTTACTTGTAACGGACTGCAGTTTTTTATTTACCTTGTGCTTTTTCGCTGTTCTTGCAGCCAGCAGCAATGACGTAAACAAAAATAGAGATGTACGGAAGTGTCACCCGTCCTGTCCAGTTTTTTTAATGGTCCTGATAGTTATTCCCCACAAAAATTTGTCAAGGGTATCTCTGAAAGTGGTTGATCAAGGATGCGAACCCCAATACGATTTCATAACTTGGGGCTTGTTTTACAAGCTTTTCAGCCTGTAAAAACTGTCTTGTCACTGACTGGGGTGCAGCGTTTTACTTTCATGAGCCATTACTGTGCGAAAATTTCTCTGGATCCAGCCCTTTGAATTTCCATTTACCATACACCTTGCAATCGCATCAAAAAACGAGAACTTGCGCACTCTTTGTAGGTTGTGTGCATTCGTTATTTATGAAATAAATAAGTGGCCTGTGTCCTTTCCGAGTGCTTGGTCATTTTTTCTTTTTCTGGCCGCCACGTTTCTGGTTTGAGGGTGGTGGCAGTTCCTCGCCCAAGACTGCAGCAAGCTGTTTCTTGAGGTCCAAGAGGCGTGCAACTTCTTTGTCGATTGCTGCCTTGTCTGCCTTGGCGGCCTTGAGTTCCCTAACTTTGTTGCCCTGCAGACGCAAAGAAAACACTGCTGTAAAAAAATGCACGTTTTTTTTTTTAATGATAAAGCTGAGATAGCAACAACTTGTCTTCTTTAACTCCTTCCTTGTTTTCAATGCACTGTCCAGACACTGTTGGTTGCTGTGCCATTCAATGCAACAGTTCTGCTTTTAGTTTGCAGAACTGTAGTGCCCTTCATTTAGCTGCCAGCGAGTGTGTTTTGTTGCATTGCATTGCAAATATTTGGACTAGGCTTCCAAATACCTATAAGAACTTTATGCCTGGGTTATTGATAAAATTTAACAGTTGGTACCATACTATGCAAGCACTCGCATATATTTAAATTCAGTTTTCTCTGCCGTTCTATTGAGTAAAACTCCTCGCCTTGTTCCATTTACACAAGCCCATCTTCTGTCATCACATGCTAATGTAAAATCATGGTGTAAGGACACAATATCTTTCCTCCGTATTTGCTGTCGGGCAAAAAAGTTTGCAGGGTCTGAAACAATCAGGCAACACAAAACTGCATTAGTGTGCCACCTACCGTCACACGGCGGCATATTGGGGCTATCGGCCGTGGCCTCTGCGATTAGATTTAGCAACTGTGTATTTACGGAGCTAATCACGGAGTCCATGAATGTTAGCCTTAACGCCATGTCATGTGACGAGGTGGAGCTGCAATGCAGTTTTTCATCGCTCCACCACGAGCTCCTGACCCACAAACTTTTGTGGCCACTAGTACATGATTGCGTTTGAGCAGCACATTGCATGCCAAGCTGTGAACGTAGCTAGTTTGCACTCATTCTCAGTGTTCCTTTTCGTGCATTCTTTCATCTCGAGTAGCACGCTGCACAATTTGATCTGATTGCCGTTATTTGTGCGACATTTCGATTGGTCGCTATCGCATTCATTGCTTTGCCCTTGCGGTGAAATTGCGACTTTCTTTAGCTCTATCATCACTGCACCAGCACCATGTGGGAAAATTGGATTTTTCAAGCATTGTTGTAGACAAACGACACAAGTGCTGATGTCACCTGAACAGTTCAATCTCACAGGAAATTTAAAGTAGCGTGGTATATAGATAACTATGTAAAAACGGTTCGATTGTCACTAGCTTCCTAGAAAGCCAGTGTTGGATGATATGCAGCATTAACAAAATCATAGGTCTTTCTAAACAATTATGTGTAATTGAATAGCCAGACACATGTTCATCTTTGTAAAGACGCCCTTTTGAGTTACCTTCAACGCAGGCAAGTAGTGCTTACCTGAACTTGCACTTGATGTGTGAGCTCCTCTGCATTCAAGCTAGTGTCGCCAGAAGCATGGCTGTTCACAGAATTGACAGTAGTGTCCTTGTGGCCATTCAGGACCTGAAGACGGCAGATGCACATTGTTTTCACCAAACCAAATCATTCACCCACAGAAAGCTTTCAATATTGCTGCAATGCATTTATTTATTTCTTAAGTACCTTTTTTTTGTACTGGCAATCCTTCAAACTGAACTCAACAATTCAATACAACTTGATTGATTGATATGTGGCGTTTAACATCTCAAAACCACCATATGATCATGAGAGACGCCGTAGTGGAGGGCTCCAGAAATTTGGACCACCTGGGTTTCTCTAACGTGCACCCAAATCTGAGCACACGGGCCTACAACATTTCCGCCTCCATCGGAAATGCAGCCCCCGCAGCCGGGATTCGATCCCACGACCTGCGGGTCAGCAGCCGAGTACCTTAGCCACTAGACCACCGCGGCGGGGCAATTCAATACAACTCTTCATGCAAAAAGACAGGAAATGAAGAAAATCGAGCTGCAGCTACCCTCTGTGCTTTTCCACTACGATATGTAATTCCTCGAAGCCAACAATAACACCGCTTTCACCAGCTGTGAAATCACAAAAGACAAGTTAATGTAACTGACTAGTGTACATATGCAAATTTCTCTTTTAAGTTTGATAATGGTACATTTTCTACTGAAATGCATAACTGAAAAAGCAGTATGCTCTACAGCGCAAGAAAGCAGGCTTCGGTTTCTACTTCACAAGGGAAGCACAGGGTGGGAAGGGAGGGGTGCAGAATTTCACGATGCTACAAGTTCAACTATACCTTTGCAGGACTAGGCGTCTTGCCTTCAAACCGTTTTTTCAGGGTATCTATCGTCTCCTGCTCAATCTTCTTGAAGAGAGGCAGAGGCTGCGGAAGAGAAGGAACTTTCAGTCATTTGATGCAACACGGAACACTAGTGTGCATGATGCAAGTTTGGAGGGAATGCAAGCACAAGCCCTGCAGTAAGCAATATATCAATGAGAGTTATATTTTGCAAGTGTTCTTGAGCCACACTTTCTAGTGGCCAATAAAAGGCAGACATTGTGCTGAGAAAGACCTATGGCGTGCTACAGACCTTGGCAGAATGAACTGCAAGTCTCATTCAAGTCGCCGAGAGTATCTTCTGTGCGTAACACGCAGTCCCAGCCAGAACATGTGTACTTCATAATTGTACAGCTCTACTTCATGTTACGTTATATTATTGCACTAATTTTTCTTAAAAGAACACTACTCCCTCAGTTTGCTGGCTTTACATACTTGAGAAGCTAACCTTTGCAAGGTTTCTCATCATCATCATCAGCCTGACTACGTCCACTGCAGGACAAAGGCCTCTCCCATGTTCCGCCAGTTAACCCGGTCCTGTGCTTGCTGCTTCCAATTTACACCCGCAAACTTCTTAATCTCATCTACCCACCTAACCTTCTGTCTCCCCCTAAGCCGCTTCCCTTCTCTGGGAATCCAGTTAGTTACCCTTAATGACCAGCGGTTATCCTGTCTACGCGCTACATGCCCGGCCCATGTCCATTTTCTCTTCTTTATTTCAACTATGATATCCTTAACCCCCGTTTGTCCCCTGATCCACTCTGCTCTCTTCTTGTCTCTTAAGGTTACACCTACCATTTTTCTTTCCGTTGCTCGCTGCGTCGTCCTCGATTTAAGCTGAACCCTCTTTGTAAGTCACCAGGTTTCTGCTCCGTAGCTAAGTACCGGCAAGATACAGCTGTTATATACCTTCTGCTTGAGGGATAGTGGCAATCTACCTGTCATAATTTGGGAGTGCTTACCGAATGTGCTCCACCCCATTCTTATTCTTCTAGTTACTTCAATCTCGTGGTTCAGCTCTGCGGTTATTACCTGCCCTAAGTAGACATAGTCTTTTACAACTTCAAGTGTACTATTACCTATCTCGAAGCGCTGCTCCTTTCCGAGGTTGTTGTACATTACGTTCGTTTTCTGAAGATTAATTTTAAGACCCGCTTTTCTGCTCTCCTTGTATAACTCCTTAATCATGAGTTGCAATTCGTCCCCTGAGTTACTCCATTAACTCTTATCCCTAACTGTTCCCATTCTAGGCTTCTGAAAACTTCCTGTAAGCACGCGGTAAATAGCATTGGGGAGATTGTGTCCCCATGCCTTACACCCTTCTTGATTGGTATTCTGTTGCTTTCTTTATGAAGCACTATGGTAGCAGTTGATCCCCTGTAGATTTCTTCCAGTGCAAGGTTTCTGCAATGGTATAAATGATCCACGTAGGCCTAGTATTAGAGGAGCTCTTAATGAATGCAGGTAGCCGAACTGGCCACCTGAGTTCAGACAAACTGTCAATGTGTGGCAACACAGGCTGTCATCCTGGCAACCAGCACTGTTTTTCTCTGAGCCTAAGCGCTCCACAAACTTCTGCTGTGAACAAAGGTGGCATAAAGGCAGCGCACGCTCACTTTGTTCATCTTGTGGCCCGCCTTCAAGAGTGGCGCAAAGTGAGCTTCCAGCTTGAACACGGGCACATTCAGCTGCTGTCTCAGGGCTTCGCTGGTTTCAGGCATGAATGGCTGCAGCAGCCCAGCCAGCAGGCAGGCCACATTGGCACACAGTGCCATTATGCTTGCCGACCGAAACCTGCAATAAAAGTGTCTCTGTAACATCCAGTAGAAACAGTACGCAAGAATTACCACACATCTCAATATTTGAAAAGTCAGCTGTGCGTTGCGTTCCCTTATCCCCAAGACCATGCCAATGTGCTGCACATTCTGTTAGGCCCTTGTCATTTGAGGCTTCTGGCGGGTGGTGATGACACCACTGCTTAAGTTTTGCGTGTTAAAAAGCCTCACTAATTCAGATTTCACATGGCTGGAGAAATCTCTGATTAATTTGAATTTCAAGTTTGAACGGGTGCCAAGAAAATGTTACAGAAATGCCAGCCATATCCAAACACTTTTGTTTATTGAGCAAATCCACAAATTTTTTTTCTGCTTTTCCAAGTAAGCAATGTGCAAGCTGCAATCACATCACTACTTTCTTCACCTATTCATGTCTCATACGGTGGTCCACATCATCTGAGACCCGCATTTCACATGCCCCTGTCATACTTTTCCCAACCAGCACATGATAGCATTGTTTGCCAGTGATCTGGCCACCAACAGTTCATCCATACATCGCAATTGAGCCGTTGGGTTTGATTCTGTCATGCGAGCCAAGATAGAATTGCCCTTTATCCTTCATAGCTTCTGCCATATACGTGACAATGCATGCCAATCGCACCACCAAAACGAAACTACCGAGTGCCACATCCACCGTGGACTAAACTGTGTTTGCTAGTGATGAAATCGCAGATGGTGTCCACACATTTGTTTAAAGCTCATGCACATGTTTTCCTGTGGTTACCGTATGGTCCGCGCTGATGCCTCGGCAACGCGGACTCGACATTTCAGTAGGATATTGGCATTGTTTTGTTTTTTCACGTACACAGAACTTAACACACAGGGCACATTGAAAAATATCTTAATTGACTGAGTATGGCCAGGTATGTCCTGATTTATGCGAGTTTGAATCCACTTGATGACACATGTTAGCTGGGGCCAGAAGACAAGAACAAATCATCTGATTTTTCCAAATGAGGGTATGAGATTTTACTGCATGTTTTATATTTTTTTTTGATGCTCCCACTTGTATTTTCAGCATTAAATTTTGGGCGGAGATATGAAGTGAGGCTTCTTATGAGGTCTAGCATTTCGCTGCACATTTAAGGTTCGAGGACAGAACTGCACAGCTACCACTCCCTCACATCTTCCTTGTTTGAAATGTGGCAATGGCTTTGTAGCCTCCGCACAAGCTTTCTGAAAGGCTATGTTCAAATGCAAGACCTTTATGAATCAAGTTAGATTTCATACAATAAATCAGGTTGTGGGGTCAATTTGGCTTCATCTGCCAGGGTGGCCTAGCAGCTTTAGTGTTGTGACACCGAAAATGAGGGCAGAGGTTTGATTTCTGGGCATGGCGTCCACATTTCGATTGGGCCTAAACACAAAATTCCACATGTACGTACGATAGGTGCACATTACACCAGGCGAGCGTATAAGTGGTATGAATTTTTTCACAATTGTGTGCCTCGTAACTGTATCATCGTTTTGGCATGAATAACGCTATAATTTAACTTCTTTTCAACAACTCGGCTTCGGAACTTATAATCTAACATCTCAGCAGGCCAGCAAAGAAAACACAGAATGTAAAAGCAGCAAAAAGCAGAATTTACTGCAGTGGTCTGTAAAGGGTCGAGTTATCTCAACTAAAGGAAAAGTCGGAATAAGGAGTAGGGTAACAATACTGTTGGACGCAGCATGCGGAATGGTAACTTACTTTTGCTCTGGTGTGCCTTTCACAAGTTCCCAAGGTTTGTGGAACTGGATGTACTGGTTGCCTATTCTACTGATGCTCAATATGCACCGAATCGAGTCGCGAAGCCTAGAACGAAGAAAACGAAACCAAGTGTAGCTACAGAAATGCGCACTGCCAGTGACCGTTGCTCACTGGTAAACTTTCGTGGAACTCATTTCGTACTGACTGGCACATTCAAAGAAAAAGATGAAAGGAGTCGTGCCCATACCTGACTTTGTCCATGAAATTAATGTAGTGCCCCAGTTGTGCTGACAGCTTAGCAATGACCACTTTGTCTTCTTCGAGAATGTTGAGTTCAGGCACCACGCCGCCAAAGTTATTGAACAGAAATGTTAGAGCCCTGTTCACAAAGTTTCCAAGGTTGTTTAACAACTCAGAGTTGTTCTTCAGTTGCAAGTCACTCCAGCAGAAACTCGTGTCCTACATTAAGGAACAACATGTGAACTGTAATCAACGAGAGAATCACTCAAATTTTAGTGCTAAAATGAAACGCCATCCTGGATAGGCATACAGAATGAAATTCTACACTGTGGATGAAGAATGAAGCCCTAGACCACTGGCAAGAACAGTTACTGTGAGTGCCTTTGAGCTGTAGAGCACTACAATAGCAAAGACAGTATTTTTGAGACAATCGTATAACTGTCGCTGCAACATGCAGTGACATTCACTGCACTTATCTGCAAACACATTTATTTGTGACCTATGTGCAACAGTTGATATAACATGTGCTAGTGCGTGCAACTCAATATTGTAGAGTACACAACAGGTCACAAAACGGTTTCGCGCAAGTACACTATAGTTACGCCGGTGAAGCATGGCCCCTCCCAGTTATAAGGTCAGAGAAGCACTACCCCGACTGTGTGACGAGCTTGCTTATCACGACCATACAGCACCTTCCAGATGTCACATTTCAATCTTGCCTGCAAAGTTTCCACACAGAAGTGCGCCAGTGAACGGTGTATTTTTTTGCACCCTGTGTTTACCAATTCTTCATTCGTCAAAAAAGGAATAAGTATGTGCAACACACTGTGTAAGGATTTCATTCATATTGGAACCTATATAGGGAAATGAAATAACTCATTGTACTGTGGTATAGTAAGTATATCAAGGTTCAGCTGTTCTAGTTCCTACTTTAAATGACAGAGCTAAAAAGTCAATGAAACTGCTATACTGCTACTAGACAGATGTTAAATTTTAATGGGTCGCAGAGAAATAAAGCAGTACCTGGTTTTCAGGGCGCTGGTACATGAGATAGAACCTCCAAACATCAGCAGGAATACCAGTATCCTGGGCATCATTCCCAAACACACCAACTCCTCTACTTTTTGAAAACTTGGCATCTTCATAATTTAGGTACTCTGGTATAGAAAAAAAAAGTGAAGTCTTGCTTCATCAGATGAAAAAACAGGCATAACCAGGAAAAACAGCGGCACACCTATGCCTGACTTCCAGCACGCTGTTCATGAAAGAACAGTTCTATACAAGGAAGTTTGTGCAACAAGACAATAAGCTCTAAAACTGCTGCTGTCAGAAAACTTGCCAGTCAAACTTACAATACTTGAAGATTACAATAATGTTACTGCAAACGGAGACATTACCTTTATAATAACACCTTGGTAACACTTTTGATAACACTTTGAGTGCAAGGTTAGCCTACAAGTGTTAACAGAAACCTTAGGCTTGTGAGTGATACTTGATCAGTAACTTTTTAATTTTTTTTTCATAGTCTTAGATGACATGAAGCAATGCACAGTGTTACAATGTTTTTCCAGCAAATAACACTCTTGACCCCATTCCAACTCTCGTCCTCTCTATCAGTGGTACTCGCAAGTCATTATGATATTGATAACTGTTCTTAAGGACAGTGGCAAGAAAATCATAAAACTGTCATAAGTCCTAGAATGTCGCTGAAGCGAGTGACCATAGAGTTCAGAGTATGCTTGTGGTTTCAGGTAATCGCACTCTCACCTACAGCCATCAGATGGTCAACCGATGTGTAGCTTTGGTGTGTGCCCAGCTGTGTCATAGGGAAAACGATAGCATGAAAAGGTACATTGTCTTTGGCCATGAACTGGTACAACTTCACTTGGTCGGGCTGCTTCCACCAAAGCTCCCAGTCACTAGTGTAGTTGGCCGTGATGGAGAGGTAGCCAATAGGTGCATCAAACCACACATAGAACACCTGCAGCATGAACACACACAAGTAACTACTGTTAAATATTTGCTAACATTCATTGCCGTTTTGTGAGCCAAGCTATATCAATTAAAAGAGCAGTTCAAAACACTAATAAGTGCTAGAACAAGCACTGCAATATAGTAATTCATATGTACAGGCACTGCAAGCCGAAACGCCGTTCACTTGCCTACAAAGCTATAATTTCAAGTTTCAAATAAATTCCTTTATGATACCATCAAAATAATGAATTACCAGTGACCACCAGCATCGTTCATAGAATTCTTTGCGTACCATTCCCCACAGGTGACTCACAAAAAGAGCGGCAGGACGTAAAACTCTGAGACCAATGACATAATGCAAAATTTCTGCGCCACTCTGTAAGGCCACATGCTACAAAGATGCAAAATGGATGGCTAGTTAACGTTCTGTACCCAGCTGTTATTCTCTGTGCAGATACACAACTTATTTTAAGAGAACAGAGGCCTTTAGCTTCTGGGAGCACAATCAGTTCCTCTGACTGAAGTTTATGATCCTCTATATGTGGGCGCCCTTTGTTTTTATACAGCTACGTAAACAACTATACAGACGTAGTACACTTCTCTGCAACTGTTCTCTGTAAATCATGTCTACCTGGGACTTCCACTGTATTGACATCACAAAGGAAATGTAAGCAAGTCTTTGCTATTCTACACTTACTTTGTCCTTATAGTTCTGCAGCGGAACGGGTGTGCCCCACTTCAGGTCTCTTGTGATGCACCGAGGCTTTAGGCCATCTCTGAGCCAGGAACTCGCTATCACTTTGGCTGTCTGTGTCCACTGGTCCTCTGAAGTCTTTTTTTTGAACCACTCCATAAAAGCAGGCTCAATCTATCAAAAAAATATTAAAAAGGAATCATGGCTGTTCACGATGTGAAAAACTCTACACATGGCTCCTGAAACCACACGAGTTGCTCTGTGTTTATCCAAGCAAAATGACAAATGAGGCTGACAGGCCCAAGTGCGATCACTGATTTACAAGCAGGGATCTTTATGCACATCTAGCAACCACACCTGTGCACTCTTAATCTGTTCTCCAGAGCATAGATAAGAAAAGGGATAAGGGTATGCAATTTAAGAAAATAAATGTGAATGCACAAAATGCTCCAAGACTAAATAGGTACATCTAAACTGCTGCATATAAGAATACATGCATAGAACCAGGCATTCATATAAATATAATGGAAAGGTTATAATCCGGAAGGAGAACCTCATTCACATGTGCAACACACATTAGAAAAAAACGTAGAAAAATGGTCAATGCAGTCACTTTTAATGAGTGTAATCTTGGTACCTTGGGGAGGTCAATGAAAAGGTGTCCTGATGTTTTCAGCACCGGATGCTCTTTGCACAATTTACACCGTGCTTCTTTGAGCTCTGTTGGGTTAATTAGCTTGGAGCAGAGGTCGCATTGATCTCCCCTTGCATCCTCGTAGCCACAAAATGGGCAGGTGCCTTCGACAAACCTGTCGGCAAGGAACCTGCATACAAATGATCGAGACGGTCAACAGAAAACCCAATTGCAGTTTTATTTCGAGTACAGATAAAACAGTATTACTTAGGTTAAATAATTATATAAACATGCACCACACATTTAAACCTCGTATAGTTTACATAGTTGTCAGGTACAAGAAAGTAAATCTAAAAGTTCTCGTGACAAAGCCTGCGTTGTGATTCATATAAATAGTAATGGAGGTATCTTCATAACTGAAATGGTTTATTTATAACAGTGTTAGAAAGTACTACATACCCTTTATGAGAATTAACAGAACATTCTAACAACAAGCCAGCTATCACAGCAAGTCATAGCAAACATGAAATATATGAATGTGTTAAAGGTTTAAACCACTAAGTCTTGCTCCAGTGCAGCAATACCAAATGGAATTCCAAAATAGCATTGAAAGAAAAATCACTTCTTGTTCACAAAAGGCCACTTGTAATATCAGAAGCCCATTACAAGGTACATCTGGTTACGACTTGTAACGACTACATAACGCAACTGCAAAACTAAGGTCCCTATCACCAGCAACTACAGATACCAGTAGTTGCATGCTATAAACCACGCTTGACTACATAACAATTACATGTGTTCTAAGCTCAACTGCTAGTATAGGACATCAACTAGTATATATTGATAGTCATTATGGAATCTTTCCACAGGAATGTGCCATAGTTTACCTTTCACAATGGCTGCAATAGAGCTGCTCCACCACTTCTTCACGCAGATATCCATTTTTGTGAAGTTCTAGAAAGATCTCTTGTGCAATTCTGAAAAAAAAAAACACACACAGGTGGCAAAGATGTAAGGAGTAGTAAGAAGACATAAAAAAGTGACCTGCCTTGATGCCAAACAATTTCAAGTTCACACTAAAGAATTGAGCAACCACACAAAAATCGCACATATCACCGTCTTTCGGGAAAGCTATCCGAAATCCACTGCAATGAACATCCTTAGTTTAGTCCCAATTACTCGAGTAAATAATATCTTGGTACACCTCTTCCTTCACACATTAACACAATAAAGGTAAGACGTGCAGCCCTTACTTTGGCAATAAAAACAAAGAAAGCAGTTTTCTTTCAAATACTTGTTTGTAGACTGATTCTAGCACAAAAATACCTTAATGAAAATCAACAGGCAATCAAGTCAAGGAATGTATAGAGGACATTATTTGTAGTAGTTAATACATATTAAATTTGTACAAATGAAAGTGCACGAAAAGGCAACCCTCTCACTAAGGTGGTCTCTAACAAAGAAAAGAAAGAGTCCTTACATTCCCCTTCTTGAACTCGGCACATAAACACTACCACACACATTTTGTTACCAACACTGCCCCAAGGACAAAGATGAAGCAAAGCTGTGCGCTAGTCTCCCATATTAATCTGTTGCAGCTAGCATTGGCCTAAAGCTGACGCTGCAACGGCAGCTAGGCCCACTCAAGTCTTGGTGCAGACATAACCCTCCACACGTATCACTGCCAGCCAATGCTATGAGCTGAAAGTTGATAAACGTAAACATGGCCATGATCATGTTTAACAATCTTACTTTGTCTGTTGTTCAGTTGTGGTCCTTCCAAAATGATCGAAAGAGATGTTAAACCATCGGTAGATGTCACTGTGGATCTTGTTGAATCGGTCGCAGATCTCACGAGGAGTGCTTCCCAGCTCCAACGCCTTGGTTTCTGTGGCCGTGCCGTACTCATCAGTACCGCATACATACAATGTGTTCCAGTCTCTGATCCGACAATACCTAATGCATGAAACAACAGTCAGGTTATTTTCTGGAGTGCACAGCAGTTGGTAGCATCACCGGTTGGGAACTTCTTACCTTGCAAACACGTCAGCACTCAATACAGACCCCACAATATTTCCCAGATGAGGTACATTGTTGACGTACGGCAACGCACTTGTGATGAGGATGTTTTTCTCGCCTTTCTTGGGGAGTCTGAAACAACATAAAAAAATAAAATGCTTCCTTACACATTCAGCACCAGATGTATAAGCAACATGTACCTCAAACAAATAGCAGCACTTAGTGTCTCATCGCAAGCATTTAGTGTGTTTGCTAATGCTGCATTTGCCTACACTAAGAGAAAATTCGTAAAAGCATACAATACCATGATAGCAGCAAATCAAAAGCAATGCAGGCTGAGAAACAAGCCATAGGACAAACTCCCAGTAGCCCCTAGCACAAGCAGAAACAAAGGCTCACATGTAACAAAACAATTCTTTGTGCTCAAATGATTGTCGATTTTCGGTTTTTTTTTATTAACAATGACCACCAGGATTGAAGGTGCACCTGAACCACAGTGCAATATTTTGGCACTTCTTTTCCTATAACAGAGACACTAAACATGCTGGGACTCTTACTTGCAACCTAGTGTTCAGCAAAATAACTTGGCCACTTAGAAACTGTGTTCGCAATATATCAAGAAGCTATGTAAATTTGTGAAACCATCTACAGTCACAGCGATCAGATTTCTTTTTCAGCTTGCTTAATGTCATTACCAATTGACTGCACTGCTGTGCTGTGCACAGCAGTGCACAGCAAGCAAAATTTGCGAACTCGAGAAAATCACATACACAGGCGCAGTCCGCTTCTTTAGTTCTGTAGCCTTGTTCCGAGGGTCTGTCCATATTTGAAAGGCCCTGTCGATTTCTTCAGAGCTTAATGTGTGTTCCCTCTCTTCCTGAAAGGTCACAAAGTGGAGCACAGATTAGAATTAAAAGCACCAAAGGCTACACTTCCCGTGAAAATACTATTATTACCAACCACTGATGTTTGGGTGCAACTGAGGCTTGGCCTCAGGGGGACAGTGTCGGCTGCCTTTGGTGTCACAATTAGTGAATGCTGCGGTGCAAAGGCCGAGAGAGATTCCTGGAAGAGTGAGAATAATATCAATGTTCTGTAAATTTGGCTCAGTAATGGAATGAATGGCTATAACGTTAAAACTGACCAGCAGTGCAAAGGGAGCTGTTAAATCAACAAAAATATTTACAGACATAAATTAGGGCTCCAACTCGTGCCTAGAAGTGGGTCGAACAAATTCTCAACTTTTTAACTCGACAGAATTTAACATTTCCGCTTTTGATCAACTAATAAACAACAGAAGGTGACAATTAACGAGGACTTCACCATGAACCAACCAATTTTTTAATTAAGTCTTCCAGAACACAACTACAAAACCGTTGGTTGCATAATTAAAAGTATTTGGCAGACACGTCACCTTCATTGTACCTTCATGACAAAGGTTGTCTTTAGCAGCCTACACCTATTTCACAACAGCTTCACTGTAATTACAAATCATATAAAGAGAACAGTAATTGTGTAGTGAGAATATTAGTGGTGTACTTTTGTGAGCATCAATCGGGAGCATGGAGCTTGCAGATGCTGCTGGTCAAGGACCGTCCCATTAAAGTTAAATGAAGATTGTAAATTTTATTATGAAGAGGTAATAAGGAGCACATGCCATAAATGGACAACTGACCTTAAATTCCTTGCAGCCATCCTTTGGAAGAACCGACTTCAGTGCTTTTTGAAGACTTTCATCCTCTTCTAAATGACGAAACCATTTAGTGAGAGACTTGAAAGGAACTACTAGACCTGTGCCAAATTTACAACAACGCAAATAAGAACCTCCAAACACCAAATTAGAGAAAATAATGTGGCATGTTCTCTGCTCAGATTACCTGTAAATAAGCTGTCGGCAGTTCTAAGCGGCAGTATGGAAGACCAAACAATGACGTCGGCAAAGCCGTGACCCTGCACATGAATTGCAAGAAATATTTTGTCACAAGCATACATAGCGTAAAGCAGGCTGTAAATATTGATGATGTGCAAGCTGCACCACCTTGCCTATGCAAGATTAAAAAAATTACATATATGTGTACCTAGAGAAACGAAGTATTGCAACAGGCTGCTACAACTTTTGTCATGCTCTTCAATGAACTGTTCATTGTTTTCATTGAGCCCAGGTCCTGTACGTTCGTGCATGAAAAGATAAAAATGTGGATGTCCTGACTGCCCTTCAATTTCTATAATGTGCTAGCAGAGTATGGGTGTTTACCCCCCACCCCCTCTCCTATATTAAGCGTTAGCTATAAGAGATCCCATAAGCTACCTACCCACTACAGAGAAATTCCCATGCATTGAGTACCAGGTTCAACATGCCTAATTGTTGTGAAAGGAACTTACTTGCGCATTCTTACTTAACGTGGAATGTTGCGATATGAGACTATCTAGGTGCCTCAGGAGAGCTTTCAGTGCGGCCTGTATGTCGTTGTCAACCTTTCCATGTTGTATATGCTCCAAGAGGGCGGCTGCCACGACAGGCTGCAAAAAAATTAAAATGAACACTAGGGCAGGGTCGTGGTGCAGGGACATCTCGTTTTATGTGCAAGAAAACAAGAGCTACCTGTAGTTTCACGGCTTCCCATTCGCACCATTCTTCATCTTCAATCAGAACTGAATTTTCTCCAGACTTCTCCCACAGAAACCTGGAAGTGATAACCGGAAACATTTATCGCCTTTTTTTCGCACTTTATGCTTTCGAGAAACTTAGGGTGATGGGGGGAACGTATACCTGCATATGGCATTCGCATTGAACAACGTGGTACCGTCCGCAAGCTTTAGCACTGGGAGCTTTGGACGGCTGAGGTAAGGCGCGACCTTGTCTGCAATAAAACACGACGCACCATCAGTTTTAATAGATAATACCTGCAGTAAAAGTGACGTAGGAGGCAGCACGAAAAATCAGCCAAGCTGCCAGTCAAATAAATACCGGAGTGTAGCGTTTAATTAACGATGCAGGCAATCTTAATGATTTAATTTACGCTGTGCCATTGCCAGTCATATATATTGTTGCTCCAGGACACTTTCTGTTGTTGCCTAAGAAAAGTTGCGCTACCGGCGAACGTCTTTCTTTTCCTGGCAGCTCGCGTGACAGACATTTGCGGGATGCTACGTTGCAGCTCGAGCGGAAAACTTCAAAGCGCAAGCGAAACTACTGCGGGTGCCACCAGTGAGGACAAATTTCTTCATAAATGAGCCCTCGTGAGTACGTTTAAGACTAGCAACAATCTGTGTTTCGTGCTACATGGGTTCAATACGAGCGTTGCACGTGTCAAGGAAGTCGCAACGAATGAATGAGTCAAATGTTACATCACTTCTCAGTTTCAGTTCTCCCAAGTGATCCACCACTAGATACAATACGGTGGTACGTCTTGGTGACTGCGTTTACGTAGCCTGTTTAAAAATTGGTCGGGCTACGTTCATTGACAAATGTTAGGCGGCTTTTGATAAACAACTAGGTCAGCGTATTCCCGGGTCACAGCGAAGCGATACGCGGCGGCTCATTTCGCTTACCTTTGAGGCTGGCAGTCACTCTCGGCACATGTTCGCCGGTAATCTCGAGAAATATCGCTGTTTTGATGCCGTAAAAATTGTGGTTACTGTCGTGTAACATCATTTCGCAACGGAAGGCAGCGACGTGCGCATGTACGTTGTACGAGCACGGCTCGAAAAAGGGACGGGGAAAGAGAACGTGGCGCCCTCTAAACTCCGCATACGGAATTGTGGAGACCGCTAAACATGGAGGAAGGAAAAACATGCCGCCAAAAGCCTCGCTCCTGGAGGAGTGGCAATGTCACGTGAACACACAATCTCCTCCGCGTCATCCTCACTATTTTGCCTGCGAAATCGCGCCGTCGGACACGTCAACGTGACGCAGAGTGCTATCGCGTTCTCGTTGAGCGAAATGTTGTAAGAAACCTCCCGTGCGCACCTCTATGGAGATATAGCGAGGATGAAAAGAAATGCGAACGTCGCGGCGCGCTGGTTTCATGGCGCTATGACATTGACGGCAATACAAAGATGCTGCAATAATGGCTGTCCATTGTATTATATACGACTCTATTTGCCATACAGGCTAGTACCGTTTGAAGAGAAATGCGTTACAGGTGCGAATTAGGCCGCACTGTTCGCGTTTCTTTCCATATCCACTTGTGCTAATCAGTGCGAATTATATATAGTAATTGTTGGAGGAAGGAAAAAAAAGGCACTAATTTCTGTCTGCCTGTTGGCGACACGGCTAAATAAGTGCCTTGTAGGGATGAGCGGAAGGAGGGCTAAAAAGATTGGTGGAAAGATATAGAGAAAGAAATATGACGAGGCAAGCGACAGAAACAGAAGGAGATAATAAGTTGGCAGCCGGTCGAAGAAGTATGGGGCGCCACTAGGCGAGAGCTTCTAAAGCCCCTAGAGCTTCAAGGCGTCAGGAGACCGGGGAGGGCGAACTAAGGAGGTTTTAAAAAATGCTGGAGTGGAAATTCTTGCCCACGAGTGAAGCTGTGCCAACTGTAAGATGGCTGCTGCGGCAGCCATCTTACTAGGGGCATGTTGAGCTGTTGGCGTTCGGTGATTCAGCAGGAGCGTTTTCCTCTCACCCCCAACGAGTTTAACGTGGCACCCTTTTTGGGCCGGATAGGGCTCAAAGTGCATCTATGTGTTACTAGTTTTCTGTAGAAAGCCTTGAATTCAAGGCAAATTTTATTAAAGATTAAGTAACCGATACTAGTCTCTGTGTATTATTTCTTCGGAACCAGCTATCTTTTAATTTATAATTAACGTAGCCTTTAGACTAACAAATCAAAGCCACTTGATGTGTAAGTGGGCACCACCAGAAAATAGCATATTTCTTAAATCCCTGGAGGGCAAAACCTGGCTTCACTACTGCTGGTAAAACATTGCAGGAGCTTCCCCTCCTGCAATTTTAGGGGCGAAGCTCCTTAGGGCGTGGGCTGTGCGTCCCCTGTAGCCTGTATGTAGCCACCTCTAGTTTAGTTCTTGCAGTGTTCACTAGATGGCGGTACCGTCCCCTGTATGTAGCCACCTCTAGTTTAGTTCTTGCAGTGTTCACTAGATGGCGGTACCGTCTCCTGTATGTAGCCACCTCTCGTTTAGTTCTTGTAGTGTTTACTAGATGGTGGTACTTGTAGCTGATGATGAAAAGATGCAAGATGTTATAAACTAGAAAGCGGTACTTGTAGTTGATGAAAGACGCGAGATCTTATAAAATAGGAATGATGTCACATATGGCGCGTGTCATTGGTTGAAGGCAATCGTTCGATTTAGTGCGGCGACGTACGCTAGGGGGAGCGTTGCAATAAAATCCGTTCGCTGTTGGCGCGCGCTCGGAGTCGCCGGATGGATAAGGCTGCACAGCGGAGAGAGCGCAAGGCGGCAGCAGCGCGCGCTCGCAGACAGAATCCCGATGTGCGAGCGCGCGAGGCAAGGGACATCGCAAGCCATCCATCGTCTAAGAACAAATAAAAGTTGATTTGTGTATAAACACATACAGCGTTTCTCACGTCTTTACATGATGATCAACTGGGCGAATTACACGGAAGATTCACAGTTTACCGATGAATCCCTCCGGAGCTTCGCCCATTCATCATCATTCACCCCGTGAATATGCCGTAATTTTTTTAAACCTCCTTTTTAAACCAAATGGCGGGAGCTACGCTGGCGTCGTAGGTCGCGGGGGCACTACCGTTGAGCATTAAATCCTCCGAGATATCACATTGGTGCAGCCAGTGGGGGAGGAGGACATTCCCCTAAAAAAGAAGTGCTCTTGAATTTGTGTATGACCACGCATGTACAAGCATATACGCACGAGCATACGAAATGTTGAGCGGGAAACATACATACTCACTTTGTGGCCAGACTACGCAAAGGTGATTGCCAGCGGGCTCCATTAGAGAAGCGAGTCTTCATTTGTATATAGAAATGTGCCACAAGTAAGTGTCGTCATTCCCGCATAAAAAAGGAAGTACCGCGTCTCTGGTGGAGTATGGCATTCACTTTTGCCCAAACCAGACTCACGAGCTACGTTTTGCTTTTGGAACGTCTGTGAACTATTTACAGGAAAATTTCCTATAGTAAGGCATCTACACGTGAACACGTAATCATTAATGAAATAAGTAGTGTCCAAATATTGCTTCCCAGCTCAATTTTTATTTTCGTTCGTTTTCTCGCTAATGTGTGCTTGGGAGCGCAGTAAGTTTGTAACACCTCGACAATTAAACATCAATCAACGGGCGACCATGCATCACTTTTTTATTTATGTTAGGGTGGAAATTGGGCCACGTGTCGGATATTATAGTCTGCGGTTTCCCGCCCCGAAAAGGCGATGATGATTATAAGGGACGCCGGGGCTCTGGCATTGCACAGTACGCGGGTCTCAATCATTTCGCCTCCATCAAAATGCGACCGCCGTAACCTGGTTCAAACCCGCGACCTTCGAGTCAGAAGTCAAGCACCTTAGCCACTGACCTACCATGACAGACCGTAGCGTGTCCCACAGGAGGAGGCGTCAGTATGAAATAGTACGGTATTCATCGCAGCTCAGTACCCGCACATATTGCTGCGAATATAATAAATTTTAACAACTGCGTTTTGGTCATGTTTCAGTGCATCTTATCTTTGTCGGAGTCTTGGCACCGCTCTGCTCAGCATCTTCCAGTGCGGTAACCAAGCGAAGCATGCGGGTTCCCGAGAGATCACTTGGTAAGGATCGAGTCCACTTTTATTTGTCAAGCTGCGTTTGTTCGTGTGGTGTTATTATAATTTTTGGGGAAGTGATTTTAAACAAAAACAAGAGAAAAGTGAGCCCCGCTACTGTCTCTCAGGGGGAGTACACCTCAACAGTAGATCACGAGGGGGGGGGGGGTAAATGAGGTATTAAAAAGGATAGGATTAAAAGGTTAAGAGAGAGAGGAAGGAGACAGAAAGGTACAGGGACAGCGAACGACGGACGTAAGGAGAAGATAAGACGGTCGCAGGAGTCTGAGGACGGGGCACGACTGGCGAGAGCTCTTGTCGGCAACAAGAGATGGCGTAGGGCTAGTCCAGTGGGCCAGAGCTGCGCTGTCGTCGGGGATTGGCGTCAGGAGATGGCGTAGGGCCAGCCTAGTAGGCCAGAGCTGGGCCGTCGTCGGAGATCGCGAGGGCACAACCGGTCGGCTCGGAAACCAACGAGCGAGTCCAATTTTTAGGGACGAAGCTCCTTATAGCGGCACCCGTTCGTCCCTCGTAGTCGTAGTAGTAGTCGTAGTGTGTAACCAGTCTTACATTTTGACCTCCAAGGTGGTGCTGGTGAGAAATTTCTTCTGTGCGTTGTTGAACAATAAAAAAATTCGCAGCGTGCGCGTTAACTAAAAGCCGAATTCTCCTGTCTCTCATTCCCCCTTAGCAGCCATTGGCATGTACATTGAGTACTACTAGAAAGGGTTGCTACGTTATACTCGCTGGGCATAACCTCCTTGGTTTTAGAAAGCTTTAGCGAGCGTTGGGCCGCAGTGCCATGAATACAGTGAACTAGTATATACCATGAACTTGAGGTGGCTAAAGGTGGGAAGTAGACACGAAGCGCAAGCCGTAAGAAAGTGTGCGTGTGCCACCTCTCTTTTAGTCCTTGGAATGTGCGCTGGATGGCGGTGCATATGCGGAATATTTGATGGAAAGATGCGAGATGGTGGTACTTGGAGTGTTGAATAGATGGACGAACGGACACACAGACAGATGCATGGACGGACTCACAGATGGCTGCACCGACGGACGGACGCAGGGGCGGATGCATGGACGAACGCAGGGACGGACGCACAGATGGACGTGCGGATGCACGAACAGACGCCCGTACGGACGGTCACACAGACGGACGCATGGACGGACGGAAGCAAGAACGAATGGACGGACGGATGCTTCGCCCCACTCTGCATCATTCACTCCGTGGATATGCTGCCATTTTTGTTAAGGGCGAAGCACCTTAAAGGACATAAACTGTTCATCTACTCTCACTCTCCGCTAATAATTGCTCGGGTACTGTGACGGTGCAGTTTTTCGTCCTCAACTTTGCAGCGCAGCCTTTCCTTCAGTATATTTCTTTATTTATTTATTTACAGTACCTCAAAGGCCCCAATGAAGGGGTTTTACATGAGGGGTGGGCTATTACAATCGGTTAAAGGAGTAGATGCTCGATCGCTGCTTTGAAGTTGATGATACTGGAGTGGTGCGCAACGTGAGGAGGAAGGCCATTCCAATCTTGTGCGGTCTTGACAAAGAAGGATGAAAGGTGCGCAGTGGTGGAGCTCTTGGCGGGTAAACAGCTTTCCTGTGATTGATGCTGGTACCATATTATTATGAGGGACCCTGTAGTGGAGGGCTCCGGATATTTCGGCCATGCACCTGGAGTTCTTTAACGTGCGCCTAATTTTAAGCACACGGGCTTTGTAGTTACTGTATAATCTAACTAAAGGTTGATTATACACTTTAACTCTAACATATACTCTAGCATATACAGTAACTCTAACGGCCCTCAAGCACTTTCGCCTCAATCGGAAATGCGGCCGCTAGACTACCGTGGCGGGTCGGTCCGCCGTCGCTGTAAATGGAAAACCGGGGCTATAATCGATACATAGGTGTGTATACGTTGCGATCACGATTACGATTATGAACACTCATATAAAAGTCATACGCAGAATTCAAAACACCTCTGAATATCTTAACAAAAATGTAGTCTAATAATAACTAAAGGCACTGCGTTGTCGAAATCAACAAATGTGGCTATCACAATTCTGAAGGTTATGCACTTGGACGTGGAAGGTGTCATTCCTGACAGTTGGTCTCCGACAAAAAACCATGGTAAAATGGTTAGCACTGACCCCCGGGACGGCTTTATGCTCTCCCATAGTAGAGTACCTAGTACCCTTAATCGTTAATCACTTTTTTTTAAACGCACGTTGGCTCGATGTGGCGTGACAGTTGTTCCCTTCAAAGCGCACGGGACGGCCCAGTGCTCTCCCATAGTAAAGTATCAAGTACTCGAAACCGTTCACCACTTTTTCTAAACACACGTTGGCATAACGTTATAGTAGTACTGTCGATCCGTTGGTGGCAATTGTCAGGGCATAATTTTTGTCAACAGGGCTTCTTCAAGTGTGAGGCGCACGGGACGGCTTTATGTTCTCTCATAGTAGATTACCCAGTGCTTCAATTCGTTACCCACTTTTTCTAAACACAACAGGTTATCCACCGTATATGTGTGAGCCGAAAGCTGTTGTTCTAGGCTTCCACGGTGTAATTTTTGTCGACACGGCCTCATCAAACGAGAGGCCCTCTGGATGGCTTTATGCACTTTCATAGTAAGGTATACCAAGTACTCTAAGTCGTTGATCAATTTTTTTTTCTAAACACAGCTCGTATTTTATGTCGCGATGCTCGTGTCGTGGCGTCAGCGCTGTTTAGCCGAAACAGGCTGACTACCACAGCGAGCTGCATATCCAGTGCTGCAGAAGATGAGAATGATCATGGTTTGGTACCTTACCGAACAGATAGAAACGCAAGGTGAAGAAGCATTCGTCAGAGGGTAGCATACATGATTTTTCAGTGTGAGAAATGGGAATATCGAATTTTGTGTACTCCCGTTTTAAAAATCACTGGTAGGAAAAAAAGTATTGCTTTTATTCACAAGTATAATATGTGATTCTGTTCGAGCTTAGAGACTTTTTGGGTCCCCTTTTCGTTTTGTTTCCTTCAGCGATCCGTGATCTGCGATAGTATCACTGAGCTGTAAGTTATAATCATGCCGGAGCTTCCGTGTTTGTAGGTCCCACTCAAGACACCGTTACACGAAGCTGTTGTACGACCTCAAATGCTGTTACTAGTATGTAATAGACTAGCTGGTTTCAAGACCTTCGCTCGGAGACGACTTTAGAAGACTGCGGCAAGTTCCTCCTCAAAGGCGAAAGATATGTGTGCATGTTGCGACTACGATTGCGAAACAAAGTGCATGCACTAACCCTTTATACTACAACACGGCGACTACAACTTAGATATTGTGGACTGCGACAGTATCATGCAGTATATATGATGTCTCGATATGTTCTACGATGCATTTCATATGCTGGAAACAACCAACAACCACCCGAGGAACATGCATAGATTCGTCAACTTTAGATGAGATCCACTAAAAAAAGTTTCTCCATTTAACAGAACACAAAGCACTAATACTGAAACGAAAATGGAATACAGAACTCAAGACGATATGCGAATGGTAACAAAAGGGTGAAAACAGAAGTTACTTAAATAGGAACCAAATTAACACGCTTCTCAATAACAAGGGAAAAAAGGAGCACGGAATTAGGCGTTGTTGAAAGTAGCACAGACAAATCTCGTTTAAACATACGCATATGTGCTTCACTGACATTTTGATAATTAGGCTAGTGAATCGTAGTGTGTGAATACGTAGGATTCACAAGGTTAGCGATGTGTTGCTATAGGGTGCACCTATATATAACACGGTCATGGGCTTCACGTTCATTTCAACAGCGATGGGGCGGGCGGCCACGTCTCTGAATCTTCGAATACCGGTAGGTTATGAAGATCGCTAATTTAGTCTGAGTTGTGACGTGGCAGAACGGAAATTTAGTTTCTTTTTTTTTTAGCCATCGAGGGTCACTCGAGTTGTCAGGTGCAAAACGTATACATGCCACCGCCACACGAGGGGACGTACGAGTGCGATCGTATCTATAATTTCATATAGGTACACCTCCTCGAGGTATACCTATATTTTATATACTAAGTATACTAAATATAGTATACTTCCTCAAGGTCCCACTAATAAATTATGCGTTCAAAGCAGTATTCATCTCATTTCATTTATTAGACCTCGTGGACTGAAGGCATTACATAAGGTGAAAGGAAAGCACAAACAGCTTTCGAAACCGTACAGTAAACACTATTGGTACCACCGTAGCAGTTCAAACAAAAAAAAGAGAGCAAACAAAAGCATCGGGTATATCTTTTGCATAGTTGTTTTCCCGGCCAACGGTGGTTGCATTTCAATCGGGAGCGTTACGATTGAAGCCCGTTTACAGTGCGAAGTCAGTGCACAAGAACACCAGGTGTTTTAAATTACCGCAGCCCTCCATTACGGCGTCTCTCATAATCATATATTTGTTTTTATCTTACATCATTATTGTATATTCGTTACAAAGGTATGTTGCTGATTTTCTTAAACTTGCTCATCCATGCACCTGGTGTTCTTTAACGTGCACCTAAATTTAAGCACACGGGCGTCAAGCGTTTTCGCCTCCATCCAAAGTGCGGCTGCCGAGGGCGGGATTCGATACCGCGACCTGCGGGTCAGCAGCCAGGCCACTATAGACGACCGGAGCGGGCCTCTCCCTGTCTGCTGTCGCGGTATAGAGAAAAGCGTGGTTATAGTAAAAAAAAAAAAGATGTGTATGTTGCCATTACGATTACAGTTACAAAGCCTCAGATAAAAGTCATATGCAGCACTCAAAGCACCTCTGATATATATTTTAGAAAATGAAGTCGAATACTAATTGAGTGCACTGCGTTCTCGAAATCAACACATCTGACTACCACGATGGATGTAAAAGATGTCACTCCGAACAATGCGTTCGACCGTAGTCTCAATATGCTCGGTAAAGGTGTGAGGCCCATCGGTACACGACCAGTACAAGTACGTGTTCTTATTTAGGGACGGCTTACTGCTCTCCCATAGTTGAGTACCAAGTACTCAAAATCGTTAAACACATTTTACCCCCCACCCCCCACCACCCCGAGGGACCGCTTTCGGCTCTTCCATAGTAGAGTATACCGAGTACTCTAACTCATTAAGCACGTTTTCTTAACACACAGGTGACCTTAAGCTCTCCGATTGTAGAGTACCGAGTACTCTATATCGTTAACCACTTTTTTTCTAAACACAACACAAACATGTGCTCCTTGAGCGATGGCTGTTCGGCGATGCTGTAGAGCCCCATTTTCGTCGATGCGGCCTCATCAAGGTCCGCGGGCGGCTTTCAGCTCAGGCTCCCATTATAGTAGAGTACCAAGTGCCCTGAATCGTTTAACATTCTTATATAAACACAGATGTACCGTTCAGTCGATTGCTAGCGAGTGCATGGATGCGTGAACGAGCTCACGCAGCAATTTTTTTTCAATAGGGCCTCATAAAGTGTGAGGCTCACGGGACGGCTCTACCATTCGGTCATTCCAGCGACGCAGGCGGCGCCACGTAGCCGTGCTCCGAAGCTGCCACACGGTGATAAAACTGCGACGCAGTTCGGTCTCTCAGTAGTCATGAACCAATGAACGCGTCTTCACGCTCTGCCACGCTGACGTGCACGCTCGCGACATCACCGTCCCGTCCGCCATTTCGACGTACCGTTGCGCCACCTATAGTGACTGGAATGGTCGAATAGTAGAGTACCAAGTACTCAAAATCATAAACAACTTTTTTCTGAACACAAATCGTTAACCAGATTTTCTAAGCACGCATGGTCATTATATCAACCTGCTATCGGTACTTCATAATATATATCTATACCCCAGCGCTATCAGTTTCTCAGCTTAAAGTTTCCCATTACCAGCGTTCCAAAAGTTACACAAGCAGATCAGTTCCGTACTCATGTACGGGAAGACTAATATGACTTTATACGGCTAGTCACCCTCGTAACAACATTTTTAACGCTGAAAGCTTCCGAAAAAAATTACGGCTTCCTTATTCGTCAAAGCAATGCTTCATAGACTGATGTATTACATATTGTTCTCGTTGCGTTTTTCGTTGCTTACGTGCAACTACATTCGTTAAGTAAGATTCCACAATAGCCAAATTATGTCGCGCTCGTTCTTTAATTCTAATGTTCCTATTTCGCTGCGTCATATTTTAGTGATTTTTGAGCTGTCACTGGCAAACGTGTATTCTCGTTTGCCTGTTTAATTTCTTGTGCACATGTTCCTCAAACATTTCTATTCTCATTTTCACTGCTCTGTTGTATACGTGTGTTGCTTCACTGCTTTTTCTGTCTTTCTTCTAATTATCGTGAATCTAAAATGTTTTTTTTTATTGTATCGTCCCTCTTTACGCAGTTCATTTAGGGGTATGTGTAAAGTATCATTAAATAGATCAATAGATCAATAAATCAATATGATAAATAATATTTTTACCACAGTCGGGTGGGTTGAGAGTGGATAGGGGTCCAAATGTCCCGACCTCTCCCTTATTTCTTGAACATATATCCCGAAGAAGGCCTTTCAGGTTCTCCCATAAGCTGTTGCCCCATCGCATCCTCCGAAAAATTATGTATTTCTCTCTATAGTTCTCATATAACATTTCATTATCTATTACAGCGTAAACGCACGCCCGTGTGGTTGCGCGATGCAGGAATTCCAGTACGCCAGGGGGAGATTCCTCTGGAGGCGATGAAGTTCATTGCCCCCTACATGAACACCTGGCCAACTCCAGCCGACTGCTGCGCTAACGGCGGCACCTGCACTCATGCAGAAAACGGTAAAACATATCTGTAGTAATGTGAGATTACCTTTACGCTTCGTAGCGCTCCTGCTTTGCATAAGCCGGATTGCGTCACAAACTAATAACTGACATACATGGCGGATATTTAAGGGAGTAGAAAAAAAAAAGCCCCATGGTCCAATGTTTACATTGAACCATGAGGCCTTCTTTGTAGAATATACAGTTTAAGGGAGGTGATGAAAAGTAAAAGAGTTCTTTGGCTCTTTGTTGTGACTCCTGTCTTGTCATGTATAGATGACTATGGCGTATATGAGAAGCCGGTCAGCGTACGCATCAACTGACCATGGCGCAGGCACCACGAGGTGTCTGTGTCCTGCTGCCTTCTCGGGTCCGGGGTGCCTCGACGACGTTGACGAATGCCTGCTTCGAAAGCCGTGTGGTCGCTTTAGCGTGTGCATCAATCTGTACGGATCCTTCCGCTGCGACTGCATGCCCGGATTCCAGCGGCACGCGCATCTATGCGTCCGTGAGTATGGCCCGTTTACCACCATAAACTCGTGCGCAGGCTTCTCCAATAAGGAAGGGGTGGGGGGAGAGGGGGTAAAGCTTTTTTCCCCAACCCTTTTAGACGAGTTTGAAAGAATTCAAGGGACAGACAGACAGACAGACAGACAGACAGACAGACAGACAGGCAGACAGACAGACAGACAGACAGACAGACCGACAGACAGACAGACAGACAGACAGACAGACAGACAGACAGACAGACAGACAGACAGACAGACAGACAGACAGACAGACAGACAGACAGACAGACAGACAGACAGGTGCATAGATGAAAATGAGTATTTAACGTGCCTCTCACAATGGACTGCATCTGGTCCTCGGCTTTCCGGGGGCATTAAACTCATCTTGGAATACTACTCAGGCGTCATTAGACTCATTACCGTCAGAATCCTGCGTTGCCTTAACATGTGCATTACAAAATCACTGGTCAGGTCCGTGTGAATGAATGCAAGGGGCAGCCCAAACCATACGTACGCGTTACAACGCGTCAGCGCGTCGCATGTGGATATGGAGAGGGCACGAAGCTACACGAAGTGTCGGGCCCTCTCTCTTCATTAGGAGAGGGCGCAGCAACGAGTCTACGCGCTCCGCGCTGACATGTCGTGACGCGTATGTGCGGTCAGGGCTGTAGGGTTGCGGTCCTCCCCGCGCACCACTACGTTTACTACAACAATGCTTTCTTTATTTTAAAGACGATAGTCTTTCTTGGGGTACTTCGACCCAAAAATCTTGGTTTACCTGTACATTTGTCTGTTAAAGGCCAACCCCATCCGCAGCGCCCACCAATATTGCTCAAGATTCAGCGTTCATACGTGTGCGACTGCCAATTAAAAAACAATTATTGCGCATATCTGAGGCACCATAACAATACGTAGACATTTTGTATGCGTGTCTTTCACTAGAAAAGGCATACATAAGTAATTCTAAGGACCGTAGTGTTTATCACGCTGCGCTGACCATGCAACGCTTGCACGAAAAGGCAAGTGTTTCCAATGCTTTGCTAAGACGACACGGTGGTGGTAACTGCTCGTCGCTTTGCGTTCTACACCTTATCGCCTCCGAGACAGGCGCACACGGCTTCCTTCGTTTTCGAAGATAACTGCCAGATGGCGCTTGTGTCTAGCGTGCCTCGATGCGCTCGTGGCCTTCGCTGCACGGATTGAGACACTCTAACGCAGTGCCTCCAGAATACAATTCACCAATTTTCTCGCGCAGAACATCAAATAAACGTTTTGTTCACTCTTTCCGGACGCAATACTATCGTCTTTCGACGACATTTGCAGTGAAACATGTAGATATGGGGCCAATGTTTTTTTCTCGAACGGTCTCACGTCCATCTCTCCCGCCTTATAAACTGCCCCCAAAACAACGTACAAATATCAAAATTCGATTGATCAAACAGACAATGTAACACAAAATCGGGTAGAATAGACAGAGTACGAAAGTATGAGATTTGGTGTGTTGATTTTGATCCGAAGACGCAAATGCAGGCCAATCTTGGAATCGGAGCACTCAGAGGCGTGAATATAGGACGGCCTTGATATTGCTATCCCATTACAGTCGATTATGATCATACAGCGGATCCAAGCAAGTGTCATAGTTACGTTTGTGGTTAAAGGGCAAATATTCAGAAAGTATTTGGTCACTCTTGAGATAAAAATTGTTCTTTCGAAACTCCATTGTTATTATTTCGCCATTGTACCATAATTAACGGGAGGGTAAATGATGGTCAAAATATCATTTTTGATTTAGTGTTGAGACTTGAGCACTTATTAACAATGAGTTGTTTTGTAGGTCTTATCAGACGCATTCAAAATCTATGACGGCATGGAAGAAAGTGGCGCGGGAACGTCAATCTAGTGTCGCCGCCTGTATTTTCTTTTTGCTGTTTTTCTAGCTTACCATAGATGCAAGCATCTTTTCGCGAAAGCACTTGTGCTTTTGGTATTGTTAAAATGTATAGTTCACTAATACGAAGAATTTTGCATGCAGTAAAAGGCAGGGATGAACAAATTCAAATTATGGCGCATTATATAATATAGCTGCTAATGGGCGTACAGATAGAGAAAAACATGCTTTATCGAAGAAAGCACCTGCGAGTTTGCTGGCCCAGACTCAATCCAACCAGCGGGAAGGTAAGGGTTTACCTTCCCACTGCTGCCCTTGCTCACTGGATTACACACACTTGATCGTGTATATTGTGACGGGGTCGTGACATGGATGAGGGGAGCAAACTATAGATCGTTATAGATGTTAAACTATAGCTTTACGCAGCAGCGACCAACGATCAACATGAAGTAACACAACTGCGAACACTACGCTCGACGAAAGCTGTACCGAAGGCATCAAAATTTTTAACATAATAGTCGGGCACTATTTCAACAGCACGTAGAATTATTGGAAATCATCTCAAAGCATACCTTCCGCTTATCAATCGACAAAAAAATGGAGTTAATGACGCTTGAACATGGTTACATGGAAGAATAAAAGTCCATTACCATGTTACGATACTTCTTTGTGGTATGACTTTTTCACGTGGGTGAGTTTCTGTAATCTCGACTATATAGATGCGATATTTGAAATAGCGTGCACCTTTGCTTACTATAACTTTTTTCTATAATTTAAGTGAAAATCTTGCAGAGATAATCTTCCGTATGCACACGTGTAGTTAAATACCCGGTTTATGCGTGCGGTGCAGGAGAGGTGTCTTGCGAGGAAGGCCCCTGCCTGAACGGCGGCACCTGTGTCACTCGCGATGACCTCACAGATGTGTGCTACTGCAAGATTGGCTTCACAGGTCGACTCTGCGAAACAGGTATGTATGAGTGTGCGCTTTGTGTATTGTCCGAACACGCTTCCTCTGTATAGAAAGGGAACAGCGCTGAGTGTAGATTACTTTCGAAACATCGTCGCTGTGCGTTCAAGATGGTCACGCAATCAGCAATTATTACGGCGAAAGCCTTAGATTTCTCGTCGAATGCAAAAACAAAAACAAAAAAAAAAACGGCGGAGTAGCCTTCGAAGTTCGGCGAGAAAGCTTCACGAGAACAGCATCGGTGTCAACGCGAATGATCCGGAAAAAAAAATCCTTATACGTCATCATGATGTCACAAGTCGCAAAAATGTCACTTCACCATTACGTCAACGTGGCATCACTATGACGCCATATATGATCCCACACGGTCAAATCATAGCGGGAATAAAAGAAGCACTAAGGCAGCGTGACTAGCTCCTGATACTTCAAAAGAAATGAATCGGAAGCAACAGCACGCAAATAAAAAAATGAAGCAGAAAGCAGGAGCATTGCATGATCTAAACGTGAAAAGGATACAATATATTTGTTATAAATTGCGGTCAATCAATTACTCGCAGCTGTGCCCGAGTGTTCGTTGGGAACTTGCCCTGGCGGGACTTTCTGCGTGAGCACCCGGCGCGGATTTCGTTGTCTGCGAAGCCTACGCGATCTACGTCCGGGATACCGATTGCCCTGGAAATAAACGTGAACGCAAGTTCCGTGCTTACGTCACTCGGCGTTCTGAGTGCCGACTTGGTGTGTATGGCCTTCACGCCTGTCGGTAAAAGCTTGTAACTGAGTGAGCAGCGTTTCTTAGTCTGTCCGGTATTCCGATAACGCAAATGCGCAGCGTTTGCGTTACCGGAATACCGGAAATGCCGGATAGCGTGTGCCACAGCTTCCGCCCCGTCAAGTGGCTCCAGCCATGAAAGAAAAAAAAAGCAACTAACAACATTAATACAAATAGTCGCATAATAAAGTCAAGGAAGGTATAGCGGACGTTCATGCTGCTGTTCTTTAGGTGTATTGTAACAAATGTGATAAAGAGGTGAGGTTAGAGATGTGAAGTGTGATTCGCGCAGTTGGAAAAATTGGCCAGAATTTCCATCGGGTAAAACGTACCAAACTAAAGCTTAGGCAACACTCAGCGTTGATTGTGAAAACAAACATCGTGCATGATCCCAAAACACCATACAATCAACATCACATAAAGTCAGCCTCAGCGTCCGCTTAACCTGTCTTAACGTAGATCTTCGTCGTTCGGGGGCGGTCTTAATTTTGTTCGGAGTGGTTTCTGATGTTATGGTACCCGCTCTTGTTCAGTTTCAAGTTTCCCTCGAACACTTCTGCGACCTGCGGCGGAAGTCTGCGTATAAAGCCGTGTGCAAGCAGATTCTGCAATGGTTGGGTTGATTTCTGGTGTGGATGTACTTCACGGTCGAGGAGACCGGTGGCGGGAAACGGGGACTCGCTGTCTGTAAGCATTGCAACAGCAGCTACGTTATTCCCAACGCGACATCTTAACATGATCTTAACAAGAAAGCTATATGAAGCTAGTGATACTGACTCTGAAAAGGAGTTTGCACTTCATCTTTTTACTATCTTATAATCAATAATTCCATAGTCGAAGCCACGACGAAACAGACATTTCTGAGTTCTTTGTTCTTTCAGTCGTAACAATTATGGGAAGCCGCACCCATTCACATAGTGCTAAATGAGTTAGTGGGTATGATTCTGGCCTGCTCTTGATCTGTTAAAGGGGCCCTGCAAGACTTTTTGAGCATGGTCAGAAAACGCTGCCGATTGTAGAGGCTCCCGACAACACGCGAGCCATACATTATAGCGCAGCACGTGGTTTGGAATTCACTATGAATTATCAAAGCCAGCTAAAAATTGTTTTCTTTTCTCTCGACAAATGACCCAAGATGCTCAAAAACCACTCGTAAAAAGCCCATCTATCAGCCATTGGCTGATTTGAACATAGCGCGCTCAGTCGTTAGAGAGATCGCCGCAGTAGGCCGCCACTTGTCCACGCGTGCGCGCACGATCACACTGAGGAAACCGCGCATTCCAAGAAAAAAAAAAAGTAAAAGTGCTTAAGGTCACAAAGCGCGGGTGACTTTTTTTTTTTT